TTTCCTTTCCTTCCATTTCCTTTCCTTTCCTTCCATTTCTTTTCCTTTCCTTTCCTTCCATTTCCTTTCCTTTCCTTCCATTTCTTTTCCTTTCCTTTCCTTCCATTTCCTTTCCTTTCCTTCCATTTCTTTTCCTTTCCTTTCCTTTCCTTCCATTTCCTTTCCTTCCATTTCCTTTCCTTCATTTCTTTTCCTTTCCTTCCATTTCCTTTCCTTCCATTTCTTTTCCTTTCCTTTCCTTCCATTTCCTTTCCTTCCATTTCCTCTCCTTCCATTCCATTCCATTTCCTTCCTTTCCTTTCCTTCCATTTCCTTTCCTTTCCTTCCATTTCTTTTCCTTTCCTTTCCTTTCCTTCCATTTCCTTTCCTTCCATTTCCTTTCCTTCATTTCTTTTCCTTTCCTTCCATTTCCTTTCCTTTCCTTCCATTTCTTTTCCTTTCCTTTCCTTCCATTTCCTTTCCTTCCATTTCCTTTCCTTTCCTTCCATTTCCTTTCCTTTCCCTCCATTTCCTTTCCTTTCCTTTCCATTTCCTTTCCTTTCCTTCCATTTCTTTTCCTTTCCTTTCCTTTCCTTCCATTTCCTTTCCTTCATTTCTTTTCCTTTCCTTCCATTTCCTTTCCTTTCCTTCCATTTCTTTTCCTTTCCTTTCCTTCCATTTCCTCTCCTTCCATTCCATTCCATTTCCTTTCCTTTCCTTCCATTTCCTTTCCTTCCATTTCCTTTCCTTTCCTTCCATTTCCTTTCCTTTCCCTCCATTTCCTTTCCTTTCCTTCCATTTCCTTTCCTTTCCCTCCATTTCCTTTCCTTTCCTTCCATTTCCTTTCCTTTCCCTCCATTTCCTTTCCTTTCCTTTCCATTTCCTTTCCTCCCCTCCTCTCCCGCTGCAACGGTCAGAAGTTGCTTTTTTCAGTACCGTTGTAACTTTGAACGGGCACTGAATGAACTGGTGTAACTGGAGGGTTACCTGCAGATTGTCCATCAAAGGCAGGTGGAGTGAAGATGCTTTTCTCAAAATCTGAAACAAGATCAGCAGACTGAATTCAATTCGGGGTGTCCCGGCTTTGTCAGGACTAAACCTTGGGGGCCCTGAGCTGATCCTGACAGCTACTCTGTTCCGGTGATTGGAGTCCCGGGGGGGGGGAACTAGAAAAATTCTCCCAAATGCCTCAGTTTCTATGTAGTGCCACCCCTTTGATCTTGTTAAGCGCTTCCTTCTCGAGCCCCAGATGAGTTTTTGAGAATGAGACAGTCTGTTCTTGGTGCCACGGAGAGATATATATATATGTCGGTCTTGGCGATGTTTCGACAAAGTCCCATTCGTTATCTTCAGGCTTGGCGATGTTTCGACAAAGTCCCATCCGACAAAGTCCCATTCGTCATCTTCAGGCTGGTGTTTTCAGCTTCGTGCTTCTCATTTCCTGCAAATCCAAGGATGGATGAGGGCATCTCAGTCACTTCTTGAAAACTCTGGCAACTACTTGAGTTCTGAGGTATCACATCAAACACGCTTCAGCAATTACCGTACTTCTGGCTCATGGCCAGCAGCCCACGCTCTCATTAATCCTTAAGTTAAGCTGAGGCGTGAACGCAACAATCACAAGAGTAGTTTAACTCTGCTGAAAACAGCTAGGGTATTAAATTAATAGGGTTCTAACCTCTCCTCCAGATAATAACAGATAATTGAGGTTGATTTTTTTTTGAAATAGTACGCAGCATAATGGAATCAAGAAGACTAATTAAAGAAAAAGGAGAAGAAAACTAGGGGTGAATGGACAATCTCTTCAAAAGAACAACATCATACAGCAGGGGTCTTCAAACTTGGCTCTTTTATGACTTATGGACTTCAACTCCCAGAATTCCTCAGCCAGGCACTGGGAATTCTGGGAGTTGAAGTCCACAAGTCATAAAAGGGCCAAGTTTGAAGACCCCTGTCATACGGAACATCTATTTTTCACATGCTAGAGATAGTATCAAAAAAATATTTTGGACATGGAGCTGAAATTCTCAAGAAGGTGATTTAACATTAATACTCAAATAATCCTTAACAGGGACCATTTGCAATTCTTCCCCGCAGAGATTAGTGTAATATTTCAATTAATAAAATAATGAGACTTCATTATGCTCCACAAGCCTTTTTTTTTAAAGAATTAAATTTCAGTGGAATGATTGTACTTTAAACTGCATTTGAGTTGCCAAAATTCTGCAAAATGAACGCCATAATTAAAGTAATTGGGTAATCCATCAGTATGATCGTTCTTAATATGCTTTAGTGAATCTGAAAGAACTGGGTGGATGGGGAAAGGGGGCAGGAAAGGAAAAAAATCTTGCAATGCACCACCATCTCATTGCAGGTGGAATTATAAGAGAGTTAGAAGAATAATCTCTCCATCTGAGTACCAAAGAGAATAAAGGAGAGATGCAAAATTTGGGGAGATGCAAAATTTTGATTTGACCCCTGATTCTTTGGGATTACTCCTTCTGCTGAGGGGCAACAGGTTAATTTTTTAGAGATCGTTTAATGGATCACAATGGAAAAAGCTTTATTGTGGGGATCCTTCGGTTCTAATTTAACGTGGCATTTTTCCTCTTAATCAGCCCCAGACAGTCCTCATTTAGCAACTGCCTTGTACAGTGACCAATGATGAAAAAATAACTTTGCAAACTTTGCAGAAAAGAATAGAAATCTCAGGTCAGATCAGCCATTCCCTCACTCGGTTGTTAAGTTTCAAAGGGGCCACTCACAGTTTCACAGAGCGACCGCTTTGCTTAACAACCAAGCTGGTAGATGCATTAAATGTTTGATGCTAACCGTTTGGAATTTCAAGTTTTTTCACAGCTATGATATAAAACAAAGACTTTTACTTTTGAAAAAAAAAATTACAGGAGCTAACAAGTAAGAATTACAAAGATATTCTTTGTATTTGCTGGTTTTTGCTGTCCAAAAAAACAGATCTGACAGATCATATAGCTCTGAGCAAACAGAGTTTATTTGTCTTGCCCCCTTTTTTAACCATTAGCTTTCTATTTTTAAAAGATTAATTCCCACACAAGCTTAGAAGTCGTGGTGGTCCCATAACAGAGGCGGTAACTAGAAGCAACATCATTAGCTGTAATGAAATGATTCTGACCTTTGGCGTATTTATTTTGTAGTACTAGTTTTATAATTAGCCTCTCCTTTGCAGTCACCGAGCAGACAATGTAAAAATAGAAATTTTGGGCACAAAAATAATGCTTAAAGACCTACTCTGTGTTTTTTTTTTTATGCATTATAACTGCTCTGAATATCCTTCTTTTGCTTTGTATTTCTCTCTACATTCCTGTTTCTCAAGGTCAGCAGCTTTAAGATGTATAAACTCCCAGAATCCCTCAGCCAGCCTGGACCCACACTTAAAGGTTTTTGAGGTGGGACTATAGGAGATGACAACACAGGTGTTGTTGTACTGGTGTGGGCTTAGAAAGTGTGGGTTTTCTTTCTGAAGCTGTTGAAGGAACTTTGGTGTTAGAAGTTCACACTGCAGGGTCCTAAAAACAGCAAAGTGGACTTTCTGAACTGTATTTTTCTCTGTCCTGTAGGAAGAGCCACAGACACCATAAAAGCTCACTTAGTGATCCTTTTTCCTCTCTTTCCTAGTAGAAAACTTGCATCTTTTTCATGCCCCAAAAGAATCATTAGAGTATTTTTATTTTTATAAATATGTCTTGGAAAAATTGCCATCCTGAAAGACCACAAATAATGTAAATTGTGGCTACAGTTGATGGAAAATATCTTCATTAAACTGGCCATTTGTGGTGGTCCTTCCTCACATTCCTGGGATGGGCATTCCAGGGAATAAAACGTTGGCCACACACAAAATTCAAAACAATTTGGTCCAAAGGATGTAAATTGCCCTTTCACTTTGGGGAAAAAGATCTATAACTTGAGAGGAGTAAGAGATTTCTGAAGGGATCTTATTGTGTTTATGATTTTAGTATGTTTAAGCTTGACACTAGCAGCTATTATATATATAATAGCTGCTAGAGTCAAGCTTAAACATACTAATGCAATAAAATCCCTTCATTTTCAAATGATGGCCGTGTCAACATTGAGCTGCTTTGATGCCCTTCAATCAGTGACGCTTGTGGAGAGAGAGAAAAAGTGTTTTCATGGCCTGCTCTGGCCCTGATGTGACAGCCACACTCCCTCTTCCGTGCCGTTTCTGAAGCTTGGAGAAATTTTACATCAGTTCCACGTTTCCTGTCAGACCTGAACAGCCAAGAAGTGTTGAGAGATGCTCACTTTTGTTCATCGCGAGGGAGCTGCAACAAAAGATCGTTTGATTAGCCGAATACGGCCTCTAAATTCCTTAAAATGATGGGTTTGTCTGTACAGGTAGTCCTCAAATTACGGCCACAATTGAGCTCAAAGTTTCTGTTGCTAAGCGAGAGGTTCGTGAGGTGAATTTTGCCCCATTTTACAATTTTCCTCGCCTCGGATGTTTAGCGAACCCTTGCAGTTGTTAAGTTAGTGACACGGTTGTGGCTTCCCCACTGATTTTGCTTGTCAGAAGGTCACAAAAGGGGATCACCTACACCCCCCCTGGGGCATTGCAACCGCCGTAAGCACAAGTCAGTTGCCAAGCGTACGAATTTTGATCATGTGACCCTGAGAATGCTGCAAGGGTCGTAAGTATGAAAAATGGTCGTAAGTCCCTTTTCTTCCTTTGGACGGTCACTAAATGAACTGTGGCAAGTCAAGGGTTCCCTGTATTAATAGATTGGTAACTGGCCAGTCCCTCACATAGCTTCAGGGCAGGAAGGCTTACATTTCTACTTGCAGGGAGCAAATTTGGAGTCGGGAAATAAGAGGAAAGCGTTAGATGGGCAGAGACTAAGTCCTCTTCCAGGCCGTTATTACTTTTGACCCTTTTAAGCCGTTGAAATCACTGTGTGAGTTTGTGGTCCTTTGGACAGCTGGAGGCCAGCGTTGTTATTCACCCACATCTTTGCCACTTTCTTTAGGAGTGTCCCAGTGGGATTGTTAATGAAGAGGCCTTCAAAGAGATTTACTCTCAGTTCTTCCCACAGGGAGGTGAGTCCTTCCAGATAAGTAGTCCTGTTTGCATGTACTCCCCCCTTACCTCTCCCTGCTTTAACCTCCAGGGTGGGGGCCTGGGGAATTCAGTCGCTTCTCCCTCTCTAACGGGGGGCTGGAGATACGCTTGGGGTGCCGTTCGTTCGTGGGTGCCTTCCCTCTGGGCCACAGGCTAGCCGGGGTTCACGACTATGCTGCCTTTTGTTCCAGATTGCTTTCTGTGCCAGATTAGCTCAAAGGAGCGGGAAGGAGCAGGAGGAGGAGGAAGGAGAAAGGAGAAGAAGCAAAAGGAGAAGGAAGGAGGAGAGGGAAAAGGAGGGGGAGAGGGAGAAAAAAAGGGAGGAGGCGGAGGAGGAGGAGAAAGGAGAGAGAAGAAAAAGGAGGAGGAGAGGAGGAGGAGAGGGAGAAGAAAAAGAAGGTAGAGGAGGAGGAGGAGGAAGAGGAGGGAGGAGAAGGAGGGGAGAGGGAGAAGAAAAAGGAGGAGGAGGAGGAGGAGAGGGAGAAGAAAAGGGAGGAGGAGGAGGATTCTAATATTCATTCTGGGAAGGCTTAGGTGAAGGTGTAACTTTTCAACAGAGGTCTAAAGATGAAAATGTTGTGGAAAACCACAATACTTACATCAGAAGACAAGACCACGAATACTTACGTGTCCCAAATTTCAGGGGGGACCAGAGAAAAGAGACCCGTCCATTGACAGCTGGAATAAGCGGCTGCTGTCCTAGGGCGAGGTTTTCCCCAGTGACCTATAAGGAGAAAGGCCTTTGGACGGACGTGAATTGTTCAGGGCTTGGTAGCCAGTCAGCAGCTGGTGCAGTTGCTTTAACAAAACTACACAATCTGGGGATAGTCTGGTGCTCCAGCTGGTTACCCAGTGCCCCCATTCTGCATTAACTTCAGGTTTTTAGGGCGTGGACAAAGGCGGGGGGATAAAGAAGGAAATAAATGAAACTCCTCAAAGTTTCCCTACATTTTCTTAGCACATATAATCCCCAAGTCACAACAGGTAATCTTGAAGTCCTGGAGATTTGGGATTTTGGCAGCGGGTGGATGCATTAATTGGTGATTTTCCTTTGGGGTAATTAACAGTACACAAATATGCAGGTAGAACATCTACATTGTAAGCTTCTGCTTTGTTTTACGCAAGCTAAATACATCTATATTCCAGGAATGAAGAATAAAAGAACGAGAGCAAAGTTATGTTGTATTTAAACATGTGTACAGAACAGAGTATCAAACCTGGATGTCTTACATCAAAATGACTATAATTATATCTGAGCCATAATTAAGTTTTGGGGGAAAAAAAGAGCTGCAATGAATATTATTAGGTTTTGTTTCATTTTTAAAGGGTCTTATTAAGAAAACAATAGAAATAAAGGAGACAAAGAAAAGGAATAGACATGCTTTTATTAGGTTTTGATACCCAGCTTGATACCAAGATCTTCTAGAAGGTAGTATAAAAAGCAGGAAAGTTGGAAAGAAGGAAAAAAAGAAATGCACTTCAAAAATTAAGCCAGATGACTGGACCAGGGGTCTTCCAACTTGGCCCTTTGATGACTTGTGGACTTCAACTCCCAGAATTCCTCAGCGTGCCTGGCTGAGGAATTCTGGGAGTTGAAGTCCACAAGTCATCAAAGGGCCAAGTTGGAAGACCCCTGGACTAGACAAATAAAAGGTAGAGTTTTGATCATCAGTTCTTCTAAAAAAAAAGTTGAATTATGTACTGTATTGTCCCAAAGGTGCTTTTTCAAGAGGCAACTGGACTCTCTTTGTTTTTCCTTGAAGAGGTTTCACATCTCATCTAAGAAGCTTCCTCAGTTCTAACTCCAGCCAAAACTGAAGAAGCTTCTTAGATGAGAAGCAAAATGTCTTCAAGGAAAAAACAAAGTCCAGTTGCCTCTTGAAAAACCAGGACCCGGATGATGGAGAACCTCCAAAGACCTATGGACTGTATCCATCCACCATTACTCCTCATATCGGATTATTCCTACATTTTGGAAAAGTTTATCCTCCTCTGAAAACTGAAAGTTAGCTCTGTCAGTTTTCAAAACTCACAAACTCTGGGCAGGGAGAATTTTAAGAGAGGCTGTGTGACTTGAAAAGACTCGTTCTTGTGTGCTCCCTGCCATACTGACTAATAAAGAGTTACTCTTTCATTAATAGTCAAGATGCAAGTTGGAGCTTAAAAAAATATCATACAAATCTTTTCTTATTTGGAGCCACCTGAGGAGCTCTGGCAATGCTCCATGTAATTCTTCATAAGCTCTCGGCGGGGTTACGTCGGCATTATTTCTCTCCTATGGAATGTTAGGTTAGGATAGGCAGGGAGGAATCCAGAAGCAGTTTTGAAATGTATAGTTTAGAGCTGGTGCAAATGTGCGATAACCCACCGGGCCTCTGTGGGCCTCCCTTTGTTTCGTAAGGCATGTTGCTTTCTTTTCCCTTAACGGACTTGACGTGCTTTCTACCATCAGTGAGTATTTCCTGGCTCTTGCATAGATTGGTACAGTGAGGATAATAAGTCAGCCAACTTGGCGATCCTGTTTCTGCTTGTTATTATGGCTGCTTCTCTTTCTCTTACTGAAGGCAGCCAACTCCCTTTTTCTTAAGGAGGACATTTTACCAGCCGCCTAAGCCCACAAGTCTCGATGCCGCACAACTTATGCTCATTGGCGCAAGACGTTGTCCAATAAAACTGTTTTCCTCTCTCTTTTCCCTGAACAAATCCATTTAGACATTTCTCCTGGCTTGTTCTTCAACACAATTCACTGTGTTGTTCTTCTGCCTGGTTCTCCTATACCAGGGGTAGGCAACCTTGGCTCTTTTATGACTCGTGGACTTCAACTCCCAGAATTCCTGAGCCAGCCAAGGTCACCGATCCCTGTCCTATACAAATTTGCTAGATGTTTTTCTGCCAAATTCTGTACAAATTCCCTGGGACAGCCTTTTCTCCATTGCCCCTCCTGAAGTGAATGGAAAGCCCTCAAGAACGTAGCACTTACCCGGCCAACATCCATTTGTTTTTAAGAAACGTTTTAATGGTTGGTTGATTGGTTTTTAAGGTTTTTTAAGAAGAGCTTGGGCAACCATTTATCCAGAATGGTCTCCTGCTTGAGCAGGGGGCTGGATTAGAAGACCTTCAAGGTCCCTTCCAGCTCTCTTGTTCTTTTCTCTTCTGTTCATTTCCCGCGTGGTGCATATTCCTAGCATATTTCAAGTTAGAAAGTGATGCAACTGATCGAACTTCCTGGCAGTGGGCAGAGTCAGCCTGCAATACTGCATTTTGACCACCGCACCACCATTGCAAGTTAAGAATTCTGCTGCTTAAAAGCAACCATAGCTACCAGCTTGACTATTTTGACACAGGATGGGAAAGGGGAATGATTTGTGACTTTTGCACAAGCACACAAACACACACTTCCCAGAGGACAGTAATAAGGCTGCTGAAATCATTTTGATACCCTCTTTTTGCTTAAAATTTCAACACTGGGGTATTGCTTTACAATATAAACTCTATTTTCCCCTTCTTCAAATTGCCCCAAAATCTCCAAAGTGTGGCTGCAATTTTATGGTTTGTGGTTTTAAAAACTCTGTTCTCTAGTTCTTTTCCTTATTGCAAGTTATTTATCAGTTGTTCTCTGCCTTCTACAGTATCTGGCATCTGCTGGTGTGAGCTGTTAAATACGAACACTAATAATGTTGTAAAAATAAGTATTTTGGCTGGTTTGGTCTGAAACTCTTAAGACCCCGAGGCTGTTTATTCCTTCCACTTTACAGAATGTTAATTGGGCAAATACAGATCAGCTCCAATCAATCAGATTCAGACCGTTAAGTCGGTTTGAGTCAGAAAAAGTGCACAAAGGCTTTGGGATGAATTAAGGGGCATTCAGCCTGGTTGGGGGGATCAAACATGAATCGTAAATGCAATTTGGAAACCGATTCCATCAAATGGAATTTTGAAATCCAGCAGCTAGCATCCCTGTCATTAAGAGCGAGGAAGATTGTGTTTCACAATACACCCCAGGTTTTCTGGTTTATATTCCAGTGTCGGAAGGGAAACCAAATTAAATAGGTCTCATTAAAAGCTGAAGAACATCCTGCATCAGTCTTTTTTTAATTGCAGTAATCTTTTTTTTTTTTTTTGCTCGGCTGTTCTGCTGAGTAAAGATTGTGAGACGATCAGATTTATTTATTGGGGAAGAAAAGATTGTATGAAGAATCTCGTTCAGTTTATCTTTGTTAACGGCTTGGGGAGAGCAGTCTGATCAATAGTCTGATTAAAAAATGCCTTTTAATGTCTTGTTTGCATTGGAGACCAGATATAGGAAAGAAAAGATGGCCATCCCGTATCCGGAGGTCAGTTAGGGAAATGTTGAACCCTCAAAGGTGGACACACAGGTCTGGGACTGAGATCGGTGGGCAAAGGGGGCGGCTGGAGAAAGGGGCGAGACCCAGGTGGGACCGATGCATCAGGCGAGCCCCAGGACACAAAAATTCACGCACCACCTTAGATTCCTTTTTGGAGCTTCTTCTGAAGAACCTTTGGGAACTGCAGTTGGTACAAAACACAGCCCTGTTTATCACTTGACTTACGGCCACAATCAAGCTCCAAATTTTGTTGCTAAGAGCGACATTTTGTCAAGTTTTGCCCCATTTTACAATCTTTCTTGCCCCAGTTGTTAAATCACTGCAAGTGAATAACACGTTAAGCGCACCTGGTCTCCCCCCTTGACTCCTCAGAGGGACGCAAAAGGGGATCACGTGATCCGGGGACACTGCAACCATCATAAATGTGAGTCAGTTGCCAAGCCTCTGGATTTTGATCACGTGACCCTGAGGGATGCTGCAAGGATCCAAAGTGGGAAAAACGGTTTGAAGCCGTGGTAGCTTCAAACGGTCACTAAACAAACTCTGGTTAAGTTGGGGAACTAGCCAGATCTCTCCCTCCGAACTCTATTAATTCTACGCTCTGTCTAAAAACTTGATACGACTGATGAAGGCTAGGAAGAAGCTCAAAAGTTGCAAATATAAGCAATTTGGAGTGGCGGCATATACCTTTAAGATAGCCAAGTAGGAAGTAAGTTTGATTCAGCCAACAAGAGTATCAAGGTTGACTGAATTCAACGGAAAATTCAGCCATTTTTATTTAGATAATTAGCAGCCATGTCTCGCTTAGTCCCTGACTGGCACTTCTTGTAACAACTTGATGGGTCTTCAAACAACTAGGCGCTTTAAAAATGACAGCGGCATTGTCGTCCTTTCTGAATTTGAATCCTGAAATAACAACCTGGAACAGTAGATACGTAGCACAGAATAACAGGTGGACGTGGTTTGTTCCAATCGTTCCATGGACGTGACTTGATTTCTATTCTCCAATATAAATGGAGACCCTACCATGTAATTTGGTTAATTTCCCAGTTCCATAAATAATAACTGGATTTTTAACACCATCTGTGATACGGATCTTCAACCTTGGCCATTTTAAGACTTGTGGACTTAACTCCCAGAATTCCTCAGCCAGCTATGATACCTGTGGCTGGAATCATGCAAAGTGTAAGAAGGATGATAACTTTTTATAATTGCTTAACAATGATCAAATAATGGCTTAACCTGCCCCCCCCCCATTAATAAGAACAATCAATAGAGGTATGGAAAAGATAAGATTGAAAGTGTTAATTTTTAATATGCAGTTAATAAAGATCAACCTTTTTATATTTCCAGATTCTACGACATATGCACATTTTCTGTTCAACGCATTTGACACAGATCACAATGGAAGTGTGAGTTTTGAGGTAAGGCTGTTTTTTTTAAAAAAATTAATTATTTCTGTTCTATAGGCAATCCAGTCTTGTCAAAAGGAAAATTAAGTAAAACTTAAAAGTATAAGTACTAATAATTAAATTTGTATATGGGTTTGTGGTATAAATGTTGGTGGTTTATTTTTATTTTTTTTTTCTCTTTCTGGAAAGGAAGAAAGGAAGGCAGTGAAAGGAAGAAAAGAAAATTATTAGCTCCAAATGTGAGATAGGAGACTTAGAAATTGGGATCATTTAAAACCTGGAAATGATAAAGATTAAACGTTAAACTTAAATATCAATGGCAAATTAAAGTTAAGAAAAACTTACTAGGTTATTGTCTAAAAGGTGGAATGTCAAATTAATTAAGATATGTATAGACTGAAGATTATTGATGAATATTAGAAAGGTATTTTTGTTTGATTAATAGAATAAGAACTGTATTGGTTTGAACATGACAGTAGATATCATGGGGGAAAGAGAGGGAATTAGTTTGTTGTAATAATTTGAGATTTGTACTGATGATATTCAAATGTAAAGGAATTACCGTGCTCAGCCACCACGCTACTTTTCAAATATGTAAATGTAATATTGTAAAATTAATAAAAAACTTGAAACTGAAAGTTAAAAAACAAAAAAAACCCCAAGGTCTTGTCAAAAGGTGTTACGTGTTTTCCGTGGGGTTCATAAACACGTGTACTGGGTCAACCGAATTCTTACTATTGATATTATTATTAAATGACATAATCTTTAAGAAAACGCAAGTCCTGGTTTCCTAGCTCTCCACCCCTCACTCCTCTTTCCAGCCAGTATTCTCCTTTAATCCCTTCTCCCATCAATAGTCCCTCAAGAGAAGAGCAAGGGAAATAATTTTAATACAATGAGAAAACATTCAATTAGTGAAGGAAAAGAGAGCTTTTTAAAAATCAACCAGGTACTTAAGTTTCAGCTTTCATTATCTCCCAATTAACATCTTCCCTCTATAAATTCCTTCTTGTTTCAAGAGCTAAATGAAAGGAAATTGTTCCTCCGGAGCTCTGAACTTGAGGAGTGTACTCATAGAAAAACTTTATGGTCTTCTCCAGTTCTAACTACTCCCACTAGGAAGAGGTGATGAATTAATGTTCTTACCAATAGCGGGCAGACAATAAGATATTTCCAAAAGTGTATGGGTCTGGAGAATCATGGAGGTTAACCAAATATATTTACAGGCCAAGTTTAGTTTTTGTTTTTCACATGCAGACTGCAGATTTAAACCACCATATTAAGTGCAGGAAGTGGAGTGGTTAAGCTATTGGACCAAGACAAAAAGAGGAAAAAAATTCACGTCTACCATCAGCTATGGAAGCTGGCTTCTGGAATTGTCACTTCCTCTACACACCTTAACTTATGTATTTATTTATTAAAACAAACTTATATGGCCGTCCAACAAGGTGACTCTGTCAGCTTAACCCAGAATACTATGGAATAAAAATCAGGGATGAACATTGCCTTAAAAACCTGGGGGAAAAGGGATATAAACCAAGGGAGCAAACATGATTGAGCTATGTGAAGCCTTTATATGAAGTTAGTAAAATGTTTGAATGTATCACCAGGCCTTTGTAATCTGGAGGCCTTTGTCAGGATTTGCATATTCATTAATTACACTTTTTTTAATGAATGCAGAAATTGAATAGTCTGCAAATGATTAAACACGCCTTTATTTATTCATGAATTCATACGTGTTTGAAGATAAATCAGACGAGCCACCGAAGGGATTTAGTTAAAAATTCCAATTCTCCATCGTTATCTTACATTCTGGGTAATTCCTGCAGTCATAGCCCCCTTTCTGGAATTAACAGTTCTAAATATTCACCAGATCTCTTCACTGAACCCAACGGGGCTGAAAAATCCTCAGCATGGATAAACTATTGTCTTAGTTAGGTGTATTTATTATATAACGTTTCTGCTTTTTCTTTAAGAAGCTCAGAACAAGTTCCCTTGCGTGGCTGGCAGTATTCTGGTTCAGCTTATTTCTGTCAATACTGTTCACCCTTTTCACCCCAAAAATGTACTAAAAAGGATATTTAAAATACCCACAGAGCAATAACATTTAAATTAAAGGTGTTACTTTTCACTAGATAGCTTGATGTATTCATAGGTAGCTGAATTATGCCAGTGATGTTAGCCTTCATCAAAAACCACAGGCTGTGCTTAAGTCATCTGAAGAGAATAATAATAATTAATAATGTACATAACAGTTAGGGTTGACAGCTATGTTTTTGATTAACTTTGATCTCCTCAATTTTAGCATGGTTTTGGTTGGGGAGCTATTGACAAACCGCTACACGCAGGCCCATCCATGCTGTAAATCACATTCGGTCTCGTAAACCTGGATCACCGCACAGGCTTAATACGAATCGTGTCTGCAATAAAATTTATTTTGAGAAATCAATGCAGTCTAGTGGAAGGAGAAATAAAACCCCCAAAGATGCTGTGAAATGCTGGTCTGCATACTCTGATGTTTGAAGGGAGGGGGGGAACGACCTTTTATTTGGTCTTTGTAATTAACTTTTGTTTGCTGTCACATAGGAGTAACTTCCTGATCTTGTTTATTTGTGGATTACATTGATTTCTAGATTGCCCTCTAGTCTAGGAAGATACCATCCTCCTGGGATAAAACATGTATATTGCTGAATTAATTGAAGTCGGTGTTTGTATGCTAAGGCCATAGGGCAGGGGGAAAAAAAGACCTCTAATCAGCTGTATTCCCTGCTTTGTCTCAGATCCACATTCATGCAAGTCAGCCCAAAGCTGCTTCTACTTTTATAAAAACTGTGGCCTTTGGCGATTCCACTACAACAAAAACCATTATTCACGCAATGCAAGCTGGGTTGGTCCACAGCTTGGGACAGGGCGACTTGTAAAACTCCTGGTTTCACTGCTCAGTGGAGTTGAGTGATAAATAGTATATACCAAGAAAGGAGAATATTTGTAGCTCAGGGTTGAAATGAAGGGGGTCTTTAGTGCTGAGCTTGCAGAGAAGAGGAGGAGGAGAACTGTGGGATCCTTGGTGCTCTCTGAGCTTGCCTGTTTTCTTGCAGACATTTCATTACCCAACTAGGTAACATCATCAGTGCTAGAAAGTGGGATTTGCAGAGGAGGAGGAGGAGGAGGAGGAGGAAGAGGACTGTGGGATCCTTGGTGCTCGCTAAGCTTGGTTGTTTTCTTGCAGACGTTTCATTACCCAATTAGGTAACATCACCAGTGCTAGGTGAGGCTTGCAGATGAGGAGGACTGTGGGGTCCTTGGTGTTCTCTGAGCTGGGTGGTTTCCTTGCATACATCTCATAACCCAAACTAGGGACCTCCTGGGAGCTAGTGAGGAGTAGGCTTTGCCCTAGATAAATAGTATATAATCTGACTCTCATCCAGCTGAAGTGCAGCGTTTTCATTTTCTGATTACAACAACGAGCAAGATCCAAGTTGTTTAAGGGTTTTTTAAAAAATTCCATAGAGTTTTGCTGTCATCTTCCAAGTTTGTCCGCTTTCCTGAAGAAAACAAGGAAAGTAGCAAAGGCTGTTCTGAAGACTCAGATGTCACGTGACAACGATTGTGAGTCAATCAATCACTTAGGCTTATTTTGTGGTTCCTGTTGCCAAAGTGCAGTTCTTCCTGGCAAGTTAGCCTAAAACAATGAAAACCGTCATGTTTTGTATTGTTTCTTCTTCTTCTTCTTCTAGGATTTTGTTATGGGTCTTTCAATTTTGCTCCGTGGGACCGTGCAGGAAAAACTCAGCTGGGCTTTTAATTTGTATGATATAAACAAAGACGGCTATATAACAAAGGAGGTAAGGAATCCCACACAAAAGCCAACCATACACTCACTTTTCACATATGGATAAATCATGATCTCTAGATTCAGAAATGTGGAACAAGATGTATATATTAGAATAATTCCATCTAGATTTTTGTTTAAAAAAAAAAAAAAAACTCTGCTGCTCAGTTGGGCTTGTTCCTCATCTTTACTTTCCTACTTCATCAGGCACTCACAGACAGTATCAAACATCAAAGCTGTTCCTAGATGGGATTAACTTTTTTCGGTGCGTTGGGTTTGTACGTTGCTAATTTTACACATATATGCAAACAGGCGGTCTTGTTTGACAGATAAAATTGTAAGATTTATTTTATTTAAAAATTCTTATGCTCCCATGTCCCTTGCAAGGTGACCCTGGGGGGCTTTGTTTAAATGTGTGTTGCGCATGTGTACATTTCGAGAGCAAGCAACAGTAAAAAATGTCAATAAAGGTCTGTCTGTCTATCTAATCATCTATCAATCTATTATCTATATCATCTATCAATCAAATCTATCATATATCTATCATCTAATCTATCATCTATCTAATCATCAATCTAATCTATCTTCCATCTAGCAAATCTATCATCTGTCTATCATTTATATCATCTATCTATATCTATATCATCTATTTATCATCGATCTAATCTATCAAATCTATCTATCATCTATTTATCTATGTTTGTATCTATCTATCATCTATCAATCATTCATTTATCTATCTATCTATCTATCCATCCATCCATCCATCCATCCATCCATCCATCCATCCATCCAAAATGTGGTGCTGATGGATTCTGCTATATTTTGTTGTACGGGCCTTCCTGCTTCAGAAAGGAATCACAGAATTGCCCGATCTTCAGAAGAGCCTCTGATCCAGACAGTCGTGACCTTTTTTTGTTATGACTTCTAATTCGCCCTCTTGACCATTTCTCAAGAGAGCAACGGAAAGGGCTCCAGTGAGATGTTGGAGAGAGATGGCCTTCTAGATGACTAGAACAGGGATCCTTGGCAACTTTAAGACTTGTGGAATTTGGGAGTTGAAGTCCACAAGTCTTAAAGTTGCCAAAGTTGAGGACCCCTGGACTAGAAGACCCCCAAGGTCCCTTCCAACTCTTGTTACTCTGTTCATCGATCCTTAGAACAGATCTAGGTTCTGTTATCCCCAGATGCCACTGAATGGCTTTCAAGCAAACTTCCACATTTGGGAACTATGATCACACCGTTAATCCACCTTATTGCAGGATTTTGGAGAGCTCCAAAGAGGTCAGACGTCTTCCATCACCACGATGTGTATTTTTCATCGGTTTAATATGTTTGTTTCTCACCAGGAAATGCTTGATATAATGAAGGCTATCTATGACATGATGGGAAAATGCACGTATCCTGTTCTTCAAGAAGATGCCCCGAGACAACACGTGGAAACATTTTTCCAGGTGGGGATTTGCCTAAATCCTGTAGGAAAACTCAGGAAAATCCCTTTGACAGTTTGTGTCGTGATGGTCATGAAATTTGCTCTTACTATGCTACTTGTAAAGGCAAATCAGCTATTCATCTCCCAGGTCTATTTAGGTGATAGTTTATGAGTGCTTTAAAGCTACTTCCATGGAACCACTCTCGTGCTAGGCTTTATTTTCCTTAGACGTATTTGCAAATATTTCTAAAATAAGGAAACAAAATAAAGTAAAATCCAAACGCTAACTGTGGAACCAATCCATTCTCTTTTAGTGGAACCTTAGCATCCACAAATGGTCTTTAAAAAACAAAGCAGTAAACATCTGGAGGAAGAGTTTCTAATCACTTATGCAACCTTTATTATTTCTGTCAGAAAATGGACAGGAACAAGGATGGGGTCGTTACCATAGATGAATTCATCGAAAGCTGCCAGAAAGTAAGTTTAACTGTGGGTGACTTGTAAGCCATGGGAAAGTGCTGGAGGCAGGCACAAGCGCTTCTCTGCTCTGGACCGGTCCCAGCCAATGGCAGTTCAAGCCCCTGCTTGAAAATGACTCACTAGGAAGGGACTCTCCCCCTTGTGCATTTTTCTTTTTGGGGGGGGGGTCACTTTGGAGTGAGTCGCACATTGAATTAGCATTTTTAGCTTCTGAAGACTACCAGAGGGTTATGGGTGGGTGATGCAAGGGGTAACATCCAGAAAAAAAAAAAAATGCCCTGTGCCCTACGAACTTTAGCTCTGCTTTCTTGAGTTTAATAGAACCCCATAATTGGAATTTGCTATTTTGCTGCTCCATTTCAGAGATTCTTGGAGATCTTTCTGGACCCAAGCATCTTTCTGGAATGCAAAGTGTCTGCCTGTTTTAGGCGACTCACTCCGCCATTTGAATATTTCTATTTTCATTAGTACTGTTGATCAGCTGATACTTGTTACCTGCTTGTTACCAAGTTCCATTTCTTAATTACAAGCACTACCCTCTTAATGGGAAATAAGACACAAGTGCACATTCCCACCACTGGGGGAGCAGGCTGAAATTGCTTGCACGGCCCACTCTGGATGGTCTGGTGGCCAGGCCGCCTTAATGCTCCCCTTGTATAGATGAAGGACATTCACCTGTATCTCCAGAAATCAATAGGAGGCTTGCTGAAGGGCTGCGGGGGGGTGGGGGCGGGCGTCAAAGAACGAAAGGATGAACCTTGAATGATGGCCTGTGGTTCTGTATTTCAGCTATGTTGGACTATGGAAGATTACCCAGGTGAGATATAGCCGATTAGCTAGTGGATAGCAGACAGATGATGGATGGACAGAGAGATGGAATTAGAGAGACAGATAGATGGAAATGATAGATATAATAGCTTCATCTTAAAGGAGACATTCATTATATCCATAACTGTGTTGGTGGTGTTAAGAATTTGGTTTCAAATATCTTTTCCTAATAATTAAGAGTTTGTATGGTGGTTTTGTCTTTTTTCGTAGGATGAAAACATAATGCACTCCATGCAACTCTTTGAAAATGTAATTTAACCTCATACAGCTCTCCCTTCAGTGGACAATATGAACAATTCTGCAGCAACACATCTATAAACGTTGCCACTTAGGAATCAGAATTGTCAGCTTTACACTGAGATGTCTATAATGCAAATAAGCTTTGTTTAATTAAAGCCTCCCTTCTGAGACTGTATTTTTCCACTAGTTGAGGTAAAGCAAAGTCATTAAACAATGCTCTCGTTAGTCGTTTTTAAAATGTCATTTGAGTCATAGAACAATCCAAAGAAAACAGCAACAGGGAAATTGCATTACCGTTATTCCAACTTGCACAGCGGAGGTCTCGGAGCGATGGGAAAAAAAGGCAAGCTTTTGGTTAGACGAGTTTCCACAATGTCACGTCTTTAACTCCACAGTCCCTAGTGTACGGAGCTCATCCTCCATAACTCTCAACTGGAGGGGTATTTTTGACAATTACTTTTTAAGGGGAATCCATCCGAGTGTTGCTCGAAGCTTCATGCAGCCGGTGAGCAGTCTCAGATGCTGGCTTCAGGTTGGGTCACTGTGAGAAAGGGGCACTTAAAGGCATCCAGGCATCCCCCCACCCCACCCCGTGTCTCCACAAAGTCTTCCTTAGCCTAGCCTGGGAGAAATATCAGATTCCTTAACGCTACTCTTTTAAATTCAGATCTACAGTTTTTATAATAGCTTTTCTTATGCAAAAGAAAAATGTATTGTTTAAACACTGCCTATGATAAACTTATTCTGTTGACAAATTCACTGACACAGTGAATATCCAGGCAGTAGTTTAGATAAAAGCTTAGCCTTCCCAATCAAAGGGGAGAATTAATTGATACAGCCAGTTCTTGATTGGAATAAAGATGGGAGTCAAAGGAAGACGGATGGGGAACCAGGGAGAGTGGTTTATTCACGCTCCCAGTCGGTGACTGCTCCAGATACGGACCAGGACACAATTATGACAATCAAGCACCGTTTATAGTTTCAAAACCCAAGTAAGATTGGAAGTTTATTAGCATGACTACTTAGAAGGAGCTGTAGATCTTCCAGGAGCTACAACTGCTATTATTCACAGAGTGAAAAGCAGAGAGAGAGAGAGTATTCTGAGAACAACTGAAAAGTCGCAGAAAAACGATCGGAATAAAATTAAAGAGTAAATTTGCCACAGCCTTTAAAAGTGACCGCGGGGAAAAAACACAAGTGCACAATATCTAAGTTAAGAGAGGTACTTCCACCTCTCTTCTCGCTTCTTTAAAAACAAGAAAGGGAAATTAAAAAAAGAAAGGGAGAGACAGACAGAACAGACAGTAGCCAGCAAAAATTCCTGCTACTCAAGACAGTCGAAGTAATATTAAATTACTGTCTGGCTAGATGCTTATTAGTACTGATAGAAGACGTACGGCAGCATTAATCGTTTCTGCGCTGGAGTTCCAGAGAGCTTATGGATGTACAAGGATGCTGCAAACTCTTGTAGTTTTTTTCTTTCTATTTTTAAAAATGGCATCTATTCTGGTACGAGATGGCTTCGAGAGTCAAGCTACTCTACTAATGCCACCGTAGGAGTGGCATTAGTGCCACTGTAGTGCAACACATGTACATCTAAACTTTGTCGTAGAACATTCATGAGAATTAAATGTGCACATTTTATAATAAAAATGAAGACACAGAAGGCCTGGAGTTGTGTTTGTTTGTTTTTCAGTGGACTTCTGGGAAGTCAGTACCTGTATGTTTGTTTTATAAAGTTTAATACTTCAAGACTGCGGTGTAGTTAACTATTTTTCTTTAATACTCATGAAAATCCCTGTGTTTGATGGAGGCATAAAGTATTCTGAGCATCCTGGAAAAAAGACATTCTCCATTCCAACAGAACAAACTATGGACATTTTCCAATCTAGAACCCACAAGAGGTGTTTCTTTAAGAAACACTATAAAAATAAAACAATCTCTATCAACGAATATATTAACGGAGAAACAATCCCTTCAGTTTTTAGCAATTTTAAAATAGGAAGTTTAGGACCTCCTTAACCAGCACTGGGAAAAGACTTTAGCGCCCTCGGGCATCATCATCTAAATTTAGTAAAAATCAAATTGCACAGAGGCTTAAGTAAGTGTTAAATCTAGCAAGGAAGCAAAAAATAATATATTTTTTTAAATGACTGTTTCATAATAATTTTAACGCAAAAGGGACTAAAACAAAGATGGTGCCATTCCTAAGCATTTTTCATAATTAAGCATCCAAGACACTTTTATTTTTGACACTCGTCTTAATTTAAAATATTAATCACTTCTTTCCCTGAAAGGTCACAGAACAATACACTATAGAAAAATAAATAACACCATGTAGTTGCAAGGCAGGGCTCTTCATCACATTCCTTAGGAAGAAATTGAAGAATAAGTTGGAATCTTTGCCTTTATAATAGTCAGGCTTTCCTGTTGATAAAATAGGAATTGAAAAATAGGTTTGTACTGAAGTCGGCTTACGGGGGACCAAATTCCCTCTTTGCCTGAAAACAAATTTATTTCTAATTTCAAAAGGTTTTGAACAAATCTGTTGTGGGACACGTTGTGTGAACCTATAGATGGAATCCCAGCTTTGACTTAAACTATTTCAGCTCTAAGTTTAGAAGTATGAAGTAAGAATAAACACATTTACACCAAAATACAGATGGTCCTCAGGCCATGTCGGCAATCGGGACTGGAAGTTCGGTCGCTAAGGATACGTCCGTAAAGTGCGACATCACATGATCTTGGCAGTGGCCACCCCAGCCCTCCCCACTGCGTTATTAAGTGAGAATCGTACGTCATTAAACAAGCACCTCCCTGCAATTTCCTGCCAGCTTCTCACAACCAATGGGGAAGCTGTCAGGAAGTTGCACATTGCAGGAAATTTGTAAGAAGGCAAGCAGGCAGATATGGGGGGGGGCCTCCCGGAGGGAGGGAGGGAGGGGGTGTGGTGAGTGGGGGGGGGGGAAGGCATAACAATACAGGTAAAATAAACCGAGGGGGGAGATCAGCAGATTGCCCTTACTTTTCCGCCATATTGCTCCAGTTTTTGCAAAGCCTCCGTGGTTTGTTCTTTGAACTTCTTGCTCATCTGTCTCTTGGAAAGCTGGGGGGAGGCAAAATTAACAGGCAAATAGGACAGTGAGATTTTTAAATGGTCAGACATGGTGCAACATCCTTGTTCAATCTAGACAGGATACTGTTCTTTTATGGGGCAGTCAGCCAAAGGTATGCCTATAGCAGCAGATGTGATTTTTAAACCATGGTTTCCGAACTAAATGCACATGGGTGGGTTTATAGATTATAACAGACTATCAGAGTTGGAAGGGACCTCCAGTCCAACTCCCTGCTCAAGGCAGGAGACTTTATACCATCCCAGTCAGATGGTTGTCCAGCCTCTTCTTGAAAACCTCCAGTGTTGAAGCACCCCCAACTTCTTGAGGCAGGTTGTTCCACTGGTTAATTGTTCTCACTGTCAGGAAATCTCTCCTTAGTTCCAGGTTGGGTCTCTCCTTGGTCAGTTTCCATCCATTGCTTCCTGTCCTGCCTTCAGGTGCTTTGGAGAAGAGCTTGACACCCCCTCTGTTATACTAACCCATAAACCATGGTTTGAAATCAGAGGTGCTTGCATTAACACGCTAAGCAAGACGAAGGACATGATATTATGGCTGAAGTTGATGAGCCAATCCAGTCAATGCATCTTACACGGCCTGACCTGCAGCAGCTTTTTGTTCCAATTCCCAAAGGAATTTTCATTTTTAATAACAGGGCCAATGAGTTAATGGGATGGCTTTTATAATACAGATCCTCACTTGCCACAAACCAGGAAAACTTAGAACCAAGTTATAAGCAAAAATTCTGATAAGCTGGGATTAAGCACTTTTATACTCACGCTAGAAAGCAGATGCTTCAGATGACCATTAAGCCAAAAGCCGACGACAGCACTCAACTGCACCAAGGCACTGAGTCCTCTTCGAAACACTTCATCGTCTGAATGGGCCTTTTTTAAACAGAAGAAACGGAATAAGCGGAATATTCACTTGGTTTAAAAATCCCTCGCTAAAAAGCAGAGCCGTACAAGCCGCCGCCACCCCCTTAAAATAATAATAATAATAATAATAATTAGATGGGATCCAGAAAAGGTCCAGAACAAAACTGCAAGGCTTTAATGTAATTGAAAATGCATTTGTGGAATACTGTTAATGTGAAAGTCCTAGTGCCGTTGCTGGTCATCTGGAGCAACTCCACTCGGGGGGCTGCATTCCAGAATGCTGGGCACTTCACAAAGATCTGGGGCAGGGGTAGGCAATCATGGCTCTTTTATGACTCGTGGACTTCAACTCCCAGAATTCTTGAGCCAGCCATTACTGAGGGAAAAGGGAAAGGTTTCCAAGCTGAGCTAGGCTGGCTCAGGAATTCTGGGAGTTGAAGTCCACCAGTCATAAAAGGGCCAGGTTTGAAGACCCCTGGTCCAGTCATCTGGTTTAATTTTTGAAATGCATTCCTTTTTTCCTTCTTTCCAACTTTCCTGCTTTTTATACTACCTTGTAGAAGATCTTGGTAACAAGCTGGCTATCAAAACCTAATAAAAGTATGTCTATTCTGCTGGCTGAAGAACTCTGGGAGTCAAAGTCCACAAGTCATAAAAGGGCCAGGTTTGAAGACCCCCTGGTTTAGAACAATTATTCTTTTTGGGAAGAACCCTGCAAGGCTAACAGGTGGCATTAAGCTGTGGGGTATTAGCAGAGGCCTAATTCATAAATTGCAGTGAGGACTTATTAAAGGAGTTGTCACAAGGAAAAACTGTCTGTCACCCAACCTGAAACAATTTAGGAAAAGAGTCCACCACATTAAAAAAAAAAAAAAATGTTGGCAGCCACCCCAGACAGCCCTCTTCCCCTGGGTATTTACTGTCACTCTTCAGCTCAGAAGATAAACACGAGGCATTAAGCAAAAACAGCAATGTGGTATATATTAAGGCAGAAACTTTTCTTATTTCGGTTGGAGAAAAGCTCGAAATATTTTGCCCTCAGGTTGGTTCCTCTCTTACTTAACATTTTTAATCTCTGCCTGGTGCTGTTCCTGGGAGGACTTTTTTTCCCCCCAGAATGGGCTGGAAAACAGTGGCTCAAACACAAGGTCGGTGAGAGAATTGGGGCCTTAAGACCCAGCATCCGAAGCGGTGGTCTCTCAACCGTGGCAACTTGAAGATGGGTGGGCTTCAACCGCCAGAATTCTGGGAGTTGAAGACCAAAGATCTTCAAGTTGCCATGGTTGAGCAACACAGAGCAAGTTCCTTTGCATCCACACTGCTGGAAGCATCCAGGGTTTGCCACGATGAAAGATGAAAACTCAGAACGTGAAACGTGTCCACCTGTTGCGGTATTCCCGACCCATCGTGGCCAATCAAAAGGGACGGTCTCCCTCTTCCCCGTGTTCCTCAAAAGACTCGCTTTGGCCCCCTGCCCGTGGGGCACGAGCACGGGAGATCTAGGAAGGCGGTGCCCGAAATCAGAAAGCCCCAAACCCCGGGGAACCCCTTGGTTATGTCCTCCAATGACGGAGACCTACCAAAGCACCTTTTAACACCGGGACCAGCCGAGGGAGCAACGGGAGGGTTTTCTGCGCCGCTCCTTCCACCGAGAGCAGCTCTTTGAAGCCTTCCTGGGAGATGAATGTGTACGGGTGCCTCGTCTCTTTTAGGCCCTGCCGGAGTCACACAACACAGCGTTAACACACAGCTCCCTTTGCCTCTGAAATCCATAAAAGAAAAAGAGAGAGAGAGAGAGAGAGAGAGAAAACCCAAGAGCCACTGAGTCTATGCTGGAACAATCCAGAGATTGGTTCCATTTCAAATGCACGTTTGCCCCCTTCTGGGTCTATCCAGCTTTGCAACGCTCAACAAGTACATTCTATGTTTATGCAGTGGGTAGTTTTTTGAAAGAAAAAAGAAAGAAAGAAAGAAAGAAAGAAAGAAAGAAAGAAAGAAAGAAAGAAAGAAAGAAAGAAAGAGGGAGGGAGGGAGGGAGGGAGGGAGGGAGGGAGGGAGGGAGGGAGGGAGGAAGGAAGGAAGGAAGGAAGGAAGGAAGGAAGGAAGGAAGGAAGGAAGTCAAAGTTTGGGGATCAATTCATTTTTACTAGCCTTTACTACTAGTAGTAGTAATTGAGAAATTCTCAATTTCTCCGCTTCCCCAAACCCCGACCCCAAAGCCAAACCTCTAGCTAAGCAACAGAAGAATTACACCAACAAAGCAGATCATTCGTTACACCCAGTTCTTTCATGTATATGTATTTTTTTTGACAAACTGTCACTGGGTTTCCAGTGTTCTTCATAAAATTATAACTTTGTTTTTTTTTAAAGGAGGGTTGTAACACATTGTTTTTAAGAAAATCCCAGCTTCCCCTTGCCCTTGACACAGAGTCAACAAGAACATACAAATTGTAGGAATTGTCTTCCAAACTTGAAAAGCTGATTTACCTCTGCTAAATTAATAAGAAGGGGATCAAACTGAAGTGATGCAGGGTGACAGTCCCATTGCAGTTTGTGCCTTACAGAGCCGTGGACTAACCTGGAACAAAGCATTGGAGACATAAATAACAGGGCTTGTCCAGGCAGTTGCCAAGGGTCAACACTGGCAGGGAAGGAAGGAAGGAAGGAAGGAAGGAAGGAAGGAAGGAAGGAAGGAAGGAAGGAAGGAAGGAAGGAAGGAAGGAAGGAAGGAAGGAAGGAAGGAGGGAGGGAGGGCTTTTAAAACTAAAAGCTCTTTTAAAAAATGTTTTACTTCTGGAAAAATGTTTAAGCAATATACATTCCCAGAAACAAGTAAAATTATCTTTTCTTAGTCGTATTATTTTTGGATTGTTGTTCTTTTAATCTACATGTAGTACAATTCAAGGCCCATCTTATTCCCCCATAAGTCTATGGGAGAGGGCATTCCCAGAAACTGAAAAACACTTTAAAATGCTAACATGCGAATGAAGCAGTCCTGATTTGATTCAACATTTAGTACTTCCGTAAATTTAATTTGCTCACCCAGGTAGGTCCCAGGTATTACCTGCAAGGGATGCCCCCTTTAGAATAAATGGCTGCAAAGGTGGAAGACACTCTTGACTCAATATTGAACTAGAACAAAAGGAAATAACACGGTCAGCATATTATTATTCTAACACAGATATACCCCAGCAAGACACGGCTTTAATCCAAGTCCTACTGAAGTTAAACCCTCCCAATGGGACCTGGAGGTGCTTTTGCGGTACTGCTCTCTAGGTTATATTTTGAGGATATATTATTATAAAAACCTAAACATAAGCGTATATTCAGAACGAAGATTTAAATCAGAAAAGAGTGCACAGGCCAAACACTTTCAGCTGACAAAAGATTATGTGACTTTTCTTCTTGGCTTAAAGAACACGAAGAAGCAAAAGTTAACCAGTTGGAGTTTACATTAATAAGATGACACAAAAAGGAAAAGAAGCGACTCAAACCATAATTAACTTTTTGCTAACATTGCTTAGAGCAGTGGTTCTCAACCTTTTTAATGCCTCGACCCCCAACCGGTCGTAAGTCGAGGACTACTCAACCGGTCGTAAGTCGAGGACTACTCAACTGGTGCAGCACCGTTTGCAGAATGGGACTTTTGGCGGGCTCAGCAGGGCAGAGACAGCCTGGACAATTCCTATTGGCTTTTGAAAGCCAATAGAATTAGACTCTATTCAAGAGAGTCTATTCTATTGGCTTTCAAAAGCCAATAGAATAAAAGGGAGTAGCACAGCTAAGGAAAAGGGGGAAAAAATGGCGGACTGCGTTGTTTGGCGACCCCCGTGAAATGGTCGTTCGACCCCAAAGGGGGTCCCGACCCACAGGTGGAGAACCACTGGCTTAGAGTGAGGAACAGCACAGCCATTCCAGGGCTCTCTGCCTTTTGGGCGGTTTCTAACGTTACTAGAGAAAGCAGAAGACAGATCCACGAAGCTTCCTTTTCTACAAGGGACAGTGATTATCCATAAATTCAGCAAGTTCCTCCACTTTTCTCCCAGAAGGCAGGACTAAAAGATTTAAAGGAAACCTCAAATGGAAAGAGCATGTTCGCCCTTCCAATTATGACATCGAAATGTGATAAGAAGGTGGGAAAGAAATTCAAGAGGGGAAAAAAGAAACCTAGAAAAGCAAAATACACAGGAGTGAAATTACTGCTTTTCTATAGGGAAAAAGGCTGTGCTTTCGAGATAAGCCGTCCATCCTCCATAGAAAAGGACTCTTTAGTAAGTCAGTTGTTCCATTGTCCTCATCAAGGAAGGGAGCATCAGGAACTTCCCTAACAAAGGAGGGACACAGAAGCTCATGCTGGCATTTTGCAAGAATCCCACAATAATGTTAAATGGAAACGTGGACCGGGATCCATCTCAATGACATTACTAAGGAAACTTTATCTCTTAAGGTTGGCTGATGGAGAGAATAAAATATACAATACAGCATAGAAAGAAGATGTATTTTGTTTTCTTTATGGGTGGACATCCATTTTATGCAAAACCTTCTCCGGAATTTTAGAACAAAATGGCGGCCTAAGTGTTGCTCCTTACGAAATTAAGATTTTAAAAAAGGAAAGGGCAGTAAATGGGCATACATAAATAAAAAAACGTTTTATATATTTTAAAAATAGGCCCATTAGTTTTGAAAGCAAAATAAAGGAAGAGAATTGAACAATAATCCGTGCTATGAAGAGAAAAAAGAGAAAAGAATACAATAAACTAGAAATACTGGGAATCTTTCAGCCAAGATAAAAAGAACTGATAATGCAAAGGGATTTATTAAATCTCTAAGCTTCCTATAATGCACTTCTAAAAATCCTACACACGTGAAATAGGAATTTTCTGCATTTATTTGGTTATATTCAAAAGGTCTAGAGACTGCTAAAAACATAATCCTGTTTAATCACTATAAATCCAAGTCAGTTTAGAAAAGGCTGCTTTTCCCAAGGACGCTTAAGAGTCATGGTTGGGTTCCACTGTAGGAAAAACTAAACACACTCCCTAATTCTAGCATCCACTTTGGGGTGGGGGGAGCTGAGAAGGTAGCCACACTAAGCTGATACGAGGGTCAGAAATCCTGCAACTTTTTAAAATCCTGCCACTAAATCCTGCCCAAGCTTCAGAGAGGCCAGAAGAGCTTTTGAAAGGAATTACAGTGATCCAGGAAAGGATCGAAGGAGGCTTTCTGATCAGCAGGTGCAAAGGCTGGACCGCTCCGATTCTCAACCAGATCTGATGCCGGAAGAAAAGACTTTGTTGTTGTTGTTGTCGTTGTCGTCCTTGTGCTCAATTTCAGCAGAAGACATCAAATCTGCCGTTACAACTGGAACCTCCTTGAAAGTCCCAGCCCTGAAGTGAGACTTAGCGGGGAGGGTCCCAAATTCAGGGGAGCAAACGAGAGAAGCCACCCAGTTCCCTGGAGGCAGGTAGCGTGGCAACTTGATATAGTGAGGATGATGAGGATGATGATCAGAATCAGAGTAGAGCTGGAAGGGATCCGTACATACCGGATCGATGGTTTTGGGATTCAGCCGGTCGCTGGGCCGAGGCCGCGACTTCAAGGCCGAAGCTGGAGAGGCTGCAGGAGCCGAGCAGGTCTTCCTCTTCTGGGTCTCCCTTTTCTCCCTCGTTCCGCGGCCCGGAGACGTCCCCTTCCCCACGTGGCCTGCCAAATAGCAAGGAGAGAAGGCCCCGGGGTGGGGGGGGGAGAATCAGCCCCCTGAAGGTAATTCAGGACATTAATATATATATATATATATATATATATATATATATATATATATATATATATATATACTTTTTGGGGAACTTATTTTATCACTGGCTGGAAAAATGAGATAGCGACTAAGAACTAAGCAAAAATCAACCCAGATAACACATTGTTCATTAAGCACTAATGAATTGTAATGATAGAAAATAAAATACATACATACATATATACACATATACATATCTATATATATATCTATATATCTATATCTATATCTACATATATCTACATCTATCTATCTGTCTATCTATCTATCTATCTATCTATATCTATATCTACATCTCTCTCTCTATCTATCTATCTATATCTATAGATAGATAGATAGACAGATAGATAGATAGATATCTCTCTATATATACAAATTTCTTTTTTGTTGACTTAAGTGCATCAATCAAACCAGTCTCTCTCTCTCTCTCTCTCTCTCTCTCTCTCTCTCTCTGACAGATAGACAAACAGATAGATTAGATAGAGATATATAGATGATAGACAGAGATGATAGATAGAGAGATATAGATATATAAAAGAAGAAGAGCGAAGAAGAGAAGTGTGAGTACCAGCTGCTGCTGCTGCTGCTGCCTCTCTGCTGCCTTCAGCTTCCTCAGCCCGCTGCATCCCTTCCTGGGGGGCGGCCTAAGGGGAGGGCGGCCTCATTGCGCTGCACCCAGCACGCGCCTGCAAAGGGAGGCAGAGGAGGCTCAGGGGCCGAACAGCTCAGGCGCCTGGGCTTGGTGCAGGGTGGGGCAGAGGGGTCAGCCCCAGGGCTTGGGGGGGGCAGTTCATGGCTGCAGTTCATGCCCCCCCCCCCCGCTTTCCTGGCTCTTCCAGCGGGATCAGCTCTGCTGGCTGCCCTCTGCTCCTCCTGGGGGGCAGCTCCCTCCGTAGCCTCGGGGGGGGGGGCAATGGGGGGCAGGCTGGCCGCTCCAGGAGGACAGGAACCGGACACTGACCCCAACAACAGCCCTGCCAGGGAGCATCTGGGATGCTCACGGTCAGAGGGCGGGGCCAGGAGACGGAGAGCGGATCTGGTTAAGGCTTGGAGGGGGGACCAGTAGGAGATCCCAGGCAGAAGGAAATGGGAATGCCGGCTCAGGACTGGAGACGGGGGGGGGAGGGGGGAAAGGCCTCGGATGGATGGGGGGGTCCAGCAGGGGATTGTAGATAGGAGACAACAGAGCCTGGGGTTGACAAAAGGAATGCAGCTGATGAGTTTAAGGATGGGGGGCCACCAGGAGATCCCAGGGAGAAGGCAAAGCAGGACTACTTTGGCCTTCTGGCTAAAAAACCTGACCTGGGCTTGGTCTATATGGACACGGAACCACCAGGAGATCCCAGGGTAGAAGGCAAGGCAAAGCAACTTTGGCCTTTTGGATATAAAATGATCTAGGCTTCATCTATGGACAGGGGACCACCAGGAGATCCCAGGGAGAAGGCAAACAGAACTACTTTAGCCTTTGGCTAAAAAAAAGAGACCTGGGCTTGGTCTATGGACAGGGGACCACCAGGAGATCCCAGGCAGAAGGCAACAGGGAGGCCTCGATGTCTTCAGGAGGTCATCCAGAGACAGATTGGCCTCCCCAGGGATGAATTTGGCCAGGGCAAAGATTAGGGGGGCCACCAGGAGATCACAGGAGACCCCCCCCTCCCGCCACCACGCACGACTGCTGTGACAGGCCAGGACGGGACGGGAGACCACCAGGAAATCCCAGGAGGCGGAACGACCGGCCGGCCAAGCCCCTCCCCTGGGTTGTTTCTCCCCACCCCCACCTCCCCAAAGGGATTCGGGAAAAAGCCGTCTGCACGTGGTCCGGGGGCGGGTAGGCCTACCTGAACTACCGCGTCGGGGCTCCTCAGGGGCGACGGGCCGCCCGCTTCGCTCCGGCGGGGTAAGCGGGGAGGAAAGCCCGTCGGTCGCGGCGCGCAAATCGAGGTAGGCCGCGGCGGTCCTGCCGTTGCCATGGGAACTACGGGGCGGCGGAGAGGCCAAACGTCTCCCGAATGCGCCCGCGCTTGGAACGCCGGCGCCCTCTAGAGGTCAACCGCAGCAGAGCGAAGAGGGGTTGGACTACCTTGGCGACTTTTAAGGCTTGTGGACTTCAGCTCCCAGAATTCCTCAGCCAGCTGTGCTGGCTGAGGAATTCTGGGAGTTGAAGTCCACAAGTCTTAACGTTGTCAAGGTTGCAGACCTCTGGACTAGAAGACCACCGAGGTCTATTCGGATTGGCGGGGGTTGCTCTTCTTCCTTCTGGCTGAAACCAGGGAGGGTAAACATCTGGCTCGACCACAACATCTGCTCTTTCGCCAACCGGAGAAGAAACAAATGCAGGAGCCCTTTTTCTCAGTTCTGCAGGTTGCCCACTGGAGGGAAGTGCCGCTCCGTAGTTCGCTTCTTCCCCTTTCAGTGGGAAAGGAGAGTTCAAAACAACAATTGCAAACAGATTGGAAAGAATTGCAAATAAATACACAACGATTGCAAATAAGCCTGGGAGAGTCTTGGTGGTCCACGTTCATTTTTTTTACTCACTTATAGAAAGCGAGCAAGCATAGTTTCCTGTTTTATCAATATCAATCAATCAATCAATCTCAATCGGGACAGCTGGAAGGGACCTCGGAGGTCTTCTAGTCCAACCCCCTGCTCAGGCCGGGGACCCCAGACCATTTCAGATAGTTGTCCAGTCTCTTTTGGAAAACCTCCAGTGATGGAGCACCCACAACTTCTGGAGGCAAGTAGTTCCACTGGTTAATTGTTCTCATTGTTAGGAAGTTTCTCCTTAATTCCAGGTTGCTCCCCTTATAATATGGTATAGGTTTCCTGCCTGAGCAGGGGGTTGGACTAGATGACCTCCCAGACCCTTCCAACTTTTATTGTTATTATGGATCATCGCACAGTCAGCCAGATGTTCAGACTGTCTACCTATCGAGTCCTTACCAAGGACCTTGGATAGGCAGATGTGGATGTTTGATATTATTATTGTTGTTATTAATTGTTAATTATTATTATTATTATTATATGCTTTTATGCTAGAAAGGTTTTTATTGGTCTTATGGGGCAGGGGGCTTACGACGGTAGTCCTCGGCATGCAACCACAAATTGGATCAGAATTTCTCTTGCTAAGCAAGAGTTAAATGACTCGCACCTGATTTTATGAGCTTTTTTGCCATAGTACTTAAGTGACTTGCTGCATCGTTCAGCAAATTCAGCTTCCCCCATTGACTTCGTTGGATGCCGGCTGGGAAGGTCATGAATCTAGGGTGACTTTGGGAATGCTCTTTCATGTGGGGAGATCTCAGTTTTATTTGGCTAACAAGGACACTCGTGTCACTTTCAGAAGTGCTACTGACACACCAGATATACCCACCACACCCGTCGTGTGCCTTCTGAGATGCAGAATTTCAGATTTTTTTTCTCCCCTATTACAATATATTCCTATCTATTGACTGCTTCTTCCTGCAGTGGACATGCATCTACTTTTTTTTTTTAATCCTTCGCCTCTCCACTAAAGCAGGAGTGGGCAACTACAGCCCCTTTACCACCTGTGAACTTCAACTCCCAGAATTCCTGGGTATTCTAACTCGGGAACTCCCAGAGTTCCCATGGCTGGCTCAGGAATTCTGGGAGTTGAAGTCCACAGGCCGTAAAGGGGCCGTAGTTGCCCAGTCCTGCTCTAGAAGTACTATCCATCCAGCCCTCCCAACTTTTCTGTCATATGATGACTTTATCAATGTCTCCTAAATGCCCTGATCCAAATCATTTTAAAAAATAATTAACAGGACGAACTCTGAGCACTGACAAGTACTTTACCTAAAATGGGTGGTATAAAAACATGACACTGTGACAAATGCAGATATTGGGAGAATCTTTATACCTCTAGGAAAAAAGCATGTTGTGGCTCTTACATTACATGAGATACTCCTTTAGTAAGCTGCTTGTCTCTCCAACTTTCCGTAGCAAGAGAAGGTGCCTTTGACTACATCCAGAATTCATAGCTGTATACTGCAAATATTACATTCATATATAGTGTAGAATAGTGCAGTATTACTGTTTGTTTATTCATGTCAGAAGCATCATAATTAAAATAAGGCATACTATACAAAATAAAAACAACAAAGGTATTAGTGTTTTTAAAAAAACCCTTTACACTTAATGCAACAGCTGTCATTTTCCCATGAAATGAATTCTTGCTTCTTACACAATATTCTTTGTTGAACCTGCATGAAAGGATTGCCTCACCTCCATCTTTGGGACTGAATGGATGCAACTGTGTGTTTTGAAAGAGAGACAAGGAAATAATAATAATAATAACCCCTCAATAATGTCTTTCTTGGGACCTGAAGCCCCTTTGTTATCTTTGATCTATAATGCGTCACAGTAAAATATAGTTTTATGGGCTGTAAAGAGCAGAAGCTGAGAAACTTCATGGATAATTGATTTAAAGCTTCTCTAGAAGGTGTGAGATCAAAGAGTGGCTTAATGTGTTTATAACTGCCCTGGAGAGCAGTCAACCAAAGCCTGGAAGGGGGGGGGGGTAACCTTGGTCAATGCATTAACAGGATTTGCTTTCTCCAAATCATTCTTTCTCCAGACAGACTTTTTCTTATAAAAGTATACCGAAGTTGGGAATTGATGGCTTGAAGTTCAGCATTGTCGAAGGTACTAAATACATTTCAAATCACTTGCTGAGTTCACAGTATCACACATTGGACAACTATTTGTCTGAAATGGTATAAGGTCTCCTGCTTGAGCAGGGGGTTGGACTCAATGACCTCCAAGGTCCCTTCCAGCTCTGTTATTCTGTCATTCCACACTAAGCTCTGGCTTGTTTCTCAGATGTAATTCAGGATACAGGCACAACTGAGCCTTAACTTTCTGTTGCTACGTGACACATTTGTTAAGTGAGTTTCGCTCATTTTATGTCCTTTCCTGCCACAGATGATAAGAGAATCGCTGCAGTTGTTAAACTAGTAACACAGTTGTTAAGTGAATCTGGCTTCCCCATTTGACTTTGCTGGTCAGAAAGTTGCAAAAGGGAATTATATGACCCAGGGACACTGCGACCGTCATAAATATGAGCCGGTTGCCAAGCAAAAGGTGGATCAAGACCACCTCAGCCAAATATGGCGGTCCAATTGGCAAAAAGCTCAGGAACGCCTTGGGTAGAAACATGGGTGGAAGAGGCCTTCATCTTGCACTGGATGAGATGATGGCTAAAAGGATGAATGAGGATGAGAGTCAAGCATCCAAATTTTGATCACGTGACTCTGGGGGTGCTGCCGCAGTCGTGTGAAAAATGGTCACGTCACTTTTTTTCCAATGCTGTTGTCATTTTTGATGGCCACTAAACGAATTTAACAACTTATATAACCTTCCTCAATTGTGTAATTGTATCTTTCACTTGTTGTATCATTGCTTTAGAATTCAGTGGTTCATACGGTGTAGTTTCAGGCCTACAGAATTATCCTGGTCCAGCAGCCATAAGATTAATTTGATGGGACACTTCAGATAATTGATACTCCGATCAATGTTTTTGCCTCGCCACTCGTGAGGAATGTTTGCGAACGTGACCTCTGCTTTTACAATAACCATCAAAAAGATCTCATTTCTTCCCATTCTGTCCCCTCCCCAAAGAATAAAATGATATGCTACCATTTTTTAACACACATAAATATGGACTATGAAATTAGGCGGAATTTATTCTCTCATAAAACTCCAGCGTGCCCGAGCAGACAATTCAGTTCGGACGGAAAAGAACAGAAAGCTGCAGTGTCATTTTCATGTTAGATTAAAAAACAAACAGAGATCTATCTGATCTTTCGGTTCTTCGTGCCATCAAACTGGCACTAAAGCAGAATTAGACAAAAGTTTGTACAACTAATGCAGGGCCTTGAAAGGGATTGAATTCTCTCTGCCCTGATATTTTGATATCTCGTCCTTCATCTTATTTATCCTTCATCCAGCTTCCCTTTTTTCTTTGCCCTCCTTTCTCTTTTGTTCAATTCCATCCTTTGAATCATTCTGAACGCCTCTCCGTTCCATCACCCATTGAATTCTCCAATATTTCTTAAAAAGACTGAACATGCTCTCCAACTCAGTATTAGCAGTAGCAATAGCACAAGCAGACTTATATACCCCTTTATTGTGCTTTTTACAGCCCTAAGTGGTTTACAGAGTCAGCCTGTTGCCCCCAACAATCTGAGTCCTCATTTTACCGACCTTGGAAGGACGGATAGAAGGTTGAGTCAACCTTGAGCCAGTCAGGATCGAACTGCTGGCAGTGGGTAGAGTCAGCCTGCAATACTGCACTCTCACCACTGCACCACCACAGCTCAATATTAAAAAGAGCTAAGATATCTGGGACATTTCTTAGGAAGCTTAAAATGGGATGTTTTACCCCCAAGTTCCTCAGACTTCATTCTCTTGTCCATGAGTCCTTCTGCTACCTTCTCCCTCACAGTGTCAGCTTATTCCTTCCTGAATGTCTATGGAGATTCTCCGTCATCCAGATCATGGCTGTCCTAAAGGCATTTTTTCAAGAGGCAACTGGACTTCCTTTGTTTTTCCTTGAAGACCTTTTGCTTCTCATCCCAGAAGCTTCTTCAGTTCTTCTTCAGCTTCTTCAGAGCTGAAGAAGTTTCTTGGATGAGAAGCGAAACATTTTCAAGGAAAAACAAAGAAAGTCCAGTCAGAACTGAATAAGCTTCTTGGATTTGAATGGTGGGGAATGGAAGGATAAATCCTTCCATTCCTCACCAATTCAGTCAGAACTGAGGAAGCTTCTTGGATGAGAAGCGAAAAGAAAAACGAAGTAAGTCGTCTCTCGAAAAAGCCACCTTTGAGTCATTCCTTTCTGTTTTTCTTCTATCCAGCCTTCTCTCTATCTGGCACAGCAGACTCCCTACTTGGCGATTTTAAGAGTTGTAAATGTCAATATGCTGGCTGGGGAATTCTGGGAGCTGAAGTTGCCAAATTCAAGACACGCTGTTTTATACAATTTGGTAAAACTTAAGTATAACAGATTGCACTGTGCAGCTGTGCAACTGCAGTAACAACTGATTTTTCCTACTTTTGCCGTTCTCTCCCAAGAGAAATTCCAGTTCATATTTGAAAGGACAGTTTACCTGGCAAAGGCTGGTGACCCCTTGGAGAAATACAAGAAGTGGCACTGAGGTAAAGATCTGTTTAATTTACAAATATCAGTAAAGATACTGATACCAGTCCAAATTAGACAAAGCAGCACCATATTACACATGTACAACTATCTTTTTCCTTGTATAAAAGAAGTTAAACCTCCCTTTTTACAGGGTACCCCGTGATTTACTAAAAAAGAACACAACCCACTATAAAGAATTATTACCAATTCTATGTTATACTTAGCAGCAACGTGTTAACAAAGGAAAAATATTTGGGCGTGTAAAGTAGTTTTAATAATGGGGGAAATGGTAATACAGCCTCTTTTATTCATTTTAAAGGTACGAAACTCCAAGGGAACATCAGTTAGAAAATATCTATCTCCTAGTGTCATTTTCAACACATAGTTTCATTTTCTGAAAAGTAACGTATACTTGGTGGGGAAGGGGAGAATCACATCTATAACATCTGCCACCTATTGTAAAAACAATTTCCTTATATATTACAAAGACTTGAGAGTTGTCATCTTTCCTTGCTATAATGAAAATAATCAGATTGTGTGCAATCTCTGGTCTTATGAGGGATACCAGCTGGTACTTGTTACAGTAAAAAATATTAACCCAGACCGAATCTATTTATCCCGTGAGAATCTGCTATATTAGTCCTATTGCAAATATCCTGATTTTAAGGTTTTTTTTTCTCTCTCTCTCTTTTTAAAAAAAACTGAAAATACAAAAATATCAGGACAAATATAAATTAATATATATTAAAGCATTGGGGGGAAAAAAGTAAAAAGATTGGCCTAGATGTTAAGTACAGTGTACTTTGATACAATAAATATTTCTCAATAAACAGAATACTGTATAGAGCCGTTCAGAATTCATAGAAACAAAACTCCGTTATTATATCTAATTTTCTCAACAATAATCTATTTTATCAATCTTATCATTTATATTACAAAAAGAAATTAATACTGTAAGAGGGCGGGTAAATGCTTTCTTCCTTTCCTGTCTTTGTAACATGCTAACATTTTTTTAAAAAATGCATTAGAAGATCTTAGGATAATGGTGAATTAGCAAAAGCTCTTCATTTTCTCAACTTTTTTTTTTTTTTACACTGTACAAAATGCATCGCTTTTTTTTTTTTTCTTCTTCAACTTGTAAAAAGGAGTCTCCTCCATCGGAGAGCGGTCTTCTCGGTCTCGTGAAGGAAATAAAACCAAAGCAATGTGAAGCGGGTCCCTCTGCCCCAACTTATAGTTAAAGTAGATAAAAGGAAAGCTTTATATTCTCTCTCTCCTCAACGCAAGGATCAAACCGAAAGATAATTGAGCGAAGGGCGTCTGTATCTTCAGTGTGTCTTGAAGAACGTTGAGTGTTAAAAGTCGTTGAAATTTTCCTATCCCGGTTAAAATTTTATCAGGGTCTTTTCTTTTCTTTTTTACATATATGTATTTCCTTCCTTCAAGTCCTTGGAGCTTCCAGAAGTCCCTCTGAGCAATTTGACTTTGCTTTTTGTAGTTAAAGAAGCAGTTCTTTGATTCTCGTAATAAAAATAAGCCTGTTTTGTATTTTACAATATATATCCGCTATGAAGCCTTGCTTTAGTCCAAGAAGCGGCTGGTACAGGATTTTCCAAAAAGGAAATCAGGGCGGGAAAAGGACCGGCTGCTTTTAAGGGAGGCACTGCTGGGTGCAGCCGCACCTGACCACTTTCTCCACCTCGCCTACGAAGGAGGAGCCGTCGGTGCATTCAAAAAGATATTTCCTCTTTTTGCTTCTCAGAGGCCTGCAACACTGTCCGTTCTCACAGCTCCCTTTACACTCCAGTCTCAAAACCTTCTCCGTCGTTTGGCACGCGGCGTAACCTTGCTGCTTTTGGAAATAATCCCGGATTCGTTCCTCTCGGCAAGAGATTTCTGCAAGGGGAGAAAAGCAGGACAGCTCCTGAACGGCCACTAGGTAGGCGGGACGCTTAATGGCGCCTCTTACTCAGAGTAGCCACTCAAGATCCCTTCTGCTTTGTTTTTCTTTTGGCTTAGAAAACAAGCAAGCAAGCAAGCAAGCAAGCAAGCAAAGAAAGAAAGAAAGAAAGAAAGAAAGAAAGAAAGAAAGAAAGAAAGAAAGAAAGAAAGAAAGAAAGAAAGAAAGGAAAGAAAGAGAAAGAAAGAAAGAAAGAAAGAAAGAAAGAAAGAAAGAAAGAAAGAAAGAAAGAAAGAAAGAAAGAAAGAAAGAAAACCCAAGGATTTTCCTCCATAGGATTAAAGCTGACATGCACACCCAGAACAGCCTTTTTTGGCTGCTGATTTATATCCAAACTCAAAATGCACTGCTACTACTAGGACCAGAAAACTGGAAAGTTAAATCTTTTTCTTTATGACAAAAACACATATCCTCTATTTTCAACAGCCAGCTGGTTTTCTTTGACAGTTCGGAAATGTTTGAGACGGCATGCAATTTCACTTCTTAGACCTAGAGTTAAATACTATCCAATCTGTGATTTAATAGAGGCTCCAGTCCCCTAGCTCCATAAATTATCGAGGCATAAAATCAGCTTAAGTGGGAGAGCTCCATCCTCGTGTCCTATTGTAATCCCACAGATGCCAAAAGCCCAGAATAAATAAATACCAGCTCTAGAAATGGGAAGGGAGAGAAAAGACAGGAGACACAGAAGGGAAGTGGAAAGGGGGGGGGTAACTTCACCCTGTTTTTATCCATCTCACCTGCATAATTCGCTGTGATAAATCAGTTGAAGATGAGAGGTCAAAAGTAGAATTTGGGATAAAGCTAGCAGCAGAATCATTGGTTTTGGCTTCAGAGTTGCAGTAGGTAGAGAAACAATAAATACAGAAAGACACAGGAGGTATAAGGCGGCAGTTTAAATATAGCAAAAAGTTGCTTCTGAAGAAAGAGAAAAGTTTTTATAGCAAAATCGTGAAAAGGGGGGGGGGGAGGTAAGAAAAACCTTCCTGGTTTTAGGCTATAAAATTAGAAAAAGCAATTAAAAACATCCCTCTCTCTGTTAATCATAAAGCAAAGCTGAAAATGTACTAAAATGGGATGGAGATAAAGAAGAAAATTAAAAAATAAATAAATTGAAAAGAAAATTGGAGCATGTGCATGCTGAACAAGATTATTTATTTTTTTTAAGGGAAAAAAAAACCAAAGCAAAACTTTTTTGCTATTCAGATAAAAATTAGGACTTTTCCCTTCTAACGGGAAACCGAGTCCCAGCCAACCGGAGGCTCACCTTTATTGCAGCTCTCCCCAGTATATCCGCTGCGGCATTCGCAATATGGTTTTCCAAGGCCTGAAAGCCTGCATTGACCATGTTTGCATCGGAGGGGCTGGCAGGGGTTAAACACCTCCCCATCTTCATCGCAGAGGGCGCCTCCGTATCCCTGCAGGCATTTACAACTGTATGAAAACGCACTGATTGGCAAGCAGGCACCATGTACACATCTACAGGGGAGACAAGCCCAAGAGAATAACAGTGAATTATTCACCCGACCTCAGGCTCAGTGACAATCTGCGTCTTGGGACTGGGCTCCGAAGGGAAAGGGCCCAGGGGGGCTTCTCATTTTAGAAGAGGCTGGACAACCCTTCGTCTGAAATGGTCTAGGGTCTCCTGCTCAAGCAGGGGGTTGGACTAGAAGACCTCCAAGGTCCCTTCCAACTCTTCTCTTCTCTTTTTCATTATTCTATTCTATTCTATTCTATTCTATTCTATTCTATTCTATTTTTCATTATTCTATTCTATTCTATATTATTCTTTTCTCTCCTTCATTATTATCTTCTCTTCTTCATTATTCTATTCTCTTCATTATTCTCTTCTCTTCTATTCTTCATTATTCCCTTCTCTTCTCTTCTCTTCTCTTCTCTTCTCTTCTCTTCTCTTCTCCATTATTCTATTCTACTCTATTCTATTCCTATTCTATTTTTCATTATTCTCTTCTCTTCTTCATTATTTTATTCTATTCTATTCTTCATTATTCTCCTCTCTTCTTCATTATTCTATTCTATTCTATTCTATTATTTTCTTCTCTTCTTCATTATTCTCTTCTCTTCTTCATTATTCTCTTCTCTTCTCTTCTTCTCTATTCTATTCTTCATTTTTCCCTTCTCTTCTTCATTATTCTATTCTATTCTATTCTATTCTATTCTATTCTATTCTATTCTATTCTATTCTATTTCATTCTCCATTCTATTCCAATTATTATTTTATATTCTATTAACGTAGAATAATAGAGTTGGAAGGGACCTTGGAGATCGTCTAGTCCAACCCCCTGCTCGAGCAGGAGAACCTATATCATTTCAGACCAATGGTTGTCCAGTCTCTTTTTGAAAGCCTTCAGTGATGGAGCATCCACAACTTCTGAAGGCAAGCTATTACATTGGTGGATTGCTCTCATGGTTAGAAAATTTCTCCTTAGTTGTAGGTGGCCTCTGTCTTAACTGCTGCTTAGTTTCCATCCCTTGTTTCCCGTCCTGCCTTTTGGTGCTTTGGAAAATAGCTTGACCTCCTCCTGTTTGTAGGAGCCCTTCAAATATTGGAACAGAGCTATGGATTCTAGTAACTCTCTAAATCAGCTTTGGCGCCTCCAAGTGATAGGCAAGGAGGCAGAAACACCTGGGAAAGAGCCGCTGTAGATGTGTCATGGAAGACCTGTGACAGGATATCACAGATCATAAGTTCTGCTTTTCTCAACAATCAACATGGAACCCACAATGACCACAACCACTGCATTAGATCACTTGCATTCATACAAATACAGGTAGTCCTCTGTTTACAACAGCTGTTCAGTTAGGAACGCAGTTGTGAAGTGAATCTGGCTTCCCCATTGACTTCGCTTGTCAGAAGGTCGAAAAGGGGATCACCTGACCCCAAAGGATGTTGCGACCGTCATAAGTACGAGCCAGGTGCCAAATTCTGTTCACATGACCCTGGGGGTGCTGCAACGGTCATAAGTGTGAAAAACAGCCTGAGTCACTTTTTTCAGTGCCGTCGTAGCTTTTGAACGGTCACTAAATGAACAGCTGCAACTGGTGGACTACCATATAAAGCTTCTCTCCCGGGCCAAAGTCTTTCTCCATTAAAAGTGGTACTGAAGCAGGACTCACTTGTTCCCCAGGCAAGGGCTGCCGGACTGCTGGTCACAAAGCGAGCCGGCCCACCCCTCGTCGCACTGGCAGGTGAAGCCGGAGTGACTCGTTGCCTGGCAAGTCCCGTGAGCGCAGACCTTCTTCAGACACGGCTCGCAGCCGGGGAGAATCCCCACTTGCAACGGGACATTCCTAAAATCTTGCAGCTCGCTGTTGATGAAGAGATTTCGGAGGCAGCCGTGGAAACTGGTGGCATTTTGGCCTGGAGGCTGGGGCAACGCGGCCACGTTTTTCTTCACAGGCAAGCCTGGAGGTGGGAGATTCAAGAGGTGGAAGGAAGGACGGAAAACATCTGGAAGAAATGGCTCACTTGAAACAACCAGCTCGCTGTTACTTCGTTTTGTTTACAGGAATAATAGAATCGAATGGAATGGAATGGAATGGAATGGAATGGAATGGAATAGAATAGAATAGAATAGAATAGAATAGAATAGAATAGAATAGAATAGAATAGAATAGAAAATGGAATGGAATGGAAGCAGAGCAGAACAAAACAGAATAGAACAGAGCTAGAAGGGACCTTGGAGGTCATCTAGTGCAACCCCCTTGTTCAGGCAGGATGCCCTACACCAGGGGTGTCAATCTCAATTTCATTGAGGGCCACATCAGCACTGCAGTTGCCCTCGGGGGACCGGGTGGGTGTGGCCTACTGGGTGGGTGTGAATGGAGTGGGTGTGGCCTACTGGGTGGGCATGGCCAGCTCTACATCATTCGCGTCAAGGGCGCCTGTGGGGGCCTGAGCAGGACAGATCTGAGGGTCTCTGGCAGAAGGGGCAAGCGCCAAGGCATGGTCCATTTCTTCATTCCTCTCAAAGGGTGACACCTCCCCAGCATGCACCCAGGGGGCAGGGCCAACGCAGCAGGGGGTGGTTCCTCGCGGTTTCCAGACGGCCTTGTGGAGCTAAGACTGAATGCGTTCCAGCATAGATGGCCACCACAAAATTGTACATTGGCTACCGGCCGGCTTGGGCCAGGGCAAAGGCAGCGGGGGCTGTTCCCTCACTGTTTCCAGGATGGCTTTGCGGGCCACATGAAACCACTTCGTGGACCACATCTGGCCCCCGGGCCTTGTTTGACATGTCTGCCCTACACCATTTCAGACAAATGGTTGTCCAATCTCTTCTCAAAAATCTCCAGTGATGGACCACCCATAAGTTCTCCTTTCTACTGATTAATTGTTCCACTGATTACTATCTATCAGGAAATTCCTCCTTAGTTCCAGGTTGCTTCTCTCCTTGATTAGTTTCCATCTGTTGCTTCTTGTCCTATCTTCTTCAGGTGCTTTGGAGAATAGCTTGACTCCCCACCTGTTCTTTGTGGCAGCCCCTCAAATACTGGAAGATAGCTATCATGTCACCCCTGGTCTTTCTCTTCATTAAACTAGACATACCCAATTCCTGCAACCGTTCTTCGTATGTTTTAGCCCCCTAATCATCTCTGTTGCTCTTCTCTGTACTCTTTCTAGAGTCTCAACATCTTTTTTACATGGTGGTGACCAAAACTGGATGCAGTATTCCAAGTGTGGCCTTACCCAGGCCTTGTAAAGTGGTATTAACACTTCACGTGATCTGGATTCTGTCCCTCTGTTATTTAATGCAGATGCTACGCAGGTCATCCACTGGCCAGTCTAGGCAGCTTGCTCTCCATTTTCTACACAAACATCCAGACCGCCCCTTTGCTCCCACCTTTCCCACTCTTATAAAGCATTCCTGGTTTCCTTATAGGATTTTTACAGAACTGGATGGATAAGGCTGGAGAAACGCAGTGATAATATATCACTTCACAGGATATTGACACTTGGTTTGACCTCTGGTGGCTGAATTAGATCACTCCACAGTAGACCCATAAAAGCCATATTGACAAGGCAAAAAAAAAAGGATTTTGTTTAGTTAATTTTTATTTTAAAAAATTAACTAAATGCAAAAAGAAAGCAGAATGAAACACACAAAATTATAAAAAAGGGAAACTAAAAAAGGAACAAGAAAAAAAATATTCCAGATGTATACTTGATAGACTCCACTCTTAATATAGTGCAAGGTATAGCAAACAATTCCATCCACCCCAGAAAATAAAATAAAATCTAAATCTGAGCTTAGAAAGGCTTAGCCGTTGAGCTGCTGTGAGACGCCTTAGTTCAGGGGTTCTCAACCTTGGCAACTTTAAGACTTGTGGACTTCAACTCCCAGAATTCCTCAGCCAGCTTTGCTGGCTGAGGAATTCTGGGAGTTGAAGTCCACAAGTCTTAAATTTGCCAAGGTTGAGAACCCCTGCCTTAGTTATTTTAAAAAGTGAGAATGGAGGCTCTTCTTCGCTTTTGCCCAACTGCGTTTTCCAAGGCACCGGACCCGCTTTTTGCATCTCTGGGGCAGGAAGAACTCACCTCCAACATAAAGCGGGGAGTCGAAGTTCAAAGTGGATTGCTTGGACAGGTTGGTGATGGTTTTGGGGTTTCCTCCATCGATGGATAGTGACAGAATCTGGTCCATAACTAGTAACTCCACCATGTGGAACTTCCCATCGTTGATGGTCTCAACGCTGGAAGGGAAAGTGTTTAGTTTCAAAAATATTAGTCACTGCAAAAAGAATTTAAAAATTTCTTAGCAAAATACAAAATTGGCTCACCGTTCTTAATTTGGGGGGCTTTTTTTTAAAAAAAAAATTAACTTTGCAACTTAACCTACAGCCCTTTGCCTTCTTAGTAGCCTCCCTTGCGATAATGTGCAACTTTCTGCCAAGAAGTCGTAATATTTCTGGCCTCAGCCCTTCGAAAGAAGATTAAAACCAGAGGATGATTTACTGGAAGGAGCCACATGTTCAGTTACCCAAATTTACTGGGAAATTAAGAATTCAGGCAACATTCTGCAGGGTCAAGGAAGGTGGAACCGAGATAGCAATTGCTGTTCTCCAGAAAATAGCTGACAAATGCAGAAACTAAAAGATAAATCCAACAAATGTATTTCTATCTGGTCTCAAGGAAACACAAAAACTGCTTTTATGCTGATCCTGCTTCTTTTTCCTGTTACAATCCCAAGGATATTTAAAATATTTAAATTCAAGCAAGTGGAACATAATATATTGGTGGTATAAATTATAGTACTTTTCAAATGTATGTACCAAAGCATTAGGGAAAAAGCAGTATTGAAACCGTTTAAAGTCTTCCTTTACGGTACAGAAAATGCTTGCATTGACAGATCTGGCCCTGAGTCCTTTTTATATTATTTCTAACCACAAAGTAGCACCGTTTTTCCGATTTTAGGATTTTTATTCCATGAAAAGTCACTGAGGATTTTTTTTTAAAAAAAACAAACAAACAGATCATATTCTCCAATATGGCCAAAAGAAGCAATATGAATACCATCTCTAGGGCATCTGGCGTGAAATCAATAATGAAGGTAGCAGAATAACAGAGTTAGAAAAGACTCTGGAGGTCTTCTAGTCCAACCCCCTGCTCACGCAGAAGACCCAGTCTCTTCTTAAAAGACCTCCAGTGATGGAGCACCCACAACTTCTAGAGGCAAGTCGTTCCACTGGTTGATTGATCTCACCCTTAGGAAATTTCTCCTTAGTTCTAGTTTGTTTTTCTCCTTGGTTAGTTTCCAAGCATTATTCCTTGTCTTGCCTATTGGTGCTTTGGAGAACAGCTTGAGCCCCTCTGTGTGAGATATTGCAACACGGCTATCACGCACAGCTATTCCTGCAACCGTTCTTCATATGTTTTAGCTTCCCTAGTCATCTTTGTTGCTCTTCTCTGCACTCTTTCTACAGAGTCTCAACGTCTTTTTTATATTGTGCAACCAAAATTGCAACTTTCCAAGCATGGTCTTACCAAGGGAGCAGAGGAAACGTGGAAAAGGTAAACTTGATCGTGATCCGCTGGGTTCCCTCAGATCATAGTTTAAACTTTTCCAACTTTGAAGAGGAAGGAGGAATTATACACTCCGTTTTATCTCCTAAACCACGCAGGTGGAGTGGAAGGGAAACTTCCTTCTTCAAAAACATTTCAAAATATATTTTCAAAACAACGACACCGGAAAATCCCAAAGATGCTTTTTTTTCCCAAAAGGCAACGGGACTTTCTTGGTTTTTTTCTTTGAAAACAATTCAATTCTTTTCCTTAGTTCTGGACTGAACCATGAAAGTCCAGTTTCCTTTGGAAAAAGCACCTTAGAATCTCCGTAGCTGATTCACTGGAAAATGACTTCTGGAACACAGCTGGATTAAAAACAATGCAAGTTCTCTTCAAAGACTGCGTGTTGTCTATAAGCCCACCTGTAAATGGCAGAGACTGGGTATGATCCTGCGTCATAACTGACCCTCACCCGTCCCCGATAAAGTTCCATGGCGATGTGGTCATTCCCTCCTTTATACAGCAGGATCCCACTGTCTTCATCTGTGGAAATCTGATGGCAAACCATTTTTAATTAGAAATAATAACATTAAAGTTTTTTTTAAAGATTATTGACTACAACGAATTCACCCTTAAGTTAATGTTGTAATTTTTATCTCTCTCTCTCTCTCTATCTCTATATCTATCTGTCACTCTATCTATCTATGTCTATGTCTCTCTCTATCATCTATCACCTATCTATCTATCTATCTATCTATCTATCTATCTATCTATCTATCTATCTATCTATCTATCTATCTATCTATCTATCTATATCTCTATATCTATCACTCTGTCTATGTCTATGTCTCGCTCTCTCTCTCTATCAATCTCTCTCTCTCTATCTATCTATCTATCTATCTATCTCTATCTGTCTATCTATGTCTATGTCTATGTCTATGTCTATGTCTATGTCTGTCTGTCTGTCTGTCTGTCTGTCTGTCTGTCTATCTATCTATCTATCTATCTATCTATCTATCTATCTATTCTCATTAGTAGGATACTGGTCTTCCGCTCTGCTTTAGGGAGATGAGCTGAAATCTGACAGTGCTCCTTTTAGTGGCCGGGGCAGTTTTTGGGAATGGCTTCCCCATAGAGGTGTGGGGGGCTCCCATCCTATCTGCCTTTGGGAAGCTGCTCAAAGGAGAGGGCATTCAGGCCTTGGCCCCATCTCGGTCTGATGATAGCTTGCTTTGCTTCATTTAACTTTATTCTACATTTTTCACTACTTGCTAAACCATCTAATTACAATGGTGGTTCTCAATTTACGACCACCGCTGGGATCAAGATTCTTCATTTCTAAGCAAGGCAGTTCTTGAGGGAATGATGTCCGATTTTATGACCTTCCTTTGCCATAGTTGTCAAGCAAATTAATAAAGTCGTTAAGCAAATCATGCAGTTGTTAAGTGAAGCTGGCCTCCCCCCTAGGACTCGGCTTGTGGGAAGCCGATGGGGAAAGTTGCAATGGGCAATCCCAGGACCCCCGGGGTGGGGCAAACCAACTGCAAATACGTGGTGAGTGCCAAGTGCCTGAATTGTGATTGTGTCACCCTGAGGATGCTGGGATGGTCATAAGGGCCAACCGGGAGTCGCTTATTTCTGCGCCGTTGTAACTCTGAGACATCATTAAACCAACGGTTGCAAGTGGAAGGTATGATTTGTCTATTTTATATGGTTTCTTAGGCAATTTATCCATACAAGTAGTCCTCAGTTTACAACAATTCATTTAGTGACCGTTCAAAGTTACAACAGCGATGAAAAAAGCGATTTATGACCATTTTTCACAGCTACGAACTTTGTGGCTGAGCGGGCGGTCCTTGTCTCCTATTAAAAAGACACATCTCGACAGCGTTGCAACTTGAGGCTGCGTTTTACAACATTTCCCTCAAACATCTTTATGAGAAGCATTGTCATTTCCCAGGCGTTTGGCTCTTCGTTGGGCGTCTCCACCACTGTGAGGGTCTCCTGGGGGTCTTTATCCGTGTTGGCCACTGCTTCATTGGCTCCGAGGACCGTGTGTGGTCAGCGGCCTTGAGCAAAAGCTCTAGGGGGCATCAGAAGCAGGTCTGGGCTCCGTAAAACATATATTCATTTATGTGCATGACTCGCACAACTTCACGCTTTATCTGACTTACCTGGAGGGTGATGTTGGTGTGGGAGAGAAGCTTTGTCGAAGGAATTTGCAGGTACGTTTCTTTGTTGACAAAGTTGATGCTGACCAGCTTTTCGCATCGGTCACCCTGATAACCTGACAGGCAGTGGCAGCTGGGCTCGCTGGCCTTCATGATGCACTGGGCCCCGTTCTGACATTCATAGTGATCACAGGGGCTTGTGCGAGGCAAGACCATCGGGGGCGAAAACTCGCAGAAAAGTCCACTAGATACAAGCAAAGAGATAACCTTGGTTGGGTTAACAGAATCACAGAATTGGAAGGGACTCAGAGGTCCTCTAGTCCAGCCCCCTGCTCAAGCAGGAGACCCTATACATTGCAGACAAGTGGCTGTCCAGTCTCTTCTTAAAAACCTCCAGTGATGGAGCACCCACAACTTCTGGTGGCAAGTTGTTCCACTGGTTAATTGTCCTCCCTGTTAGGAAGTTTCTCCTTAATTCTAGGTTGCTTCTCTCCTTCATTAGTTTCCATCCGTTGCTTCTTGTCCTGCCTTCTGGTGCTGTTGATCCCCTCATTTTTGCAGGAACCCCACAAATATTGGAAGACTGCTATCATGTCCCCCCTAGTCCTTCTCTTCATTCAACTAGACATACCCACTCCTAGCAACCATTCTAGCCTCCAGTCCCCTAATCCTCTTTGTTGCTCTTCTCTGCACTCTTTCTAGAGTCTCAACATCTTTTTTACATCGTGGTGACCAAAACTGGATGTCGTATTCCAAGTGTGGCCTTACCAAGGCATTATAAAGTGGTATTAACACTTCACGTGATCTTGATTCTATCCCTCTGTTAAGGCAGCCTAGCACTGTGTTGGCCTTTTTGGCAGCTGCAGCACACGGCTGGATCCTATCTAAGTGATTGTCCACTAGGACACCAAGATCCCTCTCACACTTACTACCACTGAGCCAAGTTTCCCCTCATTTCTACTTGTGGGTTGATGGTGTTTTCCCAGCTTGGTTGTTTTCCTCCAGATCTTTTCTTACTAGGCTAGGTAAGATCACGAGGCATGAGAGAGTAGAGTTTGCTGATTATTTATCTATGATGGCTACATATAGAGCGATAAACATGCCTGATGATGTTACTCATGCCCAGAGACAAAATTTCTGCAGGAAAACAACCAAGCTCAGAGGACATCAAGAACCTCACAATTAACCCTTGTGTTCTCCACTATTGAAAAGCTTCTTCGTGCATTCTTCTAACATCGATTTTGTTGTGTTACTTCTCACCTGTACCCTTCAGGGCATGTACAGGTGTAACCATTGATGGCATCTGTGCACTGAGCTCCATTTTTACATTTGTTATCCAGGCAGTCATCGTAGTCAACATCACAGTGTTCACCAACATACCCAGGTGTGCAACTACACCTAGAGACAGGAAAAAAAAATGGATAAATGAATGAATGCAACTCATAGTTTTAGCAGCAGGCCGAAGGGACAGGGTGCCCGCTGAAATTGTTAATAGAGGCAGGATTGTTATTTTTACTATTTCAACTAGGTTGAAATTTCAAGATGAATCATGGTGAGTTTAAAACAAAATATTTTAGCATTTGTTTAAGGTTAGTCTATTGACCATACAAATTGTTTTACAGGATGGAATCACAATTCATTATTTGTAAGTTTTTCATTGTTTGTCATTCTGTCTTGGGGAATGTGACATTCTATCAAAATTCTGACGGAAGATTCTGAGTTGTTTCATGAATCATTTTGACAAGTCTCTCTGCTATTGGAGTGACGAGCATCATTTTTTCAAAATGAGCAGGTTTGTGACACTGAGTTGGGGAATTTTATATGTATATGTATATATCAATTAACTGCTTTGAGGTTACTCACCCCAAAACAGGGAGCGAAGTAGGAGCACATAGATTAAATTAATATGATAAAAATGCATTTTCATTTAACAATGAAAAGGGAGGCAACAGACCTCTAGCTCCATTATCTGTCAAGTTTTAGATCCCACATCAGGTAGTCCTCATTTACTGACCATTCAACCATCCAAAGTCGTGACAGCGCCAGAAAAGCTGACTTATTATTGACTCACTGGTATCCCTTTGGGGTCAGGATGCACTTGGACTGGTGCTGGCAGGGGTTCAGGTCCTGGGCACAGAAATCCAGCTTCTCCTCACACAGCTCCCCTGGAACAGAGCAGGGGGGGGGGGGGCGATTCAGCCAGGCTAGAGATTGCACAGGATCAGCGGAACAAAAGAGCCCTGGCTTCCCAAAATAGGTAATTTCCCATCTATCTATCTATCTATCTATCTATCTATCTATCTATCTATCTATCTATCTATCTATCTATCTATCTATCTATCTATCTATATCATCTATCTTCTATCTGTCTGTCTGTCTGTCTCTCTCTCTCTCTCTGTGTCTCTCTCTATCTATCATCTATCTCCTGTTTGTCTGTCTGTGTCTGTGTCTGTCTCTCTGTCTCTCTCTCTCTCCTGTCTGTCTGTCTGTCTCTCTCTCTCTCTGTGTGTGTCTCTCTCTCTCTATCTCTCTATCATCTATCTCCTGTCTGTCTGTCTGTCTCTCTCTCTCTCTCTCTATCTATCTATCATCATATTTCTAAGAGGGGCTGTAGTGCATCATTGATGGCTGCTATCTCAATTACTTTGATAAAACTCTGTGGATAGCCTTGTTCTCAACTAAAAGAAAACCTTGTCTCATTATCCTGAATCCATCACCCTTTAATGTTATAAAATGTTCTGAGATTTTTTTATTAAAAAAAAATCAGTTCCCAGTTCCCACTTCATACCACCTCAGTGATCCTGGACCTTCACCCTGTTCCAACAACATATATTTTAAATTCAACAGATTTTAAGATTGAGAGAGGGAAAGTCCTGTGCATTGGACAGATTAAACACAAAATACATCTGACGTTCTCTTTTCTCCCGTAATTCTTCCAGTAGTCAGGCTAAAGTGAGGTTGATAAGAAAAGCCCACAAAACATCCTTTGAGACCCTTGTGTTTAACCCAATTTTTTTTTTTAAAAAAAAAGAGAGAATCTCAGAAAGAGAGAAATGGTGGTGTCAAACAATTCACACTGTCACTGTTCTAAACAAGCCCATTAATATGTTTATAATTTCTACAAGCACTTATTGGAAGAAAACCCTGCAATAAAATGATGCCTTAAAGCAGGGGGTCTCCATCCCCCGGGCTGCAGCCCCCTCCCGGTCCATGGCCTGTTAGGAATCGGTCTGTGCAAGTGAGCGAAACTGTGTTTAAAATTTTAACAATCAATATTCCCTGAAACACAACTTCAGGATAGGGACTTTGGCTACAATTCAATTTAGATTAATGCTATTTTGATGTCCATAATTAAGATTCATTCAGTCTTTAAGACAACGAATAAGGCTTTCAACCCGAGACACCCCACTATTCGGTTTTAATCCCTATTCTAGTGGCCACCAGAGATTATTTTTCTAGGCTGGCCAAATTAAGTTTAACAATTCATTAATCTGTTCTTGGGAAACAGAGGACTTTATTGGTGAGGACAACACACAAATAAGAAAGTATTAGTAACAAGAGCAACACTGCACAACACCGTTTTTGGTCCTAGGGGTAGTCATGGACCCAAATAACACTTCAGAAGGGAGATTTTAAAGTTAATAATTTGGGCGTCCTCTACTGTTTAGTTTTCAAGCTGAGCATTTTAAAATGAATAATTTAAGGGTCTTCTACTGCTACCCACCCACATACAGGCAGTCCTCGACTTACAACGGATCACTTAGGGGCTGTCGGAAGTTACAATGACACTGAAAAAAGTGGCTCAGGACCATTCCTCACACTTATGACCATAAATCACCAGGATCACGTGATTTACATTCAGACGCTTGACAACTGACTCATATTTATGACGGTTGCACAGTGTCCCGGGGTCATGTGATCCCCTTTTGTGACCTTCTGACAAGCAAAGTCAGTGGGGGGAGCCGGATTCACTTAACGACCGAGTTACTAATTTAAGAACTGCAGCAATTTGCTTAACGGACATGGCGAGAAAAGTCGTAAAATGGGGCAAAGCTCACTTGACCCAATGTCTCACTTGTCAACATCAATTATGGGCTCAGTTGCGGTCGTAAGTTGAGGACTGCCTGTACTGTAGCAACAACATTTCTTTTGAAGGTTGTTCGTTTCTGGAGCACGGGGATCCCCCAAAACTTTTAGGATCCTCTGCAGATTTAAGACCCGAGCAAATATCTGACAGCGGAGCTGAACGGGGCAGATCTTCAGAAGCATGGAAGCCACATTGGGCGGGTGCCCTGAATACTGTCTTCTGGATGGTCACTTCAGCAGCTGGACCCCAGAGGGGACTGAGATAAGAGGGAAAAGAGAAACGGGATCCACTAACCTTTCTCCACCTCATTCAGAATAGCAGCTGGCAGCAACAAAAGGCAGAAAAGACAAAGAGACGTTTACATTCCACCAAAACAGCAAAGCGCAAATAAAGCGAGACACATTGAATGGCGGCAGAGCAATAAAGTCACTGCAGGGAAAGTGGTTGTGCTTTTCAGGGTTTGTTTGTTTGTTTGTTTTATAGCACAGCAAACACACAAGGGGCCCATGTCAGCGCTGGGCACGGGAAGAGGGGGGGGCTAAACCGAAGGCACAAAGGGGGTCTTCACGGCAGACAATAATGAGGGAGAGAGACCCTCTTGATGAGACACTTAATGGTCCTGACATTCAAAAGACTGAGAGTCACATGGGAACAGGTTAGGAAAGGCAGAGTTTCAGCTGCAGGAAACAATATGAGGGGCTTCAGAAACGGTCCATTAAAGCAGGGGTCTTCAAACTTGGCCCTTTTATGACTTGTGAACTTCAATTCCCAGAATTCCTCAGCCAGCCCTCAGGGGGCTGGCTGAGGAATTCTGGGAGTTGAAGTCCACAAGTCATAAAAGGACCAAGTTTGAAGGTCCCTGAACTAAAGCATACAAAGAACGGTTGCAGGAACTGAGTAAGTCTACTCTAAAGCAGGGATCCCCAACCTGTGGGCCGTGAGGGGTTTGCAACTGGGCCGAGGGCTTGCACATCCTCACTTGTGCGAACAGTGGGTGAGTGCGTGTGCTCCATTTATGTGAGCGGCAGGCACGGGTGCTAGTCACTCACACAAATGGAGCCACACGCACGAGCGCGTTTACCAGCCATTTGTGGGAACCATCCCCTCTCTACCCACCCACCCCCGCCAGTCTAGAAAAGGCAGAAACATTGGGGGACTCTGTCTAATGAAAAGAAGGACTCGGGGAGACATGATAGCAGTCTTCCAATGTTCAAAGGGCTCCTACAAAGACGAAGGGGTCAAGCTATTCTCCAAGGCACCACAAGGCAAGACGAGAAGCAAAGGATGGAAACTGATCAAGGAGAGAAGCAACTGAGAACTAAGGAGAAACTTCCTGACAGTGGGAACAATTAACCAGTGGAACAACCTGCCTCCAGAAGCTGTGAATGCTCCATCACTGGAGGTTTTTAAGAAGAGATTGGACAGACACTTGTCTGAAACGGTATAGGAACTCCTGCTTGAGCAGGGGGTTGGACTAAATGACCTCCAAAGTCTCTTCCAACTCTATGTTCTAAAAGTTTCAGCTCTTCTGATTCAATACATTTTTCACAGTTAAAACTTCACAGAGGTGAAATAGGCTCCAGTGATCTTGTTAATTATATACTGAATATTTTACGAATAAGTATATTTCTATCTTGAAGCAAGGATTCCTGCTGTAAAAACGAAAGCTTTGCCTTCTTTTTAGTCTAACGGTAGCTTGCAACTAAAAACAGTATGTTACATAGGAAAAATGTCTATTTAATTATGCATCACTGGAAATTTTCACCAAAGTTATGTACTGCTTTAAATGGCATTTTTACATTCATAAACAAAAAAAATAACCTATCAGAATGTAGGGTAATTTTTGCTATATTTTTTGAAACCTTTCTTTACTGTATTTCCATCCTATGGCTATTGGGCTTTCCATCCAACGTATTGACTGACTCACTCATTAAGCCTTAAAAGACACTCTATATCAGGGGACTTCAAACTTGGCCCTTTTGTGACTTGTGGACTTCAACTCCCAGAATTCCTCAGCCAGGCACGCATGCCTGGCTGAGGAATTCTGGGAGTTGAAGTCCACAAGTCACAAAAGGACCAAGTTTGAAGACCCCTGCTCTCTATATACTAGCTTAATTAGCCTGTGGAGCAAAAACATCCCTGAATCAAACCAATTCAAACTAAACAGCTTTTGTTCCCATCTTTTTTTCCAAGCTAAAACCAATCAAGCAAGCAAGCAAGCAGTGATGCACAAGCTATGATCCTCAACCCTGCCTGTCCTTCAGATGTCACATACCTTGCTTACAGACAACCATCCACGTTACAGACTGTACCACAGTAAACTAAACCCTGCTGGCTCAGAGCTGTTATGCATCACACTATTAGCAATAGCAATAACACTTAGACTTATATAGCACTTTACAGTGCTCCCACATTGTGGTTTACAATGTCAGCCTATTGCCCCCAACAATCTGGGTCCTCATTTTACTAACCTCGGAAGGATGGAAGGCTGAGTCAACTTTGAGCCCCATCAGGATCGAACGCCAGGCTGTGGGCAGAGTTTGCCTACAATGCTGCACTCTCACCACAACTCTATATTAGGACTTCTGCTGTCATTAACCACAAATCTTTGTACATCTGACTATCTTCTAATGGGGCAATAAGCCATTCCATCATCACCCATCGCTATATGTCTACATTAAGCAAAGAGATGCATCTCCATTTAAAAAAAGAATGAATGGATCCAAATTAGACTTCAGAAATGGCAATATTCAGAAACTAGCGTTTTACAGGAGACAAATAAATTCCCCAGGATATTTTTCTATTAACTCAAGATGGTCACCCTGGAGCTGAAGTATTACAAAGACTGGTTTAATCATTTAAACAGCTCAGTTGGAAGAGAATGGGTGACCTGACACTATTTGTCGTGGATTAAAACCGAGACAAAGATAGGAACATGTATGTTAGGGCAGGCAGTAAATGCAAAGCCTGGCTGTTCAGTGCCTACATCTAACTTGTAGGTGTGGGAAAAATCGCTTTTCAGAGGAATGGGGCTGTTTATTAGATAAACTGAGACAAAAGCAATGTGTCCTTGTAGCTCACAATGGCCTGTGGTACGTTTTGTCTGAATATTCCCATAGCAACTCCTGAATCTCAAGATGCAGATTTTTCTTCTAACTGAGACCATTGTTCTCTGTAGATAACAGATGGGTAGGAAGTAACCTGATATCTATTATATTACTTCTGAATATTCATGCATGCATCATTTCCCCCTAATTTCTGAAGTATATAAATACGAGTGCATCTCTTAGTCTGGAGGGGTGTGTCTTCCACTATTATTTTGGAGAAGACCCCCTCCAATATGCATTGGTAAAATTAAATACTTCAGTGAGCCTTGATTATTTGCTCTGGGATCTGCATTTTGATTCTACACAGGAGATCACAGATCACCTTGTAGTAATACACATTACCCAGTCCTTAAGTGCCACCAGATTCTTTGTTTATAAACTATTGATATTCAAGCCTATTTCTCTTACCCAGGATTAAGAAATATTAGAGAGTTTTATATACAACTATAAGCCTGTTAACTAGAACAAAGTACAGGTTTCAAAAGAAAGAAGAATAAATGAATTTTTTCATTTCCAATGTTATATTTAATTTTGAAAAGTCAAATAATCATAATGCATGCGACATCAATATCCAAAACTGTAATTAATAGTGATAGAATATCCATTTTATCGTATCTATATTCAACGGCCAAAGGAACCTAAATAATAGAATATTAAAAATCTAAGTATTTTATACAAATATCATTGCAGTGAAGTAACACACTGTACCAAACCTAGAAGATGGAGCAGTAGATTGTCCATATAGACAATAATATACTGCTCAAAAAAATAAAGGGAACACAAACATATAGGATCCTATACGTTTGTGTTCCCTTTATTTTTGTGAGCAGTATACGTTAAAGGCTGAGATAGTTATATATTAACCCTTTATGGATATTTTTTTAATTTCTATCAATGTTTTTTTTTTCTGATTTCATTAGCACTGTTCTATCTTCATCATCTCTTCTCATTGTTGTATTTACCCATAATTTATATTTAGGTAAACAAGTCTGACATGCCTAGAAATGGCTATGCTTAAAACCCATTTTCAGTATAAAAAAAGATAGCAAGTTTGGTTCAACTTCCCGCTGGAAATGGAGCTTGCGCCATCACGCCCTTGAAATGATTTATTGCTGGCAGGATCAAGGAAAATCCATTAATCCGGGTTCAGTTTTCACTCACTACAGATGGGTTTAAAGTGACTTTTATTGGACATCGACTTCGTAAGGGAAAAAAGCTCTTCCTTCAGCCCGTTGAGTCCTTCAACGGCCTCCAATAAGCAGAAGGATAAGAATAATCTAGCAGACTTTGGTGTGCTCTGATTTTGGAAAGATTTTTGGCAAATAATCTCAGTAAAGAATCCCGAACGGATGGGGCAGGCAGCGGATAAGCGGATTTTATGTGGGTCACTCCCTGTCCAAAGGACTTCAAACGGGCAGCAGGAGCACCCCGTGGGCAGAAAAGGTGGGGTAAAAAAGTCCCAGAGGTGTTTTTTTTTTTTTCAAAAGGCAACTGGACTTTGTTTTTCCTTGAAGACGTTTCGCTTCCCATCCAAGCAGCTTCTTCAGTTCTTTGTATCTCAGGTGAGATATACTCAGAAAGAAAGAAACAGGTGCCTCTCACATTCCCCACCCCCACCTCCAAGATCTTTATTAGATCTGCTATTTTATAATAGCCCACAGATGCCCAGGAGCACGGCTCAGAAAAACAGGAAAAAACAATCCTCTACTGGATTCAACATGGACTAGACTAGCTTTAAAAATTACGAAGGATATTTATGGAGGATCAGATTGCTTACAAGGGGTTCAGTAGCTTTTAAAAGGCAGAAGGGTATCTCTGTAGTTAAACTGTAGACAGTCTGACAAGAGCTATGTAGGTCTTTGGTTATTCGGGTTTTCTCCCGCATAAAATTGGAAGTGTCTTGGCGACGTTTCGACGAAGTCCCATTCGTTATCTTCAGGCTGGTGTTTTTGGCTTTGTGCTTCTAGGAGCAAATTTGTGCTCGCACAAGCACAAAGCCAAAGACCCCAGCCTGAAGATGATGAGTGGGACCTTGTTGAAACGTCGCCAAGATACTCTCAATCTTACACAGGAAAGACCCAAATACACCACGATTAGGAAGCACTTAGCACATTGCAGATTAATACAACCAATGGGACGATTACGTGCTCGAGAAGCCGGGTGCAGAGACAGGTAGCTATATAGGCAAGCTTCCTAATCACCTAACATTCCAACCCTGATGACATCGGCAGTCGGGCTGATGAAAGCTTGGTAACTCTTTTTTGTTACTTAACTTGTTTGTATTAAACAGGTTTGTTTTATTTTTATCCTGGTGTTCATTTTTTCTATATTTTATTGATATGTGTTTTCCCAGGATTCGCATTTTTAATGTCATTAAGGACAACATATGCATATACATATATGCTAATTTTTTTTTGGATTGCTAACAAAGAGTTAAAGGGGGACTGGGATAGCTATTTCCAGCTAATTAGCTCTCATCAGCCAGCCATACCCTTCTGAGATTCGAACCTGGGCTGCTTGCATGTTAGGCAGCTGTGTTGACCCCTAGGCCAAAGATTTCTTCCTCCCAGTTTATATAAAACTGAATTCAATGAAACAGCAGAAGATGTTATGGTAAAGGAACACTTTTGGCAGCTAAACGACAAGAAGCAGGGACCAAATTTATTAACATACAGGATTAACAGAGGGGATTACGGAGTCTGCGATATATTAAAGTAAGATTTCTTCATACCTGTGTATTCTGGTGGACAAAGGCAAGTGTAGTTGTTTATTCCATCTACGCAAGTGGCATTGTTTTCGCAATCGTTATCTTCACAATCATCAATGTTCACTTCACAGTTTGCCCCTTCAAATCCGTCTGCACAAGCACACCTGCAAAAGAAAATACAACAACTCTTCAAACAAACAAACAAAAAAACCCACTACATAGGATGTTTTAACTTTTTTGGGGGGAGGGGGGCAATACTCTACAAACTTAAGAAAATTTCAGACTGGCTATTTCCAACAGGAAAAGGCAGGAGAGTGGGGACCAAAATCCACACGGGAAAGGAATGGATGGGCTAAACTGGTCCAAACAAGCAAGGGAATTCTCTGGTGGAGAAAGAGACATTTGGATTCTCCCCCTGGGCCTCTAAACTGGAGGTCTGATGGCCAAAGTGTCTTTCTCGGTAACATTAGTGACATTTTGCTATTTTTATTTTAGGGAACTGCTGAAAGTAGGAATCTTTTGATGATATAAAGTACGCTCAAAGGGAACTACTCTACGAGTTAAGAGAATTACTGAATTACTGAAAATTGGAAGGCAAACAGGGCCATTTTGAGTGTAATGGGTCGAAAGTACTTTGCCAATGCTTGACTCATTTATGAATTTCAAGAGTTCTTGCCTGCTATGAAATAAATGTATGCAGAAGCACGCAAGAAGGGAAAAAAACAAGAGAGGGAGAAGGAAGGGATTATTTAGGAAATTTAGTTTCGCTGGGACATAATTTACTGTATTAATTATTGCACAGTAACAATTACTTATTCACGCCTGCCTCAATGGCAAATCAGTGACTATGCATTTATGGCAATCACTATAACTGTTTTGCAGAATATATGTCTTAATTCGTCCTGGGGAAGGCCTCTCTTCCACGAGTATTCTGGAGTGCTAGTTATTCATTTTTTTTACCCCTATAAAGTTGTGATTAAAACAGCAATTTGTCATATTAAGCTGTTTCAAATTAATTTCAAAGAGAAATCAATCTAGCCGTTGCCTGTAATTTGTGCCTGTAATTGCTTATTAAATAGGGGGAATCAAAACTGTTTCTAACAAGCTAGCAGAATTTTTATTATGGGATTATGGGATCCATTTATTACCATTCTTAGCTCCATAATTTAAGAGGTACATCTGGAGGGCCTGCATTCTGTGATTAAATAACTCTAGATTAAAAGGGCTCACAGCATGTTTACCCAGCAGGGTGCTGGCCTGGAAAATACATTGTTAATTTTGTGTTTCACTGGGATTTACCTCTGATCGTTTACAAGCTGCTAATACTGAGGCAAAACAAAACTTCTGAATTGTGAGACTTTCAGCAGGAATCTACTTGGCTGTTAATTAGGACAACAGAGGCAAAACCATGTCATCTTTCCCCATTGTGCCTTGAATAAGAACAACATATTTATAGCATAAAAAGTTTTCAAAGTGCATTAAGCTCATTAATGTTGTATAAAAGACATGGAAATCAATATACATCACCCATTTCATTATTGGGAGAGTAATGAAAGAGAAGCAAAGGGTGACAGATTCTGTGTCAGGATAGATGACTCCCTTTTGTACGTTATTATTATTTTTTAACTCACCAAAATCCATCCTTTTCATCTTCTTTTAAGTGGCAAGTCCCCCCTTCTTTACATGGGTTGCTGATGCAGGCATGGATCAGAACCTCACAGTCTCGACCCTAAGCATAAAAGAACAAAATTGTCATGCGGCATAGAAAAAAAAAGCGGGGGAAATGGATTTTCTTTTCAAATGGAAACGTGTTATGGATTCCACCTCCACAACCCATCAATCTTGCCAACCTATCTTTCTATCTATAATGGAACCATAGCAACCTGAAGTCCAGAAGGAGGACCTCTTTCTGACTGAGAACCTGAAATAAAACTGTAAACAGAACCAGGCATTAGGAACGAACGGAGGGATTTGCTCTGCAGGGTGACTCATAGAGAGGATACAACGAGTGCATTAATTAAAGAAGGCAGTTTTTAATGTCTTTTATACCTTGAAGCCATACGGACAGGAACAACTGTAGAAATCCACCGGGTCATTGTTACAAGTGCCCTCGTTTTTGCAGGGGTTGGATAAGCAGGGGCTACACTTGGCAAGAATGGAGACATCCACGGGACCTTCAAATAAGCACAAATTCTTTGTTACAAAAAAGAGTCCTGTCTTCGTTTCATCTAGGGCGTAGGGGTCCCCAAACCTGGCAACTTTAAGATGTGTGGACTTCAACTCTCAGAATTCTGGGGAATTCTGGAAGTTGAAGTCCACTGGTCTTAAAGTTCCCAAGGTTTCAGCAGACTTAGTCTTCTAGGGGGTTTCAGCAGACTTGGTCTTCTTCTAAGCTTCTGATGCTATCCTAGTTAACCCAGATGCCATGTGAGGTATTTTAATGGCTATGCTTAGGCTCCTCTACTATGGAAATCCAGCTGGTCTCAGGGTGAGCTGAGCAGAGTTTGAAGGAAAAAAAAACTGTTCTGTTCATGGCATATGAAGTCAAGGGATTGAAGACCACAGCATTTGTTTAGGGCTGTTAAAATAATAACCATTTCCCAGATCAATTTTTTTTTCACATCTATACATTGGAATTTCTCAATTTTACTTTTACTGGTGTCTTTGTTCCCCATTTATCTCTCATATTTAAATATTTTTCCTTGGAGATCTTTTTAGGACAATTGTCACATAGACTGTAGAAGAAGATCAGGCTAAACCTGAAGGAGGGGTCAAACACGTCATCAGTCACGAGTCCCTGCGCACTCGCAAGAGACTTAAGCCCAGCTCACCTTGAAGGGCCCTCTTATCTCCAGCTCATTTCCCTTGGCTGTTACTTGGCCAGATTCTTGTAGAGAGTTTAAGCTTGCCTTAAATCTTTATACTCCTTTGAACTGCCTGAATCTCCTGGTTTCCCCGGTACTTGACATAGTTTTGTAAAGTCAACACCAGCCCATGGCAAAGAACTTGCCATCTGTGGCATTTGCTTAACAACCCGTACAGAGGGAGGGGAGGGGAGGGAAGGGGAGGAGAGAAGAGAAAGGACAGGAGAGGAGGAGAGGAGAGAAGAGAGGAGAGAAGAAAGAAGAGAAGAGAAGAGAAGAGAAAGGGCAGGAGAGAAGATGAGAGGAGAGAGGAGGAGAGGAGAGAAAAGAAAGGAGAGGAGAGGAGAGGAGAGGAGAGAGGAGGAGAGGAGAGGAGAGAAGAGAAAGGAGAGGAGAGGGTAGGAGAGGAGAGGAGAGGAGAGAAGAAAAGAGACAGGAGAGGAGAGGAGAGGAGAGAAGAGAAAGGAGAGGAGAGGGGAGGGGATGAGGGGAGGGGAGGGGAGAGGAGAAAGGGGGAGTGGAAAGGGGAATATTGATAAAAGATAAATGTGTCCAGGCTTAACATGTAAAAACAAAAAAGAAGTCTGGGTCCCCTTAAAGTTTATCAAATGTATTATGGAATTTGTAGCTCTGTTCAAAGGAGCTATGTAAACAGCAAATGTATATTTGAAGTCTTTTGAAGGAAGGAAGCAAGATATCAATCTGCACGACATTCAAAAACTTTACGGATAACAAGATGCAAATGTAACAAAAACATTGGTTTTTGAGGAGTGACATAGGAGGAAATAAAGAGGGGAGTAATTTGAGTTTTCGTGGGGAAGAAACATGGAGGGAAAAGCAGAAAAGGCCCATGTCAGCTCCAGAAGGGGAGCTAAAGACAACAGCTGAGTTCACGCTTGAAAGGCAAAAGAAATAACCGGATCTCTGATAGCTACAAACACGATCGGAGGAGAAATAATTCAACTTTCTCTAAGTTCAATTTCTGAGAGCAGTGAAAGAGCTGGAATAACTATAAGCAATGAACTTGAAGGTATTCAACAGAACAAGCAATGACTGGAAGGCCTTCACACGCTCAATAATTCCATCTACGTTTCGGTCTTTCTTCTAGCTGCTAACAATGGTGGGACTTGTTCTTCCTCAACTCCTGTTGTATCCTCACAGCATCACTAGAAGGAGAATTAATCCAAGGGAGGGAGTAATTTCCTGAAGCAGAAGTTGAACATAGCTGAACATGCTAACTGGAATTCCATACAAGGTGAACAAAAAGAAGAACTAAAGGTGGAATTTATACTTGTCTATGACCATAACAAAGATCTGATCTGATCTGATAGATTAAGTTGGCGAGGTACGGTATATTGGCTGATTAAATTGTACAGTATTGTAGATGTTTGAAGGACAGAGGTCTTCAAACTTGGCCCTTTTATGACTTGTGGACTTCAACACATGCCTGGCTGAGGAATTCTGGGAGTTGAAGTCCATAAGTCATAAAAGGACCAAGTTTGAAGACCCCTGACGTAGGAAAAACCAGGAAGGACCAGTTTGGGATTACTTTACCATCTTACCTGGGGCAAATGCACCACTTGAAATCTCTGAAATGCCAGAAGTCAAAGATTTGAAAACCCATGAAAAAGATCATACCTCAAAAGAATACCCTATAAAGGAATCAGGGAAATATTGAAGAAAAGAAACTAGCGGTGGTTTTTCTCACTCGGATTATTTCTAATACATTTTTAAAGAATATTAATAGTTTGGGAGAGAAACAAATACATGTTTTGAAACTAGTTGTTTCACAGCTATCCCTCAGTGTGCAAATACTGTTCCTGAATGGTTTTTCATTCTTAATGTTGAGGTTTCATGGAACTGACCCAACCTGAATCTTTCCAAGTTATTAGGGACAGATCATCTACTTGGTCATGCAATTCTTCCTCCCAGAAGCAGAATTGGTGACTTAAATTAAATACCAATCAAAAAGAAGCAATGTCATGGTTCCGACAGATAAAACTCTTCAAAAGACCTTCAGGCATTGTTTACCTTAAAGAATCTTTTATTCGAGAAGGATAACTCAAGCTAAAAACTGAATTCCCCTCCCCTGGGCACAAAGCAGCAAAGCACAATTCCCTCCTCCAAGTAACTGTCATAAATCACATTCCCCAATTAGGCAGCCTCTCTCCACAGCTCTCCAACCCATTATCAACTCTGGGCTCAGTAACCTTGAGTTCCCATGGCTTAGTTTTTTGTTGTTATGACTAACTGGACTCTCATCCACATCTCCCCTCCCAGCATCAATCAGCTTTAAAAGCGAAAGAGAAAAATGAATGCATTTCCATCTGTTGTCAAAGCAATAACACCCGATGTTAGCAGCATTGACAAGCACTTGCACACAGATTATTACGGAAGTGTTTCCTTCCTGCCCACCCTACCTGGGCAGGTGAACTTCTTGGAGGGCGTTGTGAGGAGGAGTTTGTCGGCCATTTCTCCAGGGCCCACGCACCGGGCGATGCCCGGCTCCTTGTATTCGGACTTCACCCAGTCGGAGAGCCACTGCATGTGGCAGTCGCAGTGGAGGGGGTTCGCGCCAATCGCTCTGGGGGCAAAACAGAAGCCGAATCTGCCTTTAATTCCAAACCGGTAAAATGAAAATACGGGTAATCCTCGACTTATTGCAATGAATAGTTTTGTCACATATTAAAAAACAGGTGATCTATGACTTACAACAGTTCACTCAGGGAATGTTCTTACAAGAGCACTGAAAAAAGGAATGAATGGCTATTTTTCACGCTTCCATCCATTGCAGCATCCCCGTGGTCACGTGATCAAAATTCAGACCCTTGGGCAACTGACTCATATTTATGACAGTCAGTGTCCCGGGGTCACGTGATCCCATTTTGCGACCTTCTGACAGGCCAAGTCAGTGGGGAAGCCAGACCCACTTAACGTCCATATTACTAATTGAACAACTGCTGTGATTTACTTAGCAACTGTGGGAAGAAAGGTCGTAAAATGGGGCAAAAGTTACTTAACAAATATCTCAGCAACAAAATTTTGGGGCACAATTGTGGTCTGTAAAGAAGACCACAAAGAATGCCACACAACTAAAGCTATCGAACAACTGATTCAACAGCTTTGGCAACTAGAAGATGCTCAAGGGATGCTTATAATCCAACATCTTTTTAAAGTGGTTTAAATTGTTCAGTTAGGATAGCGTAGCAGCAAAAGTCTGGGCTGTGGAGATCCAGCTTTTACTCCAGAACTTTGTTTTCAGTCATAGAAGCTCACTTGTTGTCTGTGAGCCTCTCTTTGCCTCATCTACCTTACACAACTATTACTGTTTGGGGGGGGGGGGAAATGAAGGATTGCTATATTACAGAATGACAGAGTTGGAAGGGACCTTGGAGGTCTTCTAGTCCAACCCCCTGCTCAAGCAGGAGACCCTATATCATGTCAGGTATGCTACCTTCTTGGAAACCTCCAGTGATGGAGCACCCATGACTTCTGGAGCAGTTCCCACTGATAGTTTCTCCATAATTCTAGACTGAATCTCCCTTTGATAAGTTTCCATCCGTTGCTTCTTATACAAATCTTATCACTATTATTTGATAATCCAATCTATGAGTCAAATTGTTAATACATGGGCAGAAAGTTGAATTCCTTCAAAAGCCCTGGTGCTTTAGTGGTAAAGGTGCTAGATCAGGCCTGGGGAACTCCAGGTTCTAGTCCACCCTCAGCCTACAGAAGCTTCCAGAGAGTTTGGACCTGTCAGTCACTCTGTCTTAGCTAGGACTGCCTCATGACATTACTGATGTGAGGACAAAAAAAAAATAGGAGACTGCTATGTATGTTGCCTTGATGTCTCAGAGGAGAAGCAGGATGGAGATCTTACCAATGAACCGATGAACGCTGAGGTTGGAAGCACAAATCAAAAACAAATGTTTCTGCTTTCCTGCATATGTCCGTTTCCATTTCATGAATGTTTGCTAATGTATTGAAGGGTTCGGACACGCTTCATATTAGCTAGAAGACATGACTGGGTGGGCATCCCGGCTACATAGGTAGCCAAAGTTACCTCAGGGCATGTCCAAACATAGTTGCCCTGTTAAAAATTATAATTGCGCAGGTAAATCCTTATCTGCCTTCTTTCACCAAGAACAAAAGGCGACAAAATATCTATCCATGGTCCATTACTCATTAGAAGTTTATTACTTTTAGGCTAAACCCCTTCCAGTTAACTGGATATGAATACTTTTCTCCTTGCATTACTGGAGTGTTCAGCTGCAGCTGATTATATCCCTAAATAACTCTCAGAACAGAGAAATCCATCTTCTACACAATTACACTGCTAGAAGCATCTTTTATGAATGGTGTTAAGGACAGGAGCAAACTGCATTTTGCCTGAGCCATATGTGAGCTTATGGTAGGAGTCTCAATCAAGGGCGTAATATCTAATAAGATGTCCTAATTCAGAAGCTTATTGTAAATGGGGCCAAATACTCACAGGTGGGATAATGCTGAAAGATCATTAAAAGCACCTCCAGGAACAACAGAGATGTCATTGCCATGTAAAGACCTAAACAAGAAAGAAAGAAGGAAACAGGGTTAAAATTACTCCGTCTCTTGATCCAGGAATGCAAAAGAGAACATTTAAAGATGCACATTAATGATGTACCGCAGAATAACGCTTGTGTGGATACGTCTTTGTAAACGGGAGCCTTTATCATAGGCCTGACAGCGTCTTAAAATAAAGCCGGGCAGCTGTACGGAGATGAATTCAGTTTATTTCAGTTTATTTCAAAGGCTAACTATCTCCCAGACAAAAAAACATTTTTGTTGTTCGGTGAACAATTCCTTGGTATTTTATTTTTAAACCAAGAAAAATTCAATTGATTTTCCTAACGTAAGTTGCCCTCTTCATTATTAAGAGATTCTGCATGTAGTTGAATTTTTGGTGAGGGTGTATAGATGTTTTCTATTGTTTATAAACTTACTTTTTTTCTCATTCCAACATTAATCTTATCTACTTATCTAATCTTATCTTAATCTATTCCTGCATTTATGTTTTGATTCTCAGTTAGTCCACCAGCCCATCTAAATAGTCACATACGCCAACTATGCTTAGTTTTTGGAGATCTGCCCAGATGGGCTAAGCTACTACCTATTGTAAGCAGCTACAATGGCAATGGAAAATAAATACATGTTTCCCCAGATTTTGCCATTTATATTACAAGAGTATATGGGATAAAACCAAATGGGAAATTACACCCCGGAGTCACAACAGGGTTGAGCTTAATTGCAAACTGCGCACTGCCCAGAGTCCCTCTGTGAAAAGTAAATAAATAAACTAAATAATTTACACAGAAAAGCAAGGAGAGGAATATTACTTACAGCAGTCTAAGGGATCTTAAGCCATCAAAAGTCCGTGTTGGAATACATCTGAGCCGATTGTAACTGAGAATTCTGAAAAGATACAAAATGTTGATTTCTAAACAACATAATGCAATAAGGAGTTACCTAGAATTACACAGAATCTTAGGGCCGGAAGGGATCTTGGAAGTCATCTAGTCCAACCTCTTGCTCAAGACAGGAGACCTTTGACCATCCCAGACAAATGGTTGCCCAATCTTTTCTTCAAAATCTCCAGTGGGGTTTTCAAGAACCTCAAATCCACCACACAAGCGGGAATGTTGTTCCATTGATTGATTGTTCTTGGTCTCAGGAAATTTATCCTGAATTCCACATCGAATCGCTCTTTAATGAGCTTCCCTCAGGTGCTTTGAAGAATAAGTCACCCCTTCTTCTCTGTGACAGCCCCTCAAGTACCGAAAGACAGCTATGGTGCCAGTCCCAATTCTTCTCTTCATTAGGCTAAGCATACTTAGTGCCCTTAACTATGGTTTAACCTCCAGACCCCATACCGTATTGCTCTGCTCTGCACTATTTCTAGAGTCTTAGCACCTTTTTTGTATTGTGGCAACCAAAACGGGACTCAGTACTCCAAGTGTGGCATCACTAATGCGGCATAGACCAATACAATCACTTTTCGTGATCTTGATGCTATCCCTCTGTTGATGCAGCCCAGGACTGCACTGGCTTTTTTAGCAGCTGCAGCACATGGCTGGCTCCTATTCAAATGTCTACTAGGACACCTAGATCTCTCTCATAGTTACTACTGTTGAGCCAGGGACCACCCATTCAATACGTGTGCATTTGATTTTTTTTCTGCCTGTGTGCAGGATCTTACTTTTCTCATCACTGAACTGCATCTTGTTGATAGCACCCAATACTCAATTCAATCAGAATAGACTGGAAAGGACCTTGGAGATCTTCTAGTCCAGCCCCCTACTCAAGCAGGAGACCCCCTATACCATTTCTGACAAGTGGTTGTCCAATCTCTTCTTAAAAACCTCCACTGATGGAGCACCCACAACTTCTGTAGGAAAGTTGTTCCACTGGTTAATTGTTCTCCCTGTTAGGAAGTTTCTCCTTAATTCCAGGTTGCTTCTCTCCTTGATGAGTTTCCATCTGTTGTTTCTTCTCTTGCTTTCTAGTGCTTTGGAAAATAGTTTGAACGCCTCATTTTTGCAGGAGCCCCTCAAATACTGGAATACTGCTATCACGTCACCGCTACTCCTTCTTTTCTCGAGACCGGCCACAGAGATGCTCAAATCTGTCAAACTCCTTCTGAATCTAAGTGCTAAGTGAGGTCCAAATAGCCCATTCCTCTACGGATCATTCTTCTTCAACTTCTTTTCTCTCTCATTTGCAGTGATAACACAGTAAAATCCAAGTAGTAAATTAGTAAAGCTTATTGCTTTATTGAAAGAATAAATACTTACAAAGTGAGCAGCTGAGTCATGTTGCTGAAACTCTGGTTTGAGAGAGTGCTGATTCTGTTGTTGCTTAAATCTCTGCAAAAACAACACAACACATTTAGAAATTTTCTCTTATTATAACACGGATGTTTAAAAAATGAATTGTAACATTGTTACCGATAAATACAATTTATCAGCACATTATTTTAAATGGCATTTGGTTTATCTTGCCATCTGTAGCAGAAGATCCAGTAAGTTTTTGATGTGCAATTATATACAAGAACATTCAAACCGAACAAGAACAACAATAGAACAAAAATAATTGGACCTTATATATTAAAAATATATGAAATACATTTCTTTTAATGGATGCAAATATTCATCTTATTTTTTAAAAAATATAAACATGTCAATACTTTATCTATACATACTGCAATGTGATTTATCTCTTATTAAGGCAAATTGACCCTTGCCTTTTTCAATGCAAGCACAGCTATCATGTTGAAACAAACACATATGATTTTAAAAATCTACTGAGTTTTTTAAAAAATAAGTTTTAATAATCCTTTGATTTTTCGCTACACCATCTACTGCTGAAAAAATCCTACAACGAAGCAACTAAACTGAATTCTTTTCATAACTAACTGAATTGAATATCCTTTAGTTCATTTATGCTATACCTCTCCCTCACCAACGGCAAGCAGGTATCTGCCTTTTTTGGAGTTACCAGAGATTCTGCTTTTGCATTTCCTAAAAAAACCTCAGACTGAAAAGCATTCCAAAATATAGCATAAAATGACATCAGTGCAGAGAAATAAATGCTTTGGAAGTTACTTACATCAAAGTTAAGTGCTTGTAGTTTGATAATTCTTTGGGAACAAGGGTAAACTGGTTTCCATCTAAATAACTACAAAAAAAATAGATAGATAGATAGATAGATAGATAGATAGATAGATAGATAGATAGATAGATAGATAGATAGATAGATAACCTTTATTCTCATTTTTTACTGTGGGCACAAAGGCACACATTAAAAATGAAATTTAGTTGCTTGCTCCCAAAATGTACACATACACAACATACATTGAAACATATTATATACAACATATGTATAGACCTACACCCTTACATATATAAAAAAGAAAGGCAGGCTGTTGTATTACCTAGCTGAAATCATTAATAGTTTATTTCACCGCTGTCTAATATTCAGGGGTGAAGTCCAATTTTCTCCATGTCAGGGTTAATTCTATAAGCCTTGTGAATAGAATAGAGCTGGAAGGGACCTTGGAGGTCTTCTAGTCCAGCCCCCTGCTCAAGCAGGAGAACCTAGACCATTTCAGACAAGTGACTGTCTAGTCTCTTCTTAAAAACCTCCAGTGATGGAGCACCCACGATTTCCATTGGCTGATTGTCCTCACTGTCAGGAAGTTTCTCCTTAATTCCAGGTTGTTTCTCTCTTTGGTCAGTTTCCAACCATTGATTCTCGTCCTTCCCTCTTGTGCTTGGGAGAATAATGTGACCCCCTCTTCTTTCTGGCAGCCCCTCAAATACTGGAATGCTGCTATCATGTCTCCCCTATTTCTTCTTTTCTTTAGACCAGCCAAACCCAAGTCCCACAGCCGTTCTTCGTATGTTTTAGTCTCCAGGCCTTGGATCATCTTAGTTGCTCTTCTCTGAATTTTTTCCAAACTCTCAACATCTTTTTTGTGATATGGTGACCAAAATTGCTGCAGTATTCCAGGTGTGGTCTTACTAGAGTTTTATAAATTGATTATATCTCCACTCAGTTCCTTTTTTTAAAGAAGATAAAAGAGTCCCAAAACTTGTAGTCCATTTGTTGAAAGAAAGTTATTCAAGATACTAATCGTTTTAGTTGCCCTATTCTACACTATGACACACAGTTTTTCAAACATGTCAAGCAGACCGTGTTCCAAACATATAAAATATTACAATAATGGTAGATGGAAACTTATTATTTTGATTTGGAAAATACATTATACTATCTATTTTAAGCCCTAGAATAAGCCTAACATGTTTAAAAATAAAATTTCCCAATCTTTCCTCCCCGTAAGAAAAAAAAAATCCCCCAAAATGCTGAAGTCACTTTTTTCATCATCAAATCACCCCAGCGATTAAAAGTGAATGATTATCTATCTGTAGATAGTCCCTGAAAAGCCACAGTCCATAAAGGATATAACAGTATTTGTGACTCTCATAAATGTTTGTGAACCCATAAAGTCATTTATCTGCTCAAGACAGGCACACAAAACAAGCATTTTTTAAAAAAGGTGCTGCTTACAGTTCGGTAACCTCTTTTGGGATGGCTTTCGGCAGAGTTTTCAGTCCTTTGTTACTGCAACGAACTACAGTATCCAGACACGCGCACTCGGCTGGACAGCGGGACACGGGGGAGCAGCTGCTTTCGTCGTTCCCTGATGGAAATATGGAACAGAATAAAAATTAGAGAGAGGGCAAGAGGGGCAGCCGATAAACTTAGAAAATAATAAAATAAATATAAAATAATAAAACACAAAATAAAATAAAAATAAAAAATTAAATCAAATTAATATAATAAAGTAAAATAATAAAAAATAATAATATAAAATATAAAATAATATAATATATAGTAAAATAAAATATATAATATAATATATAGTAAAATAAAATAAAAATAAAATAAAAATAAAAAATTAAATTAATACAATAAAATAAAGTAAAATAATAAAAATAATAAAATAAAATATAAAATAATATAATATATAGTAAAATAAAATATATAATATAATATATAGTAAAATAAAATAAAATAAAATAAAAATAAAATAATAAAATAAAATAAAAATAAAATACCAGCATTCAAGAAGGGTGGACTTATGTTTATTAACGGTGTGAATTATATATTTGTCATCTGTTATTTTTTATCTTTACACTTTTTTGTTTGATGGTTGCTAGTTTGATCCTCCTTTTCTTCTTCTTTGTTTTGTATTTTAACTTTGGAAATAAAATGAAAAAATTATGAAAACAAAATGAGCTTTATTCGGCTAGCGTGTTCCACTTTAAAGGCGTTTGGAAGCCGTATTTATGCCTCCGATTATATCTTCAAGGACACGTTCCAATTACACCTTCAAGAACACATTTCCATTGTGTGTGTGTGTGTGTGTGTGTGTGTGTGTGACCCTCTCTTAGGAAGCGGAAGGTGGCAACTTTTCTGTTGCTAGAGTAACTGGAGAAACAGCGCTACATAAACATTGTAAGTATAATAATCATTCTGTGTTATTATAATAGCTCAATGTCTTTAAAAAAAATACACAGCAGAAGGAAAAGGGGATTAAAAGCAAAAAAAAAAAAAGACCAAAGAGAGTAGAAGTAAAAAAAAAAAAATTTTTTTCCTGGCTTTTGAGTAGTTTGCACTTCCCATTTCTATATGACAAATCGCTCGTGTTCCTTTTTCAAATCAGGACATCATGCAGTATAGCAATAAAAGGGTGAGATCTGAAGAAAAATAAATCTATTTGTAGCTAATTATTCACAGAAAAGGAAACCATGGTGCTTTCAACATTTTGGCTACAAATGTCATTGTACTGCTGCAATTCTACAATGAAGGTCATATAGACGAATCCACATGTAAACACCAACACGAGATTGTTGCATTTTCTTATCCTTGAAGGCCAGAAAAAACTACTGAGGGAAAATATTTGTAGTAGAAAATGATAAGAAACAAGAGAAATCTCTCTGAAGTCCTAATTAAGTCTCTCAACGTGTCTCTTAAACATGTAGAGACATTTAAAAAGATGCTGTGCATCGTTTTATGTGTTGCACATTTAACCAGATTTTTTTTATCTATTAATAGGGCTTAAATGAAATTCAACTAAAATTGTAGTTCACAGTACGTCATGATTATGGATAATTTTAAAGCCTCACCAACTATCTCTCAAAAATGTGGGGCCAGCCCATTTGTCTACATGAGTTCAACTGTAGTTCAACTACTGGAAGAGAACTTGCACCTGGTCCTATAAAAAAAAGCCATCAATTTCTTTCTTGATATCAATGCATCCACTTGGATGGGTGATGGTCCACCCGAATGAAATTCTTCATGTACTCCAGAATGAGACCTCACTCGTGCTAGTTCATTTTTGCATAGTTAATACTGAAAGGGAGGAGAAAATACATGGAACGGTTCAACTGCCCTTGGTGTCATCTACCAGAGCGTGGAAATTGGCTTTATTAGAACATGCAATGCTTGTAGAAACACCCCTAATACTTGCCCCAATTGCCTACATTGGAATAGGCAATTATGGACTCAGGAATTCTGGGAGTTGAACACAGGTCATAAGGGACATAGTTGCCTACTTCTAGCCTACATCATGAAGGCAACATCATGAAGGCAAATATTTTGCATAAAGGCCAGGGCTAGATGAATTTATTTACAACCATTAGTAGGTATTTAAGGGCTGTGATAAAAGAAAGTTAGAACCACCGTGATCCAGGTATCACGTCGGTCATAAAATGTACAATAATGCTTAATGGTTTTTCTTTTGTATCCAAAGATCTCAAAATGGCTGCATGAAGACAGACTCAGCTGAGTGATCCTAAGTTCCAGGAGGAATTTTGCATTACCTGAGAAAATCAGAGTAGACTGCTTACGGTCTTCTTAATTAATCTGGATGTGAACCAAGTTAGACCTGATTGAAGTCTTGGCATCTCTTGACACACATATCCATTTTATGCTCACCTTTCTTATTTCAGAAAGATCCCCAACGTACACTCTCATGTCTGCCTCTCCCTCTGAGCTTAATGGGTTTGCGCACAATGAACTGAGAATGGAACTGCAGCTGCAGCCTAACATATTGCAAAACAATCTTATGTTTATTCGTGATCTAATTTTCCCAGGAAAAAGCCAATTAGTAGACCCTGGAAAAGTGCCAATTGTTCGGCCTATAGGTCCTGTTACTGCCTTAGCTCAACTGATGAGAAGCAAAACCTCTTCAAAGAAAAAAAAAGAAAGTGCAGTTGCCTCGTGAAAAAGCATTTTTGGGATAACTATAACCAGTAGATTGAGAGTCTCCATAGACCAGGGGTCTTCAAACTTGGCCCTTTTATGACTTGTGGACTTCAACTCCCAGAATTCCTCAGCCAGGCACATGGGGAGTTGGAAGTGTACAAGTCATAAAAGGGCCAAGTTTGAAGACCCCTGCCATAGACATTTATCAAAAGGCAACTGGACTCCCTTGGTTTTTTTCCTTGAAAACATTTTGCTTCTCAGCCAAGAAGCTTCTTCAGTTCTGAAGAATGAGAAGTGAAACGTCTGCAAGTAAAAAAACCCAGGAAAGTCCAGTTGCCTTTTGGAAAAGCACATGAGCTGGAGGATGGAGACTCTCCACAGACTTTCACTGACGTTACTAGAGTGGAGTAGTAACTCATTGGAGGAAGCAGCAGGCGGCAGACCTGCTCACAGATTTTGAGAGACTCTGTAGTAATGGAAAGAAGCGATGCCCGGATTTGGCCGAGCACAGGGACTGCCTTCCTTACCATCTTCACAGGTGAAGTCCTGAATGGCGACGTCCTGTATGGGAATCTCCTTGAGGAAGTACGGCTTCTGGCACCGGGGGTTGCCGGTCACAATGCGTTTCTTCCGCAACCACTCTCCCAACCAGGCTAAGTGGCAGTTGCAATTGAAGGGGTTGGCTAAGAGGTTTCTGCAAAGGGCAACACAGCCACACGCACAGTGAAGTTGCAAAGGAAGGAAACCATTAAGACATCCGCAACAATGAAAAGTTCTTCCATTTTCTTTCAAGTTCTTTGTTTATTTTTGATAAGAGAAATAAAAATGATTGCTTTGCTTCTTTGCCCTTTATCCAATTTGGAAAGTTTCCTATCTATCCTATAAAATTCTGAGCAGCAAACTTACTACAAAATGGCGACCAGAAAACCTGGGTTGAGGCCTTCTCATTAAGCACACAAAACACCTTCAAATTATAGTCAAAACAACTGCGTCTACCCCAATTTCCCCTTCTATCTGGGATAGCCAGATTTGACTTGGGAGCTTAGAAATCCTGAAACTCTTATTTAGAAATAATTTAAAGATGTCACAGATTCGACTTTCTGTCAGACTATCTACACCTGAGAATATAGTAATTTAATGTAGAGACGAAGGCTGATTGCCTTATATTATTAAGCTTAACCCGAAAATTGCTCTTTCATTAATTTGCCTCCTCAAGATTTCCATCTTTTATTTGCTCCAGAGAATGGGTTTCCCATCTAAACTGACAGCCCAGTTGATTACATGTCGCTTATAAAATGAATTTTCTTGCATAAGTCTCAGGATTTTTGGCATGTCCACATTTCAGAAGAGGCCTTTGACAATTTCATTATTTATAAACATGCCATCTTAAATAGGCACAAATGAGTCATCAGGTATAACTTGTCACGTTTCAGGTGGAAAGAGAATTAAATATGTTGGCAATTATGTGTCTCAGGAATTCCTACCCCAGAAGCTTGCATTTTTAAATACAGCACGTTTTCTTCTCCTTCTCTCTCCATTAATTTGGCTTTTCTTCCAGTAAAAATAAAACAATTTTAAGACTAGGTGGTTCTGGGAAAGGACATTTCAAATATATTCATGTAGAATGTAATCTTTTTTTTTTAGCTGGGAGTAAGTTTGACTCAAGGGTTTAGAACTGTAGAGGCATGGTTAATAAAGATGCTTAAAGAGCAATACAGATGATCAAAGGCCTGGAGACTAAAACATATGAAGAACGGTTGCAGGATTTGGGTATGGCCAGGACTAGGAGTGACATGATAGCAGTATTGCAGTATTTAAGGGGCTGTCACAGAGAAGAGGAGGGGGGTCAACCTATTTTACAAAGCACCAGAAGGCAGGACAAGAAACAATGGATGGAAACTAATCAAAATGCCCGAAAATTATTTCCGTGGTCATGTTGCCAGCATGACTGTACACAGGGGAGCATGGAATGCCATTACCTTCCATTCCTAATCAACGGAATAGGAAATATGGGGGAATGAGGTGGTACCTATTTATCTATGAGGTGGTACCTATTTATCTACCTGCATTTGCAGGCTTCCAAACTGGAAGCTTGGCAGGAGTTGGAGCAAGTAACGGGAGCTCACCCCGTCGCACGGGTCTTGGGCCTTGAACCCAGGCTATGACAAGCCCAGCATCTTTAACTACACCCATTTATGGAGTAGCTAAAAGCAAAAGCACCATTTGGGGCTCACTTAATGCCCCTTAACATACAAGCAATCAGAAGAGATAAGGAGCTCCTTGTTTGTGTAACTGCACCCTTAAAAGCTTCGTATGAGTTGTCCTTTCAGTGTTTGGAATCATAGCACCAACAGAATTGTCTTGTATTGAATCAAGTTGCTTGGATTGTTTGGATATCAGATATACTAGCCTTCTCTGTGTAAGCTACATTTGCTCAAGTACGCGGGTGGAATTTGTATCCTGCGTGCTTTTAAAATGCTCCTTATATATCCAGTGGGGATTAAAATTCAGAGCGCCATTACGTTGCTGAGATTATGAGCTTATGAGATTCTTTGGGGTGATTAATTCACAAAAGCTTTAAGAAGGCTGCAAAATTCCTATCAATGTTACAGCTAGGGTCTCTGGTTTTTTCATGGAACTTTATTTTATTTTATGCACATTTTCTGTTCTTTGCATTGTTGATCAGTCAATAAACAATTGCTAAGCACCAGACAAGGAAGAAATGGTGATTTTTCCAAAAGCTTGCCCGGAATCTATGGACCTTTCATTCTTATAATTCATATCCAGGTGTGTCCAGAAGTGTTTTAGATCTAGGACCTCAAATGTTTTAGGAAAAACACACGCCAGCTACTATTTAGACATTTTATAGATAGCGGATGATTTGAGTGTAGCTTTTTGTGTAAACAGCATCATTCATCTAACTTTGTACATATTTGTGCTCGTTTTGCAATTTGTTATCAGTATGTCTGATGAATCGTCACTTACTGGCTGAATCTCTATTAACACAAACCAACTTACAGCGTGGAGAGAGAATGAAGAGTATCGAAGGCACCGGGAGCTACGGTGGTTATCTGGTTATCGTACAAGGAAAGCAGCCGGACAGAACCCAATCCTGTGAAGCTGTCATTGCTCACACAGCTGATACGGTTGCTCCTTAGCATTCTGCAGGAAAAGAAAATAGGAACAAATTATTTATTTCACCCCCTCATTATTATTCCTTAGAGGTTGCTAATGCGCAAAGCAGCATCGTAGAACATCCCGAAACATTCCATTTCTACTCCGGACCATACCAATATGGCTGTTCTTTGGGGGGGGGGGTTCTGGTAGGTTTCCAGAAATAGATCCTCTGAACCACCAATGGCCCATGGTGCTTGGGATGTGGTCCAGAACCAACTGGAAGGATGCTTCTTGATCACCACAAATGGCTTTGGGTCCGGAGAAAAGTTTCTCAAAAACCATTGCAATGGCCCAATCAGTGTGGCTCAGTCAAGGGACGCAGGAGATTTTGTATTTCCTTATAAACAATATAGTACACTGCGTTTTCCATAATAAACGAAGTAGGAAATATGGGAAAATGAGAGTGAAGAATTAGGAAGAAGGAAAAAAAAATACAAATTAGGGGAAAAAGTCATGGAGTCGTCTTAAAAACAATGAAAGAGGATGGACGTAAGCTCCCTAAATAATTAAATTATTAGACTGTCTCCCATTTTGTTAGGTTATTCCTCTCCTAGCCAGCAGTTCATCACAAAAATTCTTTCTTTCTTTCTTCCTTGTTGCTTTCATGCCGTTTGCCAAATCTTTAAACTGGTCTTCTCAAATCACAAAATCTGGCTTAGTTAAACAGAAAACGGGAGAGATAAAAAAGACGAAGTCCCAGAGGTGCTTTTTCAAAGGGCAACTGGACTTTCTTTGTTTTTCCTTGAAGATGTTTCGCTTCTCATCCAAGAAGCTTCTTCAGTTCTGGCTGAATGGTGGAGAATGGAAAGATTTATGATTTTCTCCACCATTCAGTCAGAGCTGAAGAAGCTTCTTGGGTGAGAAGCGAAACATCTTCAAGGAAAACAAAGAAAGTCCAATCAGAACTGAGGAAGCTTCTTGGATGAGAAGCGAAACGTCTTCAGGGAATAACAAAGAAAACCCAGTTGCCTTTTGGAAAAGCAGCTTTGGGACAACCCTGACCTGGATGACAGAGAATCTCCGCAAACATTTCAACGCAAAGAGGAAGGAGGAAAAGATTGCAGACTTACAAAGTCTTCAGGCTTTCCAGGCCTTTCAACATTTTGTGTCGTACATTTTCCAGCCGGTTACTGGTTAGCAGAAGTTCATTGACGCCAGCAGCTCCTTCGAATACGCCTTCCTCAATGTCAGTGATCTTGTTATTGCTTAGATTTCTATTGCATATTCAGAGTGAAGAAATTACAAAGAAATGTCTTTTGGATAAATCATTTCTAGAACTGAGTTCTTTTTTTAAAAAAACAAAAAAACACAAAAAAACACATTGATTTCAAGAGAGCAATAAGTAAGGACTTAGCATTCACATCAACCAGAGACAGTGATTCCAGAAAAGGGGAAGGAAAAATTATTTCTAAAATATTATCGTAATCTAATGACAAGAATCGTTTTAAGAACTTTGAAAATATTAATTAAATAGTGGCATCTCAAAAGTATTTGACTTACATTAAATCCCATTTACTGCTTGATGCTTAATGCATGCTTGAAGGCACGCTAAGTTTTTATCATGGTAAAATAACGCCAACTAATAAAGGTTGTCTTCTTACACAATTTTATAGTTCAGTTTTCACATTCATAGCTTGAATGCTTTTTTCAGCCTGCTCAAAAATTTAGTTAGCCCCCACAATTTCTACTGCAAGAGAACCACAAGCTTCTAAAAATACAGCTATAGGATTTTAAAAAGTTGATTGTCGATCGTTCCCAAGTCTGAATATTGGCTTTCAATATTAATGCCAGCCTTTTGAGGTAGGCCAGGTCAGGGAAACAGGCCTCAGAAATTCCGAGAATGCCACTTTATTCTGGTGGGATATAACAACAGAATCTTGAAAGTTTTTCTCTCTCCCATCTGTTGCTGAACAAAATCAAAGTGGAATTATTTTGAGCTTGTTTCTGACTCTTCCTTCAATCCTGGGACTGTGTAAATCATGCAATGTATCTGAAGGCATGCAGGTTATGATAAGTTGCTCATCACAAGTTGATCATCTCAGCAGCCTTACTTTCCCGTTAGGCTATTTGTTATTTCCCCCCCTAAAAGTTAATGATTGCACCAAGACCATTTTACACAGTCCAGGCTGATAAATAAACTCACATTTTACGCAGCTGGGGAAGCTTCTTGAAAATCCCCGTGGCTTCCAGCACTGTAAATTCATTGTTATTGAGTCTCCTGTAAATGGAAACCATAATAAATAGGTATGTTTGAATTCCTGTCTTTAGTAAATCTATGCAAATACAGCAATTAATAAAATGCTGTCAAGTTGTGAGGGGAAAAAAAAACTGGTGAAATTTAGAAGCAGAGATGAATTGACTGCAGCTTTTCATAGAGCAGCTGGTTAAAGTAATAAGCAACATGATTTTATCTGAAAAACTGAAAGTTACAAACAATAAGAAATGGCTTCACTAAAAAGGATGTAGAAATCAGACACTAAACAAGTTATGTTTATAGTTATTTATAGATTTACTTATCTGGGTTTACATTTGGGCCACAACAAAAATTATTGGCTGGGTTACAAAAATGTGTAATTTAAGCAGACTTCAGATGTTCCTGAAAAAATCCTGCTTAATTAATCTACCTAATGGAAACAGCCTCCATATGATTTTAATAAAATAGATTGGTGTGTATATTCCACAAATTGAAGAATATATCTATTTCTCAGGTCATTAGCTGCTATTGTCCTTTTCCAAAGTAAGTGACAGATCGATTCAATCTGACGTTACACTAGGTTTGTGCTCAACTTTCTTCCTTGTACGTGAATGTGTGTTTTTTACGCATTTTCCAGTGCTTCATAAATGATTACACACATACGAAACAATTGGTTTCAGAATATCAAATGAAAGCTCTGGCATTTGTGTAGTGGCATTAGCAAGGTGTGTCCTATGTAGGGAGCCTTTTCATCTGTGGAGATTGTCCTTGACTGACAATTGTAGCCAAAACTTCTGTTGCTAAGTGAGACCTTCGTTAAGTGAGTTTTGCCCCATTTTACAACATTTCTTCCCACAGTTGTTAGTGTCTCACTGCAGTTGTCCAGTTACTAATATGGTTATTAAGAGAATCTGGGTTCTCCCACTGGCTTTGCTTGTCAGAAGATTGCAAAAGGGGATTACGTGACCTCGGGACGCTGCAACCGTCGTAAGTATGAGTTGGTCTGAATTTTGATCACATGACCCTGGGGATGCTACAACGGTCGTAAGTGTGAAAAACGGTTGTAAGTCACTTTTTTCAGTGCCACTGTAACTTTGAACAGTCACTAAACCAGGGGTAGGCAACCTTGGCTCTTATATGACTCATGGACTTCAACTCCCAGAATTCCTGAGCCAGCTATGCTGGCTCAGGAATTCTGAGAGTTGAAGTCCATGAGTCATAAAAGAGCCAAGGTTGCCTACCCCTGCACTAAACAAACTATTCTAAGTTGAGGACTATGTTTCACATGTGACAAAAGTATTAATTGCAATCAATTTCTAGAAGCAAAATGTGCATTAAGGTCAAAAGTAATTGTAATAAATGCAAATGCAGAAAACAGACATAAGGTGATTCGGTTATTGCTTTCTTTTTAAGGTTGATGCTATGTTTAAAGTTCTTAATGTGAAAGTCTTGAAGCACATCACATCCTCACGGCTTTTCTTTCTGGAAAATGTCCCTTTTGATCCACGAATTTTGCTAACTATTTCCCACCTGAAAACCTTGGAGGGTGAATGAATGAATGAGTGAATGAATGAGTGAATGAATGAATGAGTGAATGAGTGAGTGAATGAATGAATAAATGAATGAATGAGTGAATGAGTGAGTGAGTGAGTGAATGAGTGAGTGAGTGAGTGAGTGAGTGAGTGAGTGAATGAGTGAATGAATGAATGAATATTTATTCTTGCATCCACAAGTCATTACATGTAAGACTTACTACTGGTGCGTCCAAATTGTACCTCATCATAGTCTGAGTCTTTCTTATTATTCTTTCTTTTTTCTTTTACTCTTTTTTCTACTATTCTTATTATTTGAAATTCATACTTCTATTATTTTATTATTGATTATAGAAATTATAGGCCAGTTGTAACTCTGCGGAGATTGTTTTGCTGGGCCTGACACCTCTGCAGTCCCATTTCCTTTTAAATAACCTGGTTTTGAGTCTTATCCACTACAGTTTGCCTCGTCCCTACAGCAAATTTTGGCAACAAACCACAAACACATGGATTGAATTAACAAGTAAATACTTAAAGGAAGCCTCCTGAAAGTAAGTGTCATTTATGCCTCTTGCTAAATCAGTTCCTCTCCTTGCTTGGAAAACTCCTACGTTTGCAGGCATTCCCCGGGGTTATTTCTGTCCTCTGCTCCCTTCCAGCTGCGAAACACAGCGGAGTATATAACGGGAAGGCTTCAATTTGCCGTTTGTGTTGTAACAAGCACACTGAACTGCAGCTGGCGGATTGATATTGCTCGAAGCAAAGAGCTGCTTGCTTTTAAAGCAAACGTGAAGAATACTGTCAACAATAAAAAGTGGTAGGAGACGTAACAGTATTAATTAAAGCATTAATGGATAAAATAATTATAACGATGATGATATGCTGAAGCTACTAGTTGTAATGCTCAGACAGGCAACCTGTGATCCGTTGGGTCGTGGTTTCAGAGACGGGGCCGTAATTAAGCAGAGAAACAGTGGTCAAAAGTAAAAACCAGTAGGAACAGGAATGGTTTCCAAGTTCCTGATGGTTTGACTGGGGCTGGCCGCTCTCTGGCAGCTGCCTGGTCTACCCAGAGGGGGGGAGGACTGGAGTGCAACTTCCAAGGCAGCAGTCTGGCAACACGGAAGCGAATCCGCCAGTTTTCAATCCTGTGGAAGTCCTGGGTCCCCAGTTTTGGTTGCATTCATTAGGGTACCCCTTTGGGGTACCCCTGGGTTCAAAATCTGCTGCCCTACGATGCATGGTTTTGCCCAGTTCAAGGTTACAGACAGGAGAGTTTTAGCAGCCTGGCTGTTTAAGCCTCTGTTTGAAGCGTTGATTTAAAGATGGCTCCATCAAACCATGGAATGAAACTCTTGGAATGAAGCCTTGATGGGGGGGGGGAGAAACCGAGTCAAAGATCGGAAGGTTTTTTGGGTGAATGTTTTGTGAAACCGCAGCCATTTTTCAGGTCGAATCAAGTTGAATTTCAGGGCACGAATTTGAGCAGGCCGACCCATTTGAATCAAACGGCGGGTTCACCTTAGAGCCAGCTTGACACATCCAGGCTCCGATTCTAATTGTAAAGATGAGGAGAATAACCGCAATAGCAATAAAGCTAGCGATGATCTGGGTTGTCTTCATTGTTCCCCTTTAGCAGTTACAGGATCGCAGCCTTCGAATATGTGGTAGAGATATTGTGGTATTTTCGCTTACTCAGCTCCTTTGGGAAAGCTGCTGATGGCAGCTTCAGACCAAAGCAGAGTTAATACATCTAAACTGAAGTCTTCCCTTTCCCGAAGGACCTGAATAAGCAACAGTATCAGTCAGGTAGTCCTTGACGTACAACAGTTCATTTAGTGACTGTTTGAAGTTATGACTTATGACCATTTTTCACACTTACAACCTTTGCAACATCCCCACGGTCATGAGAGTTACATTCAGATGCTTGACCACCGGTTCACACATATGACGGTTCCAAAGTCAATGGAGAAACGATATTCACTTAACAGCCATGTTACTAATTTAACAACTGCAGTGATTCACTTAACAATGGTTGCTAGGAAGGTCGTAAAATGGGGCCAAGCTCACTTAAACTAATTTCTCACTTTGCATCATAAATTTTGGGCTCAGCTGTGATCGTAGGTCAAGGATGTCAAGGTAATGATTTAGAAGCTAACCAGCTAATGTAATGTGAGATGTACCATGTAATGGTGGGAATGACTCAGCAGGGTATATGTCCCTTTAAGGGCCAGCTGGGTCTCTGTCCCTTTGAGAGCTTTGTATAAAAGGGAAGGCTCCGCAGAAGTCTGCTCTCTCTCTTCTGTATTCCTGCCGTAACTGCTGTGTACTGGAGACTGCTGTATTAACATGTGTATGTATATTGTTCCTGGTGTATGATATTGTAGATGAGGGGTCTTCAAATTCCCAGAATTCCTCAGCCAGGCATGTGTGCCTGGTTGAGGAATTCTGGAAGTTGAAGTCCACAAGTCATCAAAGAGCCAAGTTTGAAGACCCCTGTTGTAGATAGTATAAGATAAATCACCATTTAATATAGATCACTGTTTACTGTGTTTACTCCTAGGTTATCTCAGTGCAATAAGACTATGCATGCTCTGACAAAAGACCACTTGTCTATCCCTCTGCCTATCGATGCAAGACGGGACTTACAATTCTGCCGTATACTGAGGGAGATGCTCGGGAATCCTGCTGAGCTTCTGACTGGAACAATCCACCGTGGTGCCTTCGCAACGGCATTTTTCAGGGCAAGCTAAGTCCGCAAAGCAATTGCCGCTCAGTTTGGATCGGTAATCTTCTGTGCCTGAGGGAGAAAGAAAACATAAAATACAAGGGCTCAGTCCGTGAAGGCAGCTTTCCAACATTTGGTAGAAAAAGAAGAAGAGAAAGAGGAGGAAATAAGCAGATCTGCAACCGAGACAAAAAGGGTAGTTGGGGAGGCAGGTTTTGTGATAATGAAGAAGAGTAAGGCTTAAGCGTGGGTTAAATTTTAGAAAGCTTGAAATTTGCTGGAGGGGAAATCCCACGTGGGTTAACATTTACTTGAGCTTTACACAGCCGTAGTTTCTGCTGATTAAGCTGTTGGCCAATCTATTCCATTTTACGGTGGAAAAGAACAGAGAACAATGTCCATTGTGGGGTTCAATATGTTTTACCCCAGTTTTGGAGTTAAGCAGATCTTTGCACCCGTTTCATCACCGCCCCCGTTAGACTCCCGTTTTACTGAAGCCGGCCTTTTTGTGTCATTTCTCCAGAATGCAATTTACAGCCCTGTCCTGCTTCTTCGTTTGGTTTGGTTTTGTTTTTATTTATTTATTTAGATTTGAGCCTCAGCAGCTTGTCATGCTGTAGAAAGCTGCGTGACGTTCCATGGTGCTTGACAGAACCATGTTTTACGCATACCTCACAACCACATGGTTAGATCAAGCACAACAGAAAATCTCGCCCACTTAATCACAAACTTCATCCACTAGGACAAGGAGAGGGAACAATGGGGGGAAAAAGAGGAAGAGGAACAGGACAGTGTTGCAAGGAGAAACTTCAGAGGATGCCACGGCATTCTTTTGAGAGAATATCCACTCTGTGACGGTCACATCACGGAATCTGAAAGCGTGCAGGAAGAAATCTGTCCACCATTCGTTGTCAGTTACAGAGACACGTACACGTCGAACAAACATCTACAAAAGATTTGAGGGCTGGTTGATGGTAGGAGGGAAAACAAAGGAGGCAGAAATGGCTTGTGGACTCCTCTTGGATAAAAGGTGAGGAATCTGAGACTCAAGGGGGGGGGGAAGTGCCTCTGATCCGAGAAGCCGGTGGCACAACCCACACACCCTTCCTTACTTACAGCCCCCGTGGTGAACGCCTGAAAGAGGAAGGAAACACAGAGAAGGAGGAAAGAAAGAGAGAGCAATCCCCCATGGAAACAGAGCAAAAGAAAACCCTTTCAGAAGACAGAGAGAGCTGATATGCTTGATCTCACCTAGGGTTTGAGGAACAGGTTGGCTTAAAATTTGGTGCTTCCAAATCCAGGAGTTGAGTTTGTGTTTTAGCACGTACTTTTGACGTACATATTTCTTTGGTTTGTCTAGCTCAGTGTTTCTCAACCTTGACAATTTTAAGGCATGTGGACTTCAACTCCCAGAATTCCACAGCCAGCATTGCTGGCTGTGGAATTCTGAGAGTTGAAGTCCACATGCCTTAAAATTGTCAAGGTTGAGAAACACTGGACTCTAGCTTATCCCAAAAGAGAGAGAGGGCAGAATTTTTTTGAAGCAGAGAGGACAGCAAAACACCGAGCAAGGCCATCTAAATATGACTTCATACCACAATTAACTCCAAGTAAAGGATGTGGTTTGCCAAAGGAAAGTCACCAATGGCCATCACAGAATTAATGGGAAACCGACACAGCTAAAGTGGAACCCCGTGGCATTCTGGTCACATATGTTCACATGCTATTCGGATGGCTATGGAGCTTTCTGGATGTATTTGGAGGAAACAGCAGGAAAAGAGCTAGGCCGTAGCTTGATGGCAAACAGCTGGCTAAATCGCTAACCCCCAAAGGGGTTGTCATTCTGAAGTTCGAAATAACAAACTAGTCTGTCCTAAGTAAATGCTCATTCACAAGTTGGATTCTCCCAGCTTTTTTAGTTTTTTTTATAAATGTATTTATTAAATTTTTATGCTGCCCATCTATCCTACAAGGTGACCCTGGGTGACTTTTGCAAGATTAAGTGAGCACAGCTGTCAGGAGAATTCTGGGAGTGGAAGTCAGCAACATAAAGTTATTAAGGTTGAGAATCCCTGCCATAGATGTTAGTCTACAAATGATTCATTTCCTAGTGTTTGATATGGTTTCACGTCACTGAGGGGTCCTTGATGCTATGTGGGCTTGCTTGATTTCTTGCAGATTTTTCATTACCCTAACTTAGTTAAGGTAATGGAACGTCTGCAAGGAAACAAGCAAGCTCAGAGAGAACCAAAGACCCCTCATTTCAACCCTGAGCTGCAAATATTCTCTTTTATTGATTCATATCACTCTTCTGCTTTTTTTTTTTATAAGAAGCCTCTACAATAACCAAGAGAGGCCATTTTCCTTTGCTAAAAGCATCTCACTCCAGCAAAGCATCCAATGGACTTTATCCCTAACAAAGAGAGAGGCTATTATATCAAATAATTTTATTTATTTTTTGCTGGCTGGTCATGCATTTGTATTTGAGTCAAAAAATTCATTATACCTTTGAACTCCCCACCACCACCGATCAATTATTTTTCACCTAGCAGGATCCTGCAACGTACGTCAGCAATCCTATGGTTCTTCCCTCGAACCATTAAGAAACTACTGGAGTGATTTACCAGCTGCACAAAATAAATATGTAATTAAAATGGAAGTGTATGACAAAGAGGAACAGCCAATGCTTTCAATGTGGCGTGTTCAAGGAGAATGAAAATTGCAATAAATAGCAGTGATGTTTTAATTATTTCTACTTTCATCAGAGCAAGGGCACTCATGGATAGTCTGTGGATCCTTGTGCAAAAAAAAAAAAAAAACCAAAACACAAAACCCACATATGTTGGCTTGGCATTCTGTGATTTCACAAGCACAGGGAACAAAGGTCATTAAAAGAAAGGAACAGAGCAGAGAGCTGAAAACAGAGTTCAAGGCATAAAAAGCAAAGCAGAAAAGCACCCTTTGGGTTTTCTCAGCTCTTTCATCCTAGCAGGATTCTTTCATTTTAAAGCAGCTCAGCAGCTACATTTAAAGAAAAATGATGTTGATGTGAGCAGGATATCGCAAGACAAAGTATCCTAGCAAGTTCCCTTTCAAGAAACTACGAGTATTTATGAGTTGGGTATCAAGAGCTGCATGCAAAGCTCAAGGATTCTGAAAACAAAACTAGGTAACTTCCACTACTCTAAAGGGTGTTTACTAGGGTTAAAATGCATGCACCACTAGGTTTAGAAGTTGAGACAAAATTGCTTTGTGTGACTCAGTGCAAACTCAGTGCGCAGCTAATTGCTCAGCAACAGCCAAACCTACCTGGAATGAAATATTGTTCTTTAGCTACATAAAAAGAAAGAAAGAGAGAGAGAGAAAAAATAGGAACCTGAATGTCAGCAAGCAAAGAATTTATTAGACTAAGTAAGGATGACAGATAGGCTAAAGTGACGGGGGGGGGGGAATGTATATTTACATCCATTGATTACAGTATGCTTGGATATAAACTTATTCGCATCGAGGTTAGTTGCGTTATTCTCGTATTTGCCATAAAAAAAACAATTAATTAGCTGGACACCAGATGCTACAAGTTAGATTTTTAAAGAAAGAAAGTAGGAAATAGAATAAGATTAGAAAAAGCAAACATCACAATTTATCATGATATAAGCTTCCCCCTGTAATATGAAGGTCATATATTTAAATTTTCTGTTGCTGGTTTGTTTTTGTTTTTTCAAAGGTTTTGCTAGTACTCCATGCTTTCTTGATTGCAAAAAAATAAAAAATAAAAATTGCCGTGAAGAATATAGCCCAAAGGTCTGATTTAGTACAAACTTTAAAAGCATTATATAATCAATTTCTGTAGATATATTTTTGTGTTTAGCAAAGGTTGTGATGTGGGCTAATAACTACATGGATATTCTAGGTCCAGTCCAGACTTCCTTTGATGGCTAAATAATTCAGCTAAGAACCAGACAGAGTTTTCATTAAGGATGTCTCCAATTTTCGTTCCCCTCTTTGGAAGAGAAGAAAAAGTAGCAGGCGAGTGAAAGAAATTACCTGAACAGCGAAACTTCTTGCTTTTGATCTGCCCAATCCTTTTGTTCGCCAAACGGCGGGGGCTGGCACAGCGGGCACCGCTGGTCTCAATGGGGTTTACATGGAGATAATCTGCCAGCCACTTCAGATGACAGTCACAGATAAATGGGTTCTGAGCCAAATGCCTAAAAGAAAAGGACATTTTTGTAAAAAACAGAACAAAAAAAAGACGTTGCATTTGGTTTTCCATCTTTGCCAAAATTTCCTGCTCTACTTGGGGACCGAAATGAAAAATCCCAAGCCAAAGGCTGATACGTACAGCGTCTGAATTGCTCGGAGAGGAGCAAAAGTGCCCTTTGCAATAGTCTGAAGCTTGTTGTCATACAAAGAAAGTAGATTCAAATTATGTAAGTCTTGGAAAGCGTCCACTCGCAGGCAGTTTATCTTGTTTGCATTTAATAATCTGTAAAACCAAAGAGAATGGCAACGTATTAGGCATTTAATTAAGCTTTCCTAAGCTTCACTGGTATAGCAATAGCGCTTAAGACTTATATACCGCTTCACAGTGTTTTGCAGCCCTCTCTAAGTGGTTTACAGAGTCAGTCTATGCCCCCCAACAATCTGGGTCGTCAATTTTCTAGAATTTTGTGTAATACAAAAGAGACCTTGCTATTCAACATATTCTAATTCCTAAGCATAGCACTTCAGTATCAAGGGCTCATGTAAAATATATTCTCTGCTTACTAGAAAACGATTATATGGAGGTGTGGAAGAGAGTTTGGATGACATGTTAAAAAACAGTTTATCATTAGAAGAACCACTTCAGTAAACTATGGGCTTGTTTGTCAACCTGTACACTCAATTTTACCCATGGATAATTGAAAGAGCCTAGCTTCATAAACTTTATTTTGGAGATTCAGGTAAATTAAGCATTGTATGGATTAAATGGCATCACATTTAAATAAAAAATGAGTCCACTGCAATTTTACAGGTTTTGTATAAAAAGTGGAAAATCACATTCCTGGGAGTACATGTTCTCTCTCACACATCCTTCAAACAAACAAAAGTTGTATCTATCCAATCATAGTTGCCTCTTGCCCACTGTCTCCCTTCATATGTAACTATGATTTTAAAATGCAATGTTAATGCAGGTGGAGTCCTTAAAAATAATTATAAATAAGTAATCTTGCTTGAAGAGATAGATAGATAGATAGATAGATAGATAGATAGATAGATAGATAGATAGATAGATAGATAGACAGAGAGACAGATAGATATGGATGGATGGATGGATGGATGGATGGATGGATGGGTGATGAATGAATGGGCAGAGAAACAGACAGAAAGACAAACTAACAGATATAACTGTGCCAAGAAAACAAGATAAAACAAATGAAAATGTTTCCTTAAAACCAGTACCGTATTCTTAAACCATGTGTTTGAGTGCTTAAAAACCAAACAAAAAGGCCTGCAGAAAATCTACTGAAGGGGAAAAAAAAGATTTTGTCTTGATGAAGAGAGGAATGGGAGACGAGAAAATGAAAATGAAAGGGTCAGAAAAACCTCTTCACCTTCAAAAGATGCAGCTTTCTCCCCTCAAAGCAGTCTTGCTACTTCAACCCACTTCTACCCAAACTCCCTCCTCAATGAAAAAACTGGGTTTTATAAAAGAAATACTCACAGCAACTGAAGAGCGAAAAGCCCTTCAAAAAGGCTCTTGGGAAGTTCAGTAATTTTGTTTCCATAGAGAACCCTACAACAACAAAAACGGTTAATTAATTCACCTAGAAATTTTCAACCGCCATCTTCCCTCAGCGAAAGTAGAACAAAGTTCTCATGCTGAACCATGAAAATACTTCTGAATAACATGAGTTTATCTGCCAATCTTCCACAATCAGGCTCTTGCTAAGAAGTTGGCTTTGATTTGGTTGGTTCTTCTTAAAGTATCTTAATTATTTTCACAAATGTGTTCTGATCTAAATCACATTATTAGCACTGAACTGTTCTGTGGGCTGTGCTTTGCAGGAAGAAAATTGGTTGGCGTTGTTGTTTTTGTTTTTTTAATATTTTTTTTTATCCCACCTTTAATATTTTTGTAAGTAACTCAAGAGCCAAGCACTGAGAAAATCTGGACATTCAGACAGTTCAAAGGAGTATAATGATTTATTGCAAGCTTAAGCACTCTGCAAAGGATCTGGCCAACTAACGGTCAAGGGAAATGAGTGGGAGATCAGAAAGGCATTCAAGGTGGTGCTGGACTTAGATCTATTGTGGACACGAAGAGACTCGTGACTTATGATGTGTTTGACCCCTTCTCCCTCAGGCTGAGCCTGGCCATCTCCTACATCAAGACAGCAAACGTACCTAATACTCCTCTTATTTTCCCCACAATAATCACCTTGTGACAGGAATTGAGCTGAGAGAAACTGACTGGCCCAATATTACCCAACTGGCTTTTATGCCTAAGGCAGGACTAGAAATCACAGTCTCTTGCAGATTGGCTCAAAATTGCCCAGCCAGCTTTGATGTCCAGCTAAAATAAGGCCACCTAAATCAGGATGGCCCAACTTGTACGTGACTAGACACCAGTGGCATCCCATCAATTACATATCCCCTCATGGATAACAATTTGTGTTGGCTTCCTGCAGAGTTCCCGTGCAAATTACACACATTGTCACTCCAGGTCTGAAGGAATGGCCAACAGCTTTAGAGTTTCATTTGGTTGTGGAACAAATGTTTGTATGAACCAACCTCTCTGGGTTTCAGACATAAAATATGGCTAGAATTATCAGTAGCTTAAAAACTCCCTAAACATTTCAGGTCTAATTGAGCTTAAGAAAGCCACATACGGGGAGTGTAACTGCAACGGAAGTTGAGACGCATAAAATTTGGGGAAATCAGCTAGCTGAACTACAATGCAGAAATTTTATTTCCTGTCTAGCTCTCTGGTGTGTACAATGGAGTTTGATAAATGGCTTCTTCGACTACCCTTCACTTGCTGAGGGATTCAGAATATAGGAAAAAAACATAGAATGTGCCTATTTTTACTTAATTGAGGAGAACAACTGAAGAAGTAGTTAGACATCAAAAAAGAAAAAGAAAAGAAAATCCATAGGGAATGAATTTGCAAGTCCTTTCCCCCAGAGCTGTATTCACCAGCCTACCCTAAAATCTATAATCATTTGTCTGTGCACATACCGACTGTCTGGAAAACAAATATGCCATTGAAAATTGAGTGCAAATGGCCTTACAAAAACAGTTTTTTAAAAGAACTTACATCGGGGACATGCACTTTAAAAACCTGTTTGAGGAGAATGTATGTGCTGAAGAGTGAGGAAAGCAGCTGATTTGCATTAAAAATAATGCAGGCAATTTAGGGTAAGAGTTACATAAAAGAGGGAAAACAGCATTTCTGCATATTAAAGAACACTGCAGACCCCAAAGATTACAACATCTGTAGAACATCTGTAGAAAAAAATATTGGACCCATGTGTCTTTAGATACTACCTTGACTTATTTAACAGTTTATTTAGTGACCGTTCAAAATTACAACGGCTTTGAAAAAAGTGACTTATGACCATGTTTTACACATTACGACCTTCATAGCTTGCCTTTGGTCACGTGATCAAAATTCAGACACTTGGCAACTGGCATGTACTTACGACAGTTGCAGTGTCCCAGGGTCACATAATTCCCTTTGTGACCCTTGGACAAGCAAAGTCAATGGGGGGGGGGACCCAGTTTCACTTAACAACCGGGTTACTAATTTAACAAGTGCTGTGATTCACTTATCAACTGTGGCAAGAAAAGTCGTAAAATGAGGCAAAACCCGCTTAACAAGTGTCTCATTTAGCAATGGAAATTTTGGGCTTCAATTGTGGCCGTAAGTCAAGGACAGCCTGTATTGTTCCAGAGGAAGAACCAGACACAAGGGTTGAAGGAGGAGATTCAGAACAGACGTTGGGACTTTTTAATCGTAGAAGCTGCTAAAGACTGGAAGAGGATTCCACAGGAAGGGATGACTTCTCCTTCACTGAAGACTTTCCAAGAGGGGTCATCCGTCTCTCGAGATCTTCCAGTAGATCCAGTACTTTGCAGGGAACTGGACCTCTAAAGACCCTCTAAGGCAAGGAGATAGCTCAGATGTCCATGGAGGTTCTCCGTCACCCAAGGTTGTCCCAAAGGAGGCAACTGGACTTTCTTTGTTCTTCCTTGAAGATGTTTTTCTTCTCATCCCAGAAGCTTCTTCAGCTGAGACAACTCAGACCGTCTAAAAATTTGAGCCTGTGCTTACCCGTGGGAAATCAGTGCCCGCCTACTCCTGTCAGTGGGCACATGATGTTTGATAATAACACACCCACTTAATTTAGCAAATAGCGCTAAATAAAACAAAATAAATAAAAGCAGATGTTGCCTTATATGAGAATTTAGGCCGGCGAGTGAGCTTCGTTGATGTCTGGGCCAACGAAAGTCTCCAGTTCCACCCAAAGCATTTCTCCCAGCTGAACGTGAGACAGACGCAGCCCTTGGCACTGGCGGCTGAGATACTTACAGGGAATTAAGTGAGCGAAGACCCTGGAAGGCGTCAGGGGCGACCTCTGAGATTTGATTATTGCTCAGATCACTAAAAGGAGAAAAGGTATTGTATTAGCACAAGCCCACCCTTCAGGATGGTGTTTCTCAACCCTGGCAAACTTTAAGGGATCTTGCTGGCTCAGGAATTCTGGGAATCAAAGTCTACACATCCAAAAGTAGCCAAGAGGGAGGAACCATGCTATTGGATGTCAAGCAGCTTCATTAATTCCGCCACAAACAGGAAGGATAAACAGCAATTTATTTCAATATTGTAAAGCAGGGGTCTTCAAACCTGGCCCTTTTATGACTTGTGGACTTCAGCTCCCAGAATTCCTCAGCCAGGCACACGTGACGGGCTGAGGAATTCTGGGAGTTGAAGTCCACAAGTCATCAAAGGGCCAAGTTTGAAGATCCCTGTTGTAAAGACTCAGCTGCGGAAACTAACTTTCTTCTTATATTATTAAAAATATCATTCTCTACCCTGTGCTATCAAGAAAAAAATTATTTAAATCATAATAATAATGCAAGGCATTAATGCAGGAGGGAGGGAGGGACAGAGGGAAGAAAGAAAGAAAGAAAGAAAGAAAGAAAGAAAGAAAGAAAGAAAGAAAGAAAGAAAGAAAGAAAGAAAGAAAGAGGAAGGAATGATGGAGAAGGGAGGGAGGGAGGGAGGGAGGGAGGAAGGAAGGAAGGGAGACTGAAAATGCTTAGCATAAATCCCAACCTTCTTATATAAATTCCAAAGTATTTCTCACTTACATTCGTCTCAGCTTTTTATAGGGTGAGAAAGCTCCTGCAGGAATGGCCTTGATTGAATTTTGTTCCAATCGTCTAACAGAAAGAGAAGAAAATAACACTCTAAAATTCCAAAACTCATCACAGGAGACTAAGAGGTGATAACTGATGCCCACATCCACGAGAAAAAACACAGTATAAAAACATGGGTAAGTTATACCATGAGAATAAAGAGGTTGCAGTTGTTTTTAATTTTAAATGCCGAAAATATATTAATGTTAATTTGTCAGAGATTAGTGGGTAGTCCTATTTAAATACTATGATAATTTTGCATATATGACATGCTAAAATATGTTATGTTTCATCTCTCAAAAGGAAACACAAGGAAATGTATTAGATAAATATATTAGATACTTTGTTACCATAGGATTCACCCCCCGCCCCCCTCCATGTAAAACCAGTCAGTAATAGTCAATGAGAACTAGGAAAATGAAAGATTTTGAAATGCAGAGATCCCTTTTTCATGCAGATGTTTTCTCGCTTAGAAAGAAATGTGCTTCATGCACATTAATTGTGTTTTTACTACAATGAAAGGGAACCTATGCTCTGGATAAGCCTTCAAAACCCTACAAGTTACTGCGAAGCAATAATTTTCCTTCTCTTAAACCAATATTGCCACCATCCTATTTTGAGCTTCCAGGTTGAGGACTTTTTTTTTTTTTGTGAAAAAAGCTTCTGAAGTACTACTCAGGATTCTCGTATTTGACTCACGTTCTCAGGAGCTGCAACTTGATGTAGATCAGGGGTCTTCAAACTTGGCTCTTTTATGAATTATGGACTTCAGCTCCCAGAATTCCTCAGCCAGGCACTCCTGCTTGAGCAGGGGGCTGGACTAGAAGACCTCCAGGGTCCCTTCCAGCTCTATTCTATTCTAAGTTCCAGTCCCCACTGTTTTCATAGGTCTAGGATAGCCTATAAAAGTTGGAAAGCCTTTCTAACTGGAAGATCCGTCCCACAATAGAAGCAGTTTGGCCAAGATCTGGTGGACTTTCCTTGGCTGGGTGAGATGAAGCAAAAATAAGACACGGCAACGGGCAAGATGTTTTGAACCCGGAGCGACCCAAATCCATGGACAGCTCACTTTCATGTGCAAACAGCTGTTCCTAGTGTGAAACTAGCTGTTTTAAACATTTGCTCCCAAGGTTCAAAACAGCCTGTCCAATACTCAAAATTAGCTGTATGTGAAACAGAACATCTTGCCCTCTTAACAAATTATTTCAAAACCGAATGTTTGAATTTCAGCCTTGGAAAAACAAAAGCCATCCCTAAATCTAAGCTGCAGTGATACAAATTTATAGGAAGAAGCTAATCTTAACTTTCATTTCATAACAATGCAGAAACAGCTGTTAACTAAGGATAGGAAGTGGACTGCCAAAAATAAATAATTTGTAAACCAACGTAACAATGATAAACAATGGTGTTGTTTAATACCGGAATACTTTCTTGATATACTATTACCGTCCACAGTGTAGTCACCACCTTTTCTGAAAAGCCTCTTATGTTAAAATAATCAGGAGGGGGGTCTCTTGAGGTACAGTGGACTGACACTCAAAGAAATTGGGTTGATTGTAGCAGTAACCTTCATTATGCCTCTTGAAACATTAATATTTTCGGTATGATAAAAGTAGCAGAGTAACACAATTGTGTTTTTTTCAGTATGGAATTAACTGCTAAAATAATGAAGTGGTCATCTTCTATGCTCCACAGATAAGCAAACATTTCTTCAGCATGTTATATGTCAAAGTCACTTGGGTACCCCTCTACATCTAATATAATCAATGAATTAATTGTTCGACAAAACAGCCATTATTTTCATCAGAAATCCCACCAATAAGGTTAAAGTCATCAATCCTGAGCTTCCAATATCTAACAATCAATATAATGTCCTCTTGAGGTCTAAATTTCACCAATGATGTCAATCTGGAATTGCTACTTAGTGTAGCGGGGATGAATAGTAACCTCCCACACAGAGAAAGTTGTGTTGGGAGGAACCGAACAGAAATTCATCTCTCTTTATGGATGGAAAGCTTTTGCAGGCCACAGCATGTTTGTGACAGCTTTTACTTGTCATTCAAGCTTCCAGCTCTGTTGAAACTAACAGAGATAATAAATCTGTATGTGCAAAACTCTTCCCAGTGCATATGTTTTTGGTGCATGCATGGATATCTCTATATATTACAGATTAGAGTGGGATTCTGCCCATCTCCCTTATAAAGCGACTTTTAGTGACCGATCCCAACAATTCAAATGATACAATCACCCAGACGTGTGTTAAACCCACACTGGTTCATTCACAGGAAGTTAAGTTGTTGGAAGTTATACCATCTTTCTCTGTGGTCCACCTCGTGGTTACAGGACCCTTGGATAACAAACATTAGAAAGACAGGAGAAAAGGCTTGTTACCTACATTTCTGTAATGGTTTCTGGAAGGTTGGTGGGGATTTCAGCCAGGCCTTTTCCTCTGCAATCCACAATGTTGTTACTACAGGTACAGGCAGCGGGGCAGTGCAACACACTACAGGAGGGAGCCATAAAAGACTGGTGACCTGAAAACAGCAACAAACGGCCACTTCTAGAGCTGCAAGGTGGCTATTCAAGAAAAGTGCAACTGATCCCTCGCAGGTGGGTGATCCCAGCAGGATCGTTTTTAAGCCTCCCCCATCTTCTTAACATAAAATGCCCACAAGAACTCAGGTGAGCTACTTCCACCTAGTAGCTGAGTTAAAACCAGTCAAGAATACTCAGGTTTCAAACGATGTACACCAACGTCTTGAGTAAATATATTATTTATAGGCGGTTCTATTTTAATTTTGAATGGTTAGAAAAGCCAATAGCATTTTTCAACAAGCGCCGTGCATTCTCTCGCACTAATTGTTCAACAAAACGCCAGATAGTTCAGAATAATAGCATCCCATCAGCAAGAAAGAAGCAAGTACTTGTATGCTATAAGGAGGGTGTGTTTTATTACCCTATTGACCCCAACCATTATTGTAACAAGTTTGGTCTGGGAGTGGATCAAGACATCTGGAAGGAATCCAGATGTTTGGGAAAGATCTGCAAGCTTGCACTCTTTCCTTTTTCATGTGTTTGGACATTATCTGCTGAGCATACCCAACAAAAACATTCGGGATGAAATAAAAGAGAACGGTCCATGTTACAGTTTTATACACAAGCTCTGGGCAACTGGGATGCATTAAGAGCTATTGACAATTAATTGATGATACAATTGATTTTTTTTTAATGATTTAAAGTGAACTTGCCTTCTTCCTCATCTGGAGGTTATGAACAGAGAAAAGGAGACAAATGTTAGCAATATATCACTTTAATTATTAATTTAATTATTCTTTCATGACAAGCAAAAAAAAAAAAAAACCCCACAGATGGTAAAATGTGTAACGTGTAACATTTATTGTTCCCATTCAGACTTTTTATTCATTTCTTGTGCAAAAGTAAAGTATTAATTTTGGATAGGGACACAGAGCTCAGCAGAGGCAGAATTTTGCCTCTTGCACTGAGCTGTTACCAGGGAAAAGCAGTGAAATATGCAGCATCTCTCCTTCTAGCCTAAGGAATTGTAGACCTAGGAGCAGAGGCAACCTCCATCAGGCAGGAAAAGATTAATCTAACGACTGAGAGGCATAAACACGGTCCAGAACATGGGTTCCTTTCTCCCTTCTCCAACTTTTCGAGCTGACTGCATTTCTACAAAAGCAAAAAGAGGGTGAAATTAAGACTCTTGATTCCTAAGTCCATCTTCTAAGTCAGCTTTCTGAAGCGAAGTGGCTTCATTGAACCACACAGAATCCTGGGAAAGTGGATTCTTGCTGGACTTCCAGGGACTATCAGTGAAACTAAGACTGCTTTTTCCATCTCGTCTGGCATCGATCAAAAGGATGGTGGAAACACACGGCTGATCTTACCGCTGCAGATGAATTCTCGTTTCTGCACCTCAGCTATGTTATGTCCTCGCAAGTGTAACGGGGCCGTACACTGAGTGTAAAGGCCAACTCGGGGTCGTTGACGTAGCCAGTCGGATAACCAAGCCAAGTGGCAATCACACTGCAGGCTGTTTGAGTGAAGGCGGCTGGAAAAAAAAGGAACAACCCACACATTCCCAAAAGTCAACACGCGAGATGGGAAAAGTGAACAAAAGAGGACAAGTCGTAAACAGAATGCTTTTATTTATGCCTGCCATGCCAAACTCAAATTGGAGGCTAAAATATGACACCTTTCCTGCCCTCCTCGTTTGAGAAGCATTGTTTCATTCTTGCTGTCAGCCCGAAAGGAATTGATTATTTCAAAGGTTGTTGTCTAATATTAAAATCCAGGCTTCTGGAGCATCAGTCTTGCTACTGCATTAAATTAACACTGATTAGAATTTATTCAAATATATTTAGGCGTATTTCACCTGCGGATCTCAGCTGGAGGAGTGGAGGGCAAATGCCGATGAGATTCAATTAAAACACTGTTGACATTGTATTTTTTATATTAGGAAGAATCTGGAAAAAGTATTTCATTTTAACTAAGCACTGAGGCTTAATTTTTAAAAAAATAAACAAATAAACGTTCAAATAGTTCTCATTTATCATACCTGACAGCCAGTCATAGATGGAGTTGTGAAATTAAATGAAACATGACTTATTTAATTCCACAGGATACCACTAATTCTACCAAATATATTTGTATTGCTTTAAATATCAATCTATCCTAGATTCTTCCTGATATTATCAATATTTGGTTACAAATAAAAACCTAATCAAAGAAAGGATTTTTTTATTGGTTCGAATTTCACACTAGCTCTGAACATACAAGAGTGAGATTTTCCATTTAATAAAGCATTATTTCCCTTCAGAGCTCCTAAAATTATACATTTTTCTTGAAGTTGGCTCATCTTAAGTTCCTTCCCCAACGGGAGGAGATTTAGAATGTCCCAAAACGTAAAGCTGGTCCTTCTAGAAAGAAAAATGGACTTCTCTAAAGGATTCAGACTTTGACACCTTTCTAGTAGGAAAAATTGTAATTACTTACAAGGTTCGCAGTTTGGGCATATGGTTGAAACTGGCCACCGAGAGTCGTGTGATGTTGTTATTGTTGAGAGTGCTGCAAAATATCAACAATGGGTGTTTGTTTGTTTATTTGAGTACCAAGATCCCCAGTTACTCTTATATCTATGAACAATATTACGCTCCATCACTAAGAAAGAAGTAAAATAATGAACAAAAGCAAAATACTGTGCCCAAAGCACCAAAAGGCAAGACAAGAAAAAACAGATGGAAACTCATCAAGGAGAGAAGCAACCTAGAACTAAGGAGAAACTTCCTGACAGGGAGGACAATTGACCAGTGGAAGGACTTGGAAGAAGAGATTGAACTGCCATTTGTCTGGAATGGTCTAGGGCAGGGGTAGGCAACCTTGGCTCTTTTATGACTCGTGGACTTCAACTCCCAGAATTCCTGATCCAGCATGGCTCAGTATGGAAGCCTCTCCCTTTCCCCTCAGCATGGCTGGCTCAGGAATTCTGGCAGTTGGTCCACCAGTCATAAAAGAGCCAAGGTTGCCTACCTCTGGCCTAGGGTCTCCTGCTTGAGCAGGGGGCTGGACTAGAAGACCTCAAAGGTCCCTTCCAACTCTGTTATTCTGTATTCTAAGATGCTAAAGAGATCAACAAAGAGATTTAAGAATACCCAGTTATGTTAAAAATCTAAATCAGGATAGAGGAGTGATTCTGATTATGAATTACTGGTCCATTGTTGATCAATACATAAGCTAAGTTAAACATAAAAAGAATGATTTTTTTATAACTTACTTACGAAGTATGTTACTTGTAAATACTAATCAGCACTGTAACAGTTTTCCTGATACAGCTTAGATGTTCCTCATAGTAAAACTGTCCACATTTAGCTCACTTTTGTAGAAACAGTCACAAGTTATAAGACTTGTGTTCATAATTGGAAACATTTCTTGAGCTTTTTTTTAATGCACACCCAACTGAGAAGGAGGCAGAAGAGCCCTAGGACAAATGCGATAACCTTTGCAAAGAACACGTCCCCACTTCTCACTTCCAAATGTTAATTACTTATGCAATGTTATCACTAAATAAATCCCAAGGGTGCTTTTTGACAAGGCAACTGACTTTCTTGTTTTTCTTTGAAGACGTTTCGCTTCTCATCCAAGAAGCTTCTTCAGCTCTGAAGCGATGAGAACTGAAGAAGCTTCTTGGGTGAGAAGCGAAACGTCTTCCAAGAAAAAGAAGGAAGTTCAGTTGCCTCATGAAAAAAAACACCTTTGGGGCAACCCTGACTTGGAGGACTTTCAAGTTGTCTTTTTCATTATAAGAATCAAACATCACCTCTCAAAAATGCAACGGTGCTGTGATTTTGAGAGACAGGTAGAAGAACAATGGTGTGGAATAAGGTGGAAAATTCTTATGGAATTTTTTCATAAAAAAAAATGAAGAATTATTGGGGAATGCATTCCAAATGAAAGCTCAAAGGACCAAATTTGTCCCATAAAAGAAAATTTTACGTGGTTTCAGTTCTTCCAAAGACTTACACTGAATACAGGATAACAAGAGTCGGAAAGGACCTTGGAGGTCATCTAGTACTTTAATAATATAAACCAGGGGTAGTCAACCTTGGCTCTTTTATGACTCATGGACTTCAATTCCCAGAATTCCTGAGCCAGCTAAGCTGGCTCAGGAATTCTGGGAGTTGAAGTCCACGAGTCATAAAAAAGCAAGGTTGACTACCCCTGATATAAACTCTCTAAATAATAAAATGTGTCTTTTCAAAACATATATACCGGTATATAATTATTTGGTTTATTCTATCTTGGGCGGCTTGCATTGTACAATCCAAATGGAAAGAAAATTTAGAAACAACCTTTTGGCACCAGTGATTCATTAACCTTAATAAAATTAATGGCAAGTGCAGATGATGGCTCCCATTATTTATCTGGCTTCAGAATGGAAACAGCTCTATGGGACGTTCAGAATTAAAACTTTTCACCGCCAAAACTATTTTGTATTATCCAATGGATAATGTTCAGCTCCAGTCCCAGTTCCTCCCAATCCCTTCTGTTTATTCACTATTACTAAGTTCAAAAGGAGAGCTGGGAAAAAATAAATAAAAAATAACAATTGTGCTTCCATATTTTCCATACATTCTGTATTCTTTTCAAACACTTTCCAAATCTTCTGCTTTTTTTTTCAGCACAAAAAAAGGCCAAAAGTATCCCCCCCCCCCAAAAAAAAGGCAACTGGATTTTTTTTTGTTTTTCCTGGAAGATGTTTCACTTCTCATCCAAGAAGCTTCCTCAGTTCTTGGATGAGAAGTGAAACGTCTTCAAGGAAAAACAAAGACGGTCCAGTTGCCTTTTGAAAAAGCACTTTTGGGACAACCATGATCTGGGAGATGGAGAATCTCCACAGATATATTAGCAACCAGAAATTAAAATCAAGAAGTTATTATTGGTTTTAAAGAGCAATCGCACAGGGCAGTGTTTTGAATTATCGGAGTGTTTTTGAATATCTCCATCTGGGTGTTTCTTAAGAGATCCCACAATGTTTCTGAATCCTTTGGGTAATCTATTCTCCTTCATTAATGACTAACTTTAAGTGATTAGCAGAACTGAGAATTAATCCTTAAAAAAAAGTTTGGTAAAACAGCAAAAATGAAAAGGAAGGAATTCACACAACTCCTCCACCGTTGTATCTCTTGCTTGCTTTGTAGAAAACAAGTCACCAGTCAATTGCATTTACATCTTCCTTCAACTATGTGCAGATTTTGTATTCTTTGTTCTTATCTAATAAACAGGAATGGTTTAATCAAAAGGAAATAAGTAGTTAAGGCAGGATAAAACCACAATTAAAAATCTTTACCATCTTCTAACTACTGTGGCCTTATAGACGCTACGTAATTTTCACTGAATCAGATTTTCAACGGGACAATTTATTTTCACTGATGGATCAGAATTTCATCTATACAATGGAAAAGTATAGAAAAGATTTGAATCTACAGAACTTTCAAAGTGCATACATTGAAAAATCCAACTTTAAAAGAGAATGAATAGGACATCTGTGTAAAAAAAACAAAACCAAATTGCACCTTAAGAAATTAAAAAAAAATTAAAGTGTCAAGCAGTTGTGGTTATGTTTTAATTTTTCACAGGAAGTGTTCATTTACACTGTCAAACTAGATTATGTTGGTGATCTTCATCTGACTTCTGGTGCTTTTTAAATTTTTAAATATTATTTTTTTTTAAAAAAAAGTCCATTTTGAAATGAAATGATGAAAGATGAAAAAAGATAAAAACATCTCACCTATAAAACAGCTTAAGAAAAATCTAACTAGTTTTTATGATTCTTTTTTTTAAAGAGCATGTCCCTAGGCTGATAGGGATGACATGGTCTGGAAGAGAAATTTCAGATTTAACAAGTGTTGGCTGTGCTCTATTTTCCTGATCCAAAGAGGATGCAATTCAGACTGGTTGATTCTTCCATGACAGCATGCAAGTTATTTCACTTTGATAAAAATTAATGGGCAATTTTCAATCATCATCAACAGTTGGAAAGAGGTTTGGGGCATGAAAAGGCTCCACCATACCGGTTGGGGTTTCCAAAAAGTACTTCAGAGCACTGGTGCGTTCTGCATAGTATCTGATGAGAAAGTCCTATGGACTTCTGTTAAGCTGTTCCACAACTAGCAGCTTGCACACCGTGGCTCAAGATCCTTCTCCCAGGAATAAATACCCATCCTTCATAGGGGAAACCACATCCATGCACATCCATGCTAACATCCTGCTGGGGTGTGAAGCTGCTTAAGTACATTGGAAGCTTCACTTTGCTCAGTACAAAACAATTACATGGGAAAAAACAGGAGGGTGTTGGATCTGAACCACGGAGAACACAATGACTGAAAAATAAATTGAAATATCAAACCCTTAAATCTGCTTTTCGAAGGCGATTTTGGAAAGGTTGACGGGGTCGGGGCTGAAGGATCACCTTCTCCCTCCCCCAGACATTTCAAACTGTTCTTCTTTGCTTTTAAGCATTTTGACACAACTCCACAACTCCAGCTACCAGCTATTCAACTTTCCCGTTTGAGAGAAGGAGGCTATACTCACAGGACTTCCAGATCCCGTAGGGCTCTGAATGCTCCATCTTCGATGCAGCTGATCTGGTTGAAATCCAGTTGCCTGTTTAAGAACGTGGGAGAGGACAGGTGAAGCAGGCAGAGGCTGGACACCGGGTAGATTAAAACAAAAAAAGGCTTCCTGAGAGACGAGGCTTGGGAGACGGGCCTTGCGCTCCAGAATGGACTCCCTGAATGCTTCGGACAGTCGCCCGGCCTCCCGGATTGGATGCGATCACAAAAATCCCTTTTCCTTTTGCACGCCGTGTGCAAAAACGCAAGAGCCCTGGGAAAGCTCCAGTAAATAATAACTGCACCTTATATTAAATGCCAAAGGAATGCAATTTCATTACATCAAGAAAAGCTATCCATTAAAAGCTCTCAGCGTCATCTTGCTGAAACAATTTCATTAAGGTAAAGGGCTGTAAATCACTTAACGTCGTGCATCCCCTCAGTGACCTAACAGAATCCATTTATCAGAGAAGCACACAGCTGCATGCTAATTTCGCTGGCAGGAGCAGGAAAGACCCCTCACCCCTTAGGCAGCCTCTTTCCAAATCCTTGGGAGCCCACTGCCCGGATTGTCTTCCGAACTCTCCCCTGAATTAAAATCTGTGCCTGTTACAGTTCGTGAAAATAAACCCCAGCCTAGGAACGAGGCTGGCATTTCTCTTGCCTCGATGCAGATCAAGGGAGGCTGGGATGATAGACCTAATCAGGGTGGAGTCCAGGCATTTATTAAATTAAAACGTTACGGTAAAAATATCTCCCAATCAGCTTTTGCAAACTGTTACATTTTCTCATTCAAAACACTGGCACATATTGCAAAACAGACCAACCTCTCTATTATTTCTAAGTAAGCAATAAATAAGACTACGGTCCTTGACATAGAACCACAACTGAGCCCCAAATTTATATTGCTAAGTGAGATGCTTGTTAAGTGAGCTTTGCCCCATTTTACGACCTTTGCCACAGTTGTTAAGTGAATCACTTCAGTTGTTAAGCTAGCAACCAGGTTGTTAAGTGAGTCTGGTTTTCCCCTTATTAATAACATGGTTGTGAAGAGAATCTGCTTCCCCCTTGACTTTGCTTGTCAAAAGGTCGCAAAAGGGGATCACATGACCCCGGGACGCTGCAACCGTCGTAAGTACATGCAGTTTCCAAGCGTCTGAATTTTGATCACATGACCCTGGGGATGCTGCAATGGTCCTAAGTTTGAAAAAGGGTCATGTCGCTTTTTTTTCAGTGCCGTTGTAACTTTGAATGTCCACTAAATGCACTGCTGTAAGTCGAGGATTGCCTGTTAACCTCCCAAATTTGGATTAATAGATCTATCTATCTATCTATCTATCTATCTATCTATCTATCTATCTATCTATCTATCTAAATATATATTTGTGTTTGTGCCTGCCTTTGGGTGTATTTGTTACCTCAATCCACACTGTTATTTTCTTCTAAGGAAGATGAATATAAAGACCTAGGCATCTAAACTTGATTTTGGTTCTCTTATACCACACTAGCAAACTAGACACCAGTGTGGATAGATATAGTATATTTATTTAAATGAAAACTCTGCCAAAAATTGATATAAAGCTTGATCTCTAAGAGTGTTTTGACAGGAGCTGGAGAGATTAATCTTCTGCATTTGTATCATTGCTAAGTAGGGATGCCTTCAATGTATACTTTCAGGTGATTTAATAGTTTGGACCTACAAAGGTATCAAGCAGCCTACTTTAATTTCCAATGTGTTTAACTCCAAACCCAAATGCACTTGGTTACACCTTGTTCACTAAGACCGTGAGGAGAGGACTGGGCCACTGTCACACTAATGCAGGGGTAGGCAACCTTGGCTCTTTTATGACTCGTGGACTTCAACTCCCAGAATGCCAAGAAATATTAAGGAGCCCTCCTCTAAGGTATAAAAAGGTACTTTTTTTCAAGCTGAATTCAACTCCTCGTGGGAATCCTGGGATAAATCTGTGTAGCTTTCTTTGCAGGGATATGCAAATGGTTTCTTCCTCTGTGTATTTTTCCATCTTCCTGTCTACCTACAAAAATGGCATATCTTGGAAGTAATCATTGTAATTACTAACCAACATGACCCAACATGACTGAAGATAAAATTAGTTATACCTTAACTAATATTTTTTTTTAAAAAATGTGCACGTTCCTGCAAATACATTTGTGGCTGCTTTCTTTCATGCAGCAACATAAAATACAGTATACATTCCTAATAGCCAACACAGAGTTTTATATTATACACTGTGAATCGTAATCTTAGATCTGAGTGTGGAAGAAGAATTTCAGAGTAGCCAAAATATTCTCAGTAGTGTAGAATTGACCCTATTTATTGACACACAACTCACAAGTTCCTGTCAAGGTAAAAGACCACGTTTCCATATGTAACCAAATGTATTTGTATATATAAAATTCATACAGGTATATAGAAGAGCAGGGTTAGAAAAGGACTGGAGGCTAAAACATATAAGGAACGGTTGCTGGAACTGGATATGCCTAGTTTAACGAAGAGAAGGACGAGGGGGGACATGCTAGCAGAATTCCAGTATTTGAGGGGCTGCCCCAAAGAAGAGGGAGTCAAGCTATTCTCCAAAGCACCTGAAGGCAGGACAAGAAGCAACAGATGGAAACTAATCAAGGAGAGAAGCAACCTAGAACTAAGGAGGAATTTCCTGACAGTTAGAACAATTAACCAGTGGAACAACCTGCCTCCAGAAGCGGTGAATGCTCCAACACTGGGAGTTTTTAAGAAGAGACTGGACAGCCATTTGTCCGAAATGGTGTAGGGTTTCCTGCCTGAGCAGGGGGTTGGACCAGATGACCTCCAAGGTCCCTTCCAACTTTACTACTACTACTACTACTACTACTACTACTACTACTACTACTACTACTATATTTGCAGCCAACATTCCAGAAGAGAGGCTTAAGATACAGCAGGATCTTGACAGACTTGAATATTGGGCACTATCTAACAAAATGAAATTCAATGGTAAGAAAATTAAAGTTCTACATTTAGACAAGAAAAACCAAACGCACAGGTATACCGTATAGGTGATCCCTGGCTCAATAGCAATAACTGTGAGAGGGATCTTGGAGTCCTAGTGGACCATCACTTAAACAGGAGCCAGCCGTGTGCTGCAGCTGCCAAAAAAGCCAACACAGTGCTAGACTGTATTAACAGAGGGACAGAATCAAGATCACGTGAAGTGTTAGTACCACTTAAGGCCACACTTGGAATACTGCATCCAGTTTTGGTCTCCACAATAAAAAGAGATTTTGAGAGTCTAGAAAGTGTGGAGAGAAGAGCAACAATGATGATAAAACATACGATTGTTGGAATTGGGTATGTCTTGTTTAATGAAGAGAAGGACAATGGGGGACATGATAGCAGTCTTCCAGTATCTCAGGGGCTGCCACAAAGAAGAGGGAGTCAAGCTATTCTCCAAAGGACCTGAAGGCAGGACAAGAAGCAATGGATGGAAGTTTATCACGGAGAGAAGCAACTTAGAACTAAATGAACTGTTGTAAATTGAGAACTACCTACACAAAGAATAGAATAGAACTGGAAGGGATCTTGGAGGTCTTCTAGTCCAACCCCTGCTCAAGCAGGAGAACCTATGTACCATCTCAGACAAGTGACTGTCCAGTCTCTTCTTCAAAACTTCCAGTGATGGAGCAATTCTTCACCACTTCTAATTGTGGAAAAGAAGTTATATTCAAATTATGTAGTTTTTTTCCCCCTTACATTGTTCCTGCAACAAAATTCTTATATAAGCAAAAAAAAAAAAAACCTATAATTTTGCAGGCATCGAAGTTAATCCTTTTAGTGCAATATTTGTGATGCAGTTCATTTAAATACATGCACATATTCTCAAGAGTTTGCCATTTTCAATAATTAAGGACATTTAACAATTAAGTTAATTGGCTTTTTATTTTAAAAGGCCAAAATAATATAACCGGTCGAGTACCTTAACCTCTGGAGCCATTGATCAAAGCCATTAAATTAGAATGATGGCATGGAATGTTATCACTTGACACAACACAAAAGAAAAATTGTTCCGAGACAAATTGATAAAATCTTTTAATACTGTCAAATTTGCCTAATGCAGTCTTCAGGTTCATCTATAAAAGGGTGAGAAGTATGTTGGCTCATTTCTTATTATCCTGAGCTATCAATATATAAATCAGCCCTGACACAAATCCTCCTAAATCATCTGTATTATACACAAAGGGAAAGGATTTAACAGCATAGAATGCACTCAAGCTAATCTTGTCCTAAAAGAATTGAAAGGCAGATTTTTTTCCCCCCAAATTGGCAAGAATTCAGGTGCATTAGGAGAAAAAAAAAGGGGGGGGAGAGAAATATTTCTTTTCACAATGCCTTCTAAATGCCACTGTGGCAAAATTGGAAAATGAGTCTCAAACTTCCTGTTTCCTTGCACAAAGTTATTTTTCTCTTCACTTGAGATCAAGCCCTGGAATAAAATCCGTTTTCTTAGCCACAAGACGCTGGTTCAAATGTATTGTTTCCTCTTTGTTTTGCATTACTTGAGGGGCATGGAATAATGCAAAAGATGGTGAAAAAGAGATTGAAAATATGTAAGTTAAATCCAGCCGGATCTATCCAAATTTACAAAACAGAACAATTATTTTTGCTTAACTTTTAAGAATCAAATTGTTTTCCTCTGACTTTTAGGAAAAGGGATGCTTCTTTTGGAATATTCTATGTATTCATGTCCTGTTTTAAATCATCTGAACGACAAAAATATTTCTTAATTTAAAAACCAATCTTCCTATGTGTGACCTTCACAGGGCTGCAAAACAAAGGACTGCGGGAGTCAGACCACCAGCACAGATTTTCACTTGTGGTGTCACTTAGTGGCAGTTTCACTGAGTTGCTGCCGCCAATTGTGATGGCTAAACAAGGACCAGCTGTATAACAGTACGTAAGGGAGTTAAGTTATTGTAAATCTTGGCATTTAGCAACATGATTTAGTAAGTAAATATGTTTACACAGAGACACAGTTTTACTATATTTGTAACTAATGAAACTGACTGTAACTAATAGTAATTGCAGTGTGTGTGTATATATGTATATTTAAGTATCTCATATATACTTATGTACATGATAGATAGATAGATAGATAGATAGATAGATAGATAGATAGATAGATATAGATGGATGAACAGATGGATAGAGGTAGATAGAGAGACAGATAGACAGATATAGATAGATATAATCTCACTCAGTTTGTAACTAAAGTATTTTCTATGAAGATGGAAAGTTTTCATTTATACCCCAATTTTTCATTACCACTGAACTAGAAAATCAATATACTAGAGAATAGTATTAAATTGGTTTAAATTTTTGGCCTGTTCTGATCATTCAAACTATTTTTTTCTGTATTGGGCATGTGTCTATATAATGTAGGCATCCCCGGGTTTATAAGTGTATCCAACACATGGATAAATACACACATACACACGGCCAATAATAGTTATTAACCAGTGCTATACCTGAAGACCCTCCTTTTGTTGTCTCCCCCCCCTATTAAGTCAGCGAGAATCCCTCTGGTGTGCAGCAGCAGAGGGACCAAATGGGACGGTCCCAGCCCTGTTAGCACTGAAGACGTGGCTGTTCCCCACGGAATTTGGGAAGAGGTGGGAGGGTCTTTGCCCCTGAGTTGAGTCAGGGTTTTTGGGGCGGCACCCCAGGAGTTGTTTGGGTGGGGGAGGGTTTTTTTTAATCTTATAAACCATCCAGAGTCTGAGATACGCAGCTATATTAAGAAAGAAGGAAGGAAGGAAGGAAGGAAGGAAGGAAGGAAGGAAGGAAGGAAGGAAGGAAGGAAGGAAGGAAGGAATATAATGAGAATGAAGTAGGCAGAGAAGGAAGGAAGGAAGGAAGGAAGGAAGGGAGGGAGGGAGGGAGGGAGGGAGGGAGGGAGGAAGGAAGGAAGGAAGGAAGGAAGGAAGGAAGGAAGGAAGGAAGGAAGGAAGGAAGGAAGGAATACTTACAGATTTTTAATGTCAACAGCTCCACGGAAAGCCTTCCTTGGGATGGCATGTATCTGGTTTTCACTGAGGTCCCTAAAAAAGACAATAGATAACTTTTCAATAGTTCTTTTCATTTAAGAACAGCTATATCAAATCAACCCAAACAATTAACTGTAATTATACAGATTGCTTTGTATTCTGACAGTTTACCAATTACCCCTTCCTCTGTACAAAATCCACGCAGTAATACCCAATTCCTACACATAAGGGATATTTTAAAGACTGAGTTAGAGGAATATTTAATAATTGTTTTTTCCTTGCTGGTTGTGATCATTTTTCTCACATAGTAATTTATAATAATTTATCCTGTGTGGAATTTGGACCAAGCCCTTACTCAACTCACATTAATATTGGCAAAGTTAGTTTCCCCAAAATGCTTGCTAGTTGCGTATTTCACTTCTGCGGTGTGTATTTGTGACCTTTACTTACTATCTCTATGTTTGCACTGAGTTTATTTCCTTTTAATACAATTTTTAATGGTGTTCATAGTGGGTGGGTGATTTAGGCTATATTTCACACAGAGACATCTCTCTGTATAGATAGTTAAAATAGATCAGAGAAACACACACACACCATCTGTGTCTGTGTGTGTGTGTGAGAGAGAGAAAGAGAGAGACCCCATTTGGTTAAACAGGTTGTTCCATCCACCAGCATCTTTAAGTCCGTAAAATGGGTCGACAAGCCATTTTACTAAAAAGTCCAAATTTGAAGGGGGGGGGGTGTCTAAACTTAGCTCTATAGATTCAGAGGTAAAGCTGAATATTTTCTATTCCCAGGAAATGCTAGATTTCACTGTTCTTAGAAAGAAAGATGAAACAAAGTGCAGAGGTAAAAAAAAAAAAGGATTATTAAAGTTTAAAATTGAAGAGGAAAAACAAACAGGCCATAAAATCTGCCTCTGCAATTAGTTACTTTTCCTCTTCCAGTTCTCCAGATATTTCCACTGCTTTCCTATAAACTTTCTCAGATATCCTGCTAAACCGTTCAAAATGGAAAGGACAACAATGATAGGTAACTGGGAATTGCAAATAATTTTTTTAAAAAATCACTAGGGATGACATTTGTAAAATGCTCTCAACTCTGGAGGGAAGGTATTGGATTTTAGCTGAACCTGGGCTCAAAGTTTTACTTTAAGGTTAACATTTCCTTCCAGAAAACGGAACCCAACACAGAAGTTATGCAGAGAAAAGTTAATATGTAGTGAATAATTCGCCACATAAAACAAAGTTTTATCCCTGAAATTACAATCTACACTGGAAATTACATCCCATTTTAATTAATTGTTGAATTTGCAGCATCGCTACACAGACTGCAAAACATATTTATGAAAGTGTGTATTAGTTTACATTTGTGTATCAGAGAAATAACTGGAGGATAAACTAGTACTAGAACAAACACCGTTTTTTATGCAGGTTTTAGTAATCTTGCAAATTTAGAGACTGTTCTCAAACAGCAGACTGTCTGGATCCAATTCGAAATAGATGGTGCTACATTTTGAATTCATAATAAAAAGTTCTGAGTGAACAGTCACCACAGATGCTCTTGTCCACTTTGTGAATGAACAGGGAGCCCTATTAGAGATACCGATTCCACCTCTTTGCAATGAAGTCAGCTCTGCACTGCAGCTATTTTTATTACTCACCCTCCAATATCTCAGTCGGAGACGCAATTTACTTTACTTTACAGAATGCCATTATTTTAATTGTGTAAATGGAAATTGCTGTGTGCAGTAGTGAAAATCGCGGCTCCTCTAAAGTTGGGGCAAGGGACCATTTCCCCCCCCCCTGCACAGTTAAATCAACCTTACTTTAAGACAATAAATTTTGCGTAGAAGGCAGACCTGCTTCTAAATTTAATTACTGGTAATTTTACTTTCCCTTTATGGTTTAACCTCTCTTAAGAGACTGATCAGTAGTGCCATAAATCTACAAAAGCATTGGATACTTTGCAGAAACTGCCCAGGGTGGAGGAAGGAATAAAGTGCACTTATTTTCTGAAAGCAGGAAGCAAACTCAGCACCTGAAACGGAGCCCTTCCACGTTAACATTCGTTGGCTGCCTTAACAGAGGGATAGAATCAAGATCACGTGAAGTATTAATGCCACTCTACAATGCCTTGGTAAGGCCACACTTGGAATACTGCATCCAGTTTTGGTCACCACAATGTAAAAAAGATGTTGAGACTCTAGAAAGAGTGCAGAGAAGAGCAACAAAGATGATTAGGGGACTGGAGGCTAAAACATATCAGGAACGGTTGCTAGAATTGGGTATATCTAGTTTAACGAAGAGAAGGACAAGAGGGGACATGATAGCAGTGTTCCAATATCTCAGGGCTGCCACAAAGAAGAGGGAGTCAAGTATTCTCCAAAGCGCCTGCATGCAGGACAAGAACCAACGGGTGGAAACTAACCAAGGAGAGAAGCAACCTAGAACTAAGGAGAAACTTCCTGACAGTGAGAACAATTAACCGGTGGAACCGCCTGCCTCCAGAAGCAGTAAATGCTCCAACACTGGATGTTTCTAAGAAGAGACTGGACAGCCATTTGTCCGAAATGGTGTAGGGTTTCCTGCCTGAGCAGGGGGTTGGACTAGATGACCTCCAAGGTCCTTTCCAACTTTACTACTATTACTATTACACACTGCAGGCAGTCCTCAACTTACGACTAAAACAGACCCCCAAATTCCTGTTCTTAAGTGAGATGTTTCTTAAGTGAGTTTTGCCCCCATTTTTCAACCTTTCTTGCTGCAGTTGTTAAATTAATGACATGGTTGTTAAGTGGGTCTGGCTTCCCTCATTGACTTTGCAACCGTCATAAGCACATGCCAGTTTCCGAGCCTCTGATTTGGATCACATCACCACACGGGTGGTGCTACAACAGGCAATAAGTCCCTTTTTTCGGTGCCCTTTTAATTTTGAACTGTCACTAAATGAACCATTGTAATTCAGACTATCGGTGCTATCCTGCCAATAGAAACATAATGTCTAGAAAAAGAGTCCCACGATGAATGGTAAAAAGCAACTGTCTCCAAAAATGATCCTATAGTCCAGTGTTTCCCAAACTTGACAATTTTAAGGCATGTGGACTTCAACTCCCAGAATTCCACAGCCAGCGTTGCTGGCTGTGGAATTCTGGGAGTTGAAGTCCTCATGCTTTAAAATTGTCAAGTTTGGGAAACACTGCTATAGTCCACGATCTTCCGATGCCAGTTGCAAAGCCATTTTAGAGGATTAGGACATCACTTTCCAAAAAGTTTTCTCAGGTTGCAGGACAAGTTTGTTTGTTGTTTGTTTGTTTAAAAAAAATAAACAAAGGGTGGGGCTTCTGAATAGTAGATGCCCTTTCCATCCCACCTTCATCGCAGACACATAAATAAAGGGACAAAGGGGAAATAAGCCAGCCGGAAACCCAACAGAGATCAGCCTAGGCCCTAAGAGAAAGGCAATTCTTTCTCACCTGAAATGTTGAGAATCTTAGGATTTTTTCAACTTGGTTTGCTGCTTGCAACGTTTCACTGCCAAAGTGGTAACTGAGAAGAGTGACACACAAGGGAGCAGAACCTGCTGACCATTTATGAGTGGTCACTGGTCCACCAGGCTTGATCTGGGTTGCTGCTGTCTGCAAAGCCAACGAATGTAGAAAGGCTGAAGGCTTCAGGCTCCCAACGGGGTCGGTTCTGTTTTCCGAAGAGCGTCTGTTCTACTTAATACTCTGAATTCTTGAAGCCATTTGACTGTTTTGTTGCATCTACCTACAACACTTTTATATCTATATTATGAAGTTACATCTGGTGTTAACTTTGAATTATGTGCCTATTTCCATAAATTATGATATAGCGAGGTGCATATAACGTTTCCTCGTAATATATTTGCACCACATGGGTGAAAGAATAAAACTAGCTTGGGAACTCAAATAATTCTCTAGCCTTGACCCAATGCTCTGGGTATTTATTATAATTCAGAGGCTATTTTGCTGAACACCAAACCTTTTTCTTAACTTCTGGAGTTCAAATTTTTATTTTGTAGTCCCTGTAATGTAACATTGGTGAAATACAAACTCGTTAATGTTAAAGTCTCCTATTTTATTCCTAGAATAAACTGTAGCAGCATATTAGTAATTTTTGAAGTAGATCAATTCCATTCTCTGATGTGTCCAAAAATGCACTTAGGCTAATTTGCCGAGAATGCCCAGCATAATACTGCTTTAAGCAGGCCATAAATATTATTCATTATAGAAAATTAAATTCCTAAGCAGATTTACTGTTCGTATTACAAAAAAGTTGCAATGGTTCAGGAAAAAAAATAGTGATTATGATAAAAAAAGAAGAAGCAAAGCAGTAAACGTGATTTTCAGAAAAATCACACTCCAAGAAAAGACACAGCAGCTTATGCAGTTTTCTAGCTTATAAAATGCAACATTATCAATAACTATTAAGTGCGTGATGTATTAATCAACCCATCCGAGAGATTGATTTTCTTTTTTTATATAAAAAACGCAACTATTTAAAGTTGCTTTCCTTATACATCTTCAACAGACTTCTATCCCATTGCTTACTTACTATTACAGTGTGCCCAAACTTTTGTAACGCTGATATATGGAAAATTGACATGTGGAATAATGCACTGCCTTTATATGGCACAACGGCTGATAGCAAAGATTATGTATTTTTAAAATTCTATATTCGGCAACGATAAGAAAGCTTTGATTTCAGGTTTTCCATGAAAGTTTCCCATTAAAACATCACAATAAAAAGAGAGTCCAGAATGGCTTTTTTTCAACTGAAGATCTGCAAGATGTCGTGACTGAAGGGGAAAAAATGTTTTTTAACTTTTTTACATGCTGTCTTCTCAGCTGCTAGCCTGCTGCTTTGCTGGTGTTGGGAATACTGGCAAACATGAATTGTGTAGGTTAGATTTGACATTTGAAATTTTCATATTTTTTGCTATTTTTATGCAAGACTTCCCTGACACCTGAGAAATGTCCAGACAGGTAGAACAATTAATCAGTGGAACAACCTGCCACCAGAAGCTGTGAA